ATATCAAGTGTCTGTTTTCATTTTAGAAATATGGTCCTTCACTCGAGTTTCATACATGGTTCGTTAAGATCTAGATGTGGTTTGCTCTGGGTGCTGGAATGGGTTGGTGTCTGGAGAAATTCGACTACATTCAGTCAAAATTTTCAGTATACTACAGACACCTACCAATACCTATCTGGGCATACATGTTTTCCCTTTCTTTTCCTCATAAAATATATATATATTTGTTAAAGGGTTCTAAATAAGGCTAGGAAGAGTAAAACATTTGGCATCCTTGAAAGGGAAGTACATCAAATTATTAATTTCACTAAGTCCAGTTCTTTGAAAATGATAAAGAGGCACTTCCTATGTTTTGCTTTGGTTATGCATATATACTGGATGTAATCTGTGTAACCCCTAAAATACCATGAAGTTCTGCCAACAGATATGGAACATAGTACTTCCATCCTTATATATCCCGACGATCTACTTGTAGTTAGTGACAACGTGAGGATAGCAGGGACATCATTTCAAACATAGTTCACACGTTCCTGTTTGTTATCCATATTACCCCTCTGTTTCCCCAACGATTATAGGCTTGTCCTTAAATATATGCCTCTGGGCTTCTATTCTTTTTCCAACTTTTGTTGGAACATAGAAAAGGCGGTTCTCAGCGGTAAATGATCGACCCCGTCAAATGTGCTAATAGGATGGGCCACAGAATAGACTTAAGTACCGGGATTAACTGAAAGTAGAATGTAATACCTAGATTACAGAGAGGTGAACTAAGACACATGAGAGAAAATCCTATCAACAATATGCATTCCTCACGGCGATAAATGTGAAACAACAAGAATACTCGAGGTTGTAGTAAATCTTAGGGTACAGTATAAAGAATAATTATCCTGAACTTTACCATGATGAAGCTCAGATAACATTGCGAGGGATTGGCTGAAGCTAACCTATGAGAGCAAGTGGGAGCATGATGTAACAGAATGTTACGGAATGACAACTTGTCTTAAATAGAAAATAAAGGGAGGGATCTTGGAACAAAATTAAGAATACTAGTTTCATTCCTTTTAGAAAACTTATATTCACCTTTTCATGTATATATTTTGATAGATAGAGGGGACGCCCAGAAATTTATATAATTTTTACATATGTAGAACAAAATAACCCTCTTATCCAAATATAATGTCTTCTACTGATGATCAAGATCTTCACGAAGCCAGGGTCGAAAATGCCACTCCTTCTCCGGCTTTGGGTTTATCTCAAAAACATCCCACACTTTAAAAGATTGATGAATTGAAAAAACGATGTTATACACATTCCTGAATATTTGGGTCGCGCTAGGGACCTCATTGTTATAAAAACTAAATAGAGATCTAAACATGTGTAAGTTGGAACGACATCCATAACCATTCCCAAAAGTGACATATTTACATGGTGGGAAGAAATTTAGCCAAGCTTACATATTCCAGGAAACAGGAGCATACAAGGGTAAGCAAGTAGAATCTAAGTTCCATTGGGATGTTTTTATTTGTTTCATCCTCAACTGTTGAGGTGCCATCGTATCGTTTATCAATCTGTTGCTCTTTAATAAATTTATTTAGTGACTCTGTAGGAACTTCGGCTTTTGATTTTCTATGCGACGTCGGCCAAAAGATAAAAATAGAAAATAGCTATGGCTACAAACAAAGGACCAGAAGGCATAGAACTGCACAATTCATATTTCTTTTAAGATGAACCATAAACGCTCTCCAACGCACAGCTTATAGTTTGGATCGTTTATTGTCTGAGACTACCTGTAAAACGTCTTCTTACGATTGGAGTCGCTCTTCTTGTGGGAGGGGAAATTTGCTATGGAGAGACAGAGACATGGGCTAGCGAAGACACTCCCGCGCAAGTTCTCCAGGCGGGCTATTTTCAGAAGCACAGTCTCCGACGCAATGAACGAATTCAGAGAACGAATTCAGAGAACGGGGTCCCACGTGTAGAAATTCCACAACTATCTGGGTGAACACCTGTAAAAGGGCGTAGGCTGCTCGGACTTAGCCCGCAAAAAGGGCAACTAGGATACCCAAATTTAGGAACTCTTTCGCGATTCATACATACACTATAATCCGGAGCAGAGTATTTACATTGTCACATTACGCACAGATCGTGGACGTGACCTGTGACGACAATTATGTTGTTTTTTTCCTTTGGCAACAGCCCAACTTTTAAAATTTTTACCTATTTTCAGCATGGAAACATATAAATAGTTCCCCAGATACATTTGCCAGTTCATCAAAGACGATGTATTTTTCTTTTTTTTCTTTTTTCTCATTAAGAAAAGTATCGAATCTCATATAAATTGAATAGTCTGATATCAGTGCTAAGTAGTCAAAGAGGGAAAATGAACCTGAAATTATGGACTCTTTTTTTCAGTAAAAAGAGTAGGGTCACGATACTTTTGTTATGTTTGGTCACGCTTATTTTCACCTCCGTAATTTGGATGAGAGCAGCAGATGAAAACCACTTTTTAGTTACCTCGTACTACCCTTTCCTGCCTAATGGCAACTGTGTGCAGAGAAAGGAAGATTTACTTCATGCAAGCATCAAGAATCTAGGGCCAGCAGGCAAACGGGACAAGGGACCGCTCGATCTGAGAATATCATCGCAAAACTTTACATCTACTAATTTCACTGGTTTCGTTTCAAATTTGTCTATCGAAAAGCTTAAGGCCAAGAAGGACCTCCAGAGGGAAAAACTGAAACACTCCAATATTGGCGGGAATATCGCCAACTCATATGACCAGCAGGTGTCGTGTCAGGACCTATCGTACACTGCGCCACTTGAGCACCTGCAGAATACCAAGATTTTAGAGGACGATTTATTATCGGTAAGAAGACACTTGATACGGAAGAGTAACAAGTTGAGCTCAGATGTCCAGGACAAATCCAGAGATGAAGCGCGAAAAGAAGAAGATATTGTTGAGGAAGACTGGTTTAGATTCGGTGGATCGGCGGTCTGGTTAGAAACCGAACAGTGTTACTTGGTGTTCACGCGGATCGTGTACTCCAGAAAGAAACGGAAGAATCATCCGCATGTGTCCCTTATTAGAGCTCAGGCGTTTGACAAGAACTGGAAAGAAATAGTATCAAAGTCTATACCGTATTTGGATACAATACAGCCCAAAAACTTGGCCTCTGAGTTAACGAAAGTAGACAAAGAACTAAATTTTGAAAGTTGTGAACTCTATGGCGTGAACTCACCTGATTATGATAGATGTATCGTCCAGCAAGCAAGAAACAAACTGAAAATGGAAAATGCAAAGGAAAATATTCTATCAAGATACTTTATCACATACCCAACGGTGTTAGAAATTCCATTCACCCCTGGAGCTGACTATCGAGGCCCAGAGGATCCTCATGTAATTTTAAGAACTACTGATAACAGTGAAGAGCCTGTGATCGTGTTCAATATGGATGAACCAGGGATGGGTGGCAGGAAAATATATAGTTTCATGCCACACCGGAGAGTTGATCCATTGTTGCAGTTCAGTCTATCTGAACATCACTTGAAATCAGTTGAGAAAAACTGGACACCATTTTTCCATCCCTACTCCCCGGCTCAAAGTACGCTATCAAGAGGATTCATTTATTTTATCTATGCGTTCAGCCCTCTTGAAATTCTGAAATGTTCTCTGAATGACGGTACATGTGCTGTGGTATTTGATGGGGAAACTGTTGAGCTTGACAGTTCAGCAAGTTTTAAAGGAATGAGAGGGGGTACGCAGTTTATTCCACTGCCATCGTCTCTCCCGGCAGTTAAAGGGAAAAATATCTGGATCGGGTTTCCCAAGCTACATATCACTGACTGTGGGTGTGCACACCGGTTTTATAGACCGATGCTTGACGTTTTAATTGAGTCCAACGGTGTTTACCATCAAGAACTGATTGTGCCTTCCCTGGATTTCGGAATTGAGGTTCTATCGTGGGACTTAGTTAGTACGGATTGTGGTACAGACACAAATATCCTAAGTCCCAACTCGGTAGCCTATTGGGATGTTGTTGGTCAGGATGACGTTACAAAGAAATTCGAGGATTATATGGTTCTTTCTGTAAGTGAAGCAGATACTCTCACAAGGATCATTACTGTGCGGGGTATCCTAAACTACATATTGGGTATTTATAGGGATAAAGAGATGGAAGACACATTTTCTGTGAGCAGTAACTCACGGGACATCATCAAAAAGACGCTGACATGTGTTGTCCATGATGCAAAGGAACAGTGTAAAATCTATGGCCAATTCCACAAGGGCTTGGAGAAAAAGGAGTAGTTATCTTCTTTAAGATCTCTCGCCAACGGAGTGCACGGAGTTCTATGTAGTATTACGTAGTATGCCTAAACTTTCTATTAAGCCGTGCGAATTGCATCATAATGAAACATCTTTTTTCGTGCCTTAAGCAGAATTTTATAATGGCAACGCATTTTTTGGATTTAACAGAAAAACGAGGAGAATGATATCTCTCTACACGTTATTTTACAATTTTTAAATGATTGCCTTCTAGTATTTTATTTAATTACAAATATATTAGGCACATATGGCTCCATGCTGTATTATAAGTAGGTTATGATGTAAAATTCGAATAACTGGACGAATGTTGATCATTGACAGTTTTAAGGCAGCATACTGACCCCATGACAGCGGAAAATAAAACACTCGTTGAGGATTTCCAACAAAGACAAACTTTTCAAAAAGCAGGTTTTCAGAAACTTAAAGGCAGTGCAGATGTCATTTAGTGTCATAATAAATATTCTGCTATTGAACAACGTTTAATTACGCCTCCTGCAGTATGGCACTAATACAGTTTTTTGTCTCCTTTTTGCAGGCACCATTATATGTTTTCCCCTTAATGATCAAAGTCTGTTCAAGTGTGTCCTCATACTCAGTTGTCGGAGAATAAAAATTGAGAAGTGGCGTGACTTGCAAATATTTTGATATATACAGAGGTACGTACTTGAAAAGAAAATCTTCCACCGAAGTGGCTTGGAGATAACTTTTCAACGAGAGTATATCCTGTTTTGAGACTTTTCTGCGACAGAAAATACAACCGTTATTGTGTATATGTCTCTCAAAGTAATCAGAAGAACTTTAGAATAGACAAGTAGCAGAATTAACAGGAAGTATGAGGTAATTTCTAGATTACAGAGAGATAAACTCAGACAATAAGAAATTTATATAAATTATATATATATATATATATGCATATAATAAAACAACTGTCTCATCCAAATTAGCGTGGTTCCTTCTGACAAACATAGTAGGGGATAATATAATAAATAGTAACTGTCACTAAAAGTAGTATAATAATTTAACTTTTAACTATCTTAATCAATTAAACAAAGTAAAAAGAATGTGAGAAATGTAATATACCGTCAATTAAAACAAGCTCACTTATTTACTATCAGGCAAGTTACGTATACTAAACTATCTTGACCTATCCAACCAAGGATTCAGGCTTATAGTTACTTTTGTCCTGCAAACGTGATACTACATAGATATCATGTATTCGTGTATACCACCTACAGAAGACTTTTATATATTAATTTCCTTTATGATGGCCTATAGCATTGTTAAAAAAAGAGAAAAGTTCATTTATTGAAAGAATTCTTTAAAAGTAAAGAAAATACGAAAAAAGAGCGTCGATTAAGGGATAAGCCCATTGAACACTAGGGTATATATATTACAATTGCTTAAATAAACAATAATGGGATGAATGAGAAGAAGAATCCGGTAGCAATCTTACCAGCGGCGTTTGGAGCATCTTGGACACTAACAGATGCAGAGGAAGTAGCAGCACTAGATTGCATTTGGACAGTAACTGAAGATACAAAGTTGTTTCTGGAAGTAGTAGAAGCAGCTTGGTTGTTATTTTGCACACCAGCATTAGCACCAGTTTCCTTAGTGGCTTTAGTAGCAGCGACTACTTCAGTAACTGTAATAGTGGAGACAGATACGTCACCATTTTTAGCAGTACAGGTGGTAACAGTGACAATAGTTTGAGTGATACCTTGAGATTTAGTTTCAGGTTGGTTTGCTGCTTTAGAGTTAGAACCATTAGATTCGGTAGCACATTTAACAGTGGTTGTTCTAGTGATACCGTAAACATCAGTGTATGTGGAAGTTGACATCGAATCATCGTTGGAGGAGTCTCTTTGTTCACTATCTTCACCTGCAACGGCAGTAGAGTGTGCGGAAGTTGATGAAACACTAGCAGTCTTAGAGTTACTGTTGGTACCTTGGGTAGAAACAGCAGCAGAGGAAGAGTTAGAAGAGCTCTTGGTATCAATAGAAGAAGAGACTAATGTGTTTGATGAGTAACTTGAACTAACTTCAGTTTCGGAGCTTGAAATGACAGAAGATGTTGTCTTTCTAACAGCAGAGTTAGCGTCCAAGTTTCCAGATGTAGTTGCAGAGGATTGGGTTACAGCAGCTGACTCAGAACTTTGTGCAGAAGATTCTTCAGCTGAAGAAACGGCAGAAGATTGAACGGCAGAAGTTTCAACGGCAGAAGAAGCAGCGGCAGAAGTAGCAGTGGCGGAAGTAACAGCAGCAGAAGAAGTAATGGAAGAAGATTCAGCAGTTGAAGAAGTGACGACTTCGGAGGTGGAACTAGAAACAACAGAACTTGAATAAGCAGCTGGAGTCATGATATAAACAATTGTCTCAACATCAGTGTAAGTTTCTCTAGCATAATCATTTATGGTTTCATAGGTAACAACAGCGGTTGAGTAAGTGGTGTTATATTGTGCAGAACCTTGAGTGTATGAAGTAGTTTCGGCGCTTCTAACTCCACATTCAGCATCTTCGACACTACCGTGAATATAACCTTCAAAGTTGGTAATAACTTCACCAGATGGTAGAGTCATAGAAGGTTTGAAAATAGCATCACCACCATGATTAGTGTAAGCAAAAACAATTACGTAACCAAGACCACCTTCCAAATGAACAGTCATAGAATTGGTTTGGTAATCAGAATCTTCTGGAACGTAACAGAAGTTTGAAGTTTCACTAAACCAATCTGCTAAATTCATGTCATTACAACAGTACATGGCACGATCATCAAAGATATAAATGGAAGCAGCATCACTGACTTCATCAATGGAAAAGATATAATCACCAGTGGTTGGTGGTACTAAAAATGCCTTGTAAATACTAACAAAATTAGAGACGGTAGTCTCATCGGCTAATTCAGGGTACAAAGGAGCACTGACAGATGTAGAGTCGGCAATACTGATGTTCAAACTGATGTCATAAGTAGTTAAAGCAGTAGTAGCACTATCAGGAGAAAGAATCTTGGCAGCATAGTTATGTAATGTACCAGAAACACCAGTTAAGGCTGAATTTAATGCAGCTTTATGAATAGCCATCAAAAAACTTGAGTCAGAATAAGTAGTTGGAGTGTAAGCAGCACATTCGTCAGCAGAGACCATTGTGATGGCGTTAACCATGAACAGAAATACAGATAATACAGCTGTTAATTGCATTTTGGTTTAAAGAAAGAATAATGTAATGATATACTCTGATCTTATTGATGTGCTGTTTTATGTAATATTATAAACAGGAAATAATATAAATATGGAAATTTGAAAAGATATGAGAACTTCAAAGTAGTTATTTTAAGGAAATTTTCATCGATTTATATAATAATCAAAAGATGAATCTTTTTGTAGTTTTCATTAAAAAAAAGTTTGTTAGAGACTTGTTTACTGGAACTTGTTTACTCCAGTATATTATTACTTCAAGTACCAATTAATAAAAGGAACAAAAAAATTCGGTTTTTGTCAAAACGTCCTATTTGGGTGAGTTGCTGCTTGTCTGTTTCAACCACACTACTTGCTACTGTATAGTGACAATTTTAGTAACACATTGTGCGAAACAGTTCGTACCCATTTGTTAATCATATGAACCTATTTGTATATCAAAATTACGTAGATCTGCTCATGCAAAACCTTCGTAAACTGCCATTCCTTCGTGATTCCTGTGTCACTTTCTTGCCCTGACCCACCTTCCATTTTTGGGAATATCATCTACATGCCAATAATGTAAGCATACGCGGAAATCACTGTATGCACAAGAAACAGGCAAGCAAAATGATCGAAAGCGAAAATGAAAAATTGGAAAAATTGACAAAAATGGAAATGATTAATTTCCGTGGAATGGAAACTTCTTAAGCTATACAGTCGTACAAGAAAGAAGAAACATATGTATAGACAGGCTTAAGCCACAATATGAAAGAACTAAGTAAACGATTTTTGTTTTTGTTTTATACAGTCGATACTGTAGTTACTAATTTCTACAGGTGAACCCCAGTTTGACTCTCGCTCTCTCTCTTTCTGGTTCTATTTTCGAAGTATGGGGGGGAAACTCTACGGAACTGAAAAGAATTTTTACATGACCCATTTTTAGTCAAACTAAACGAGTTTCAAAGTATCAATAAGGTTAATTTCTAATAACAAAGTTTTATGTTTCAAGAAACCATTATAATTACCAAGTACACTTTTTTTTTTCCAAATGGCTACTAACATTGAAAGTCTCTCCTCATTATTCTTCAGCATATTTACATGCAATGTTTGAAGGAACTGCGGAAATGAAAATAATTCTAGAAATTGATTACTGGGTAAACTAAACGGTATACAGAGAATTGATAGTATGAATGGAAAGAAAGAGTCCAAATGGGATCATATGTATATTAAATATTTATCTCCTTACTCTGCTATTTTCTATGAGAAGAACTTTAAGGAGTAAAAAAAGTACATAGTCCTCTTTCATATATATATATATAGATATATATATTCTACGTAATAACTTCTGCCTGGTTTATTGTAGGATAAAACAATTTTAAAAAAAGAGCTAATACGTAAATCTCAAATTAAATGATAACTATACGCAAAACTAAGAAAAAATACGTATTTAGTTGTTAAAAATAATATATTCGAAATTATCAATTGGGCTGCAATGTATCTTACAATTCTTGGATGCCGAACCTCTTCGGCAAAACTAAAAAAACCAATATCTTTCGACTATAATATAGATTTAAAACTCCCCACAACAGACGTAGTAATAAATGTACGATTGTGTGAAATAAACGATGAGACGGAATGCTCCGTTATTTTTGTTGATAGTTTTAAATGGGAACTGAAAACCAGTAGCCTCATCTAAAATCAGATCGCACATTTATAAGAAAACTTCTTGTAATTAAAAAGGTATATTTCAATATTATTTCTTCGTCCTCGTTAAAGGAGAAATGGTTGGCAAAATTGAATTTTTACCAGCATTAATAATGTTGTTATAAGAATCAATATTGCATTTAATACCCCTACCACCTACAAGGACATCATTTGATACACTCGAATTGATTTTGTCCATAAACAATCTTTCATCCTATGAATAATTATAGGCATTTAAAATCGAATTGCTATCTAACAAATCGAATTGAACCCAAACTTTCAAAATTTATTAACACCATGGCCTGCATATACTTCATATACTAGATCGAAACAAGTTTGCTTATTCCTTGTCACAGTAAGGTGCTTTGTCCGTATAATAATAATACTCTACCGCAATAATGTAATTCAGTTGACATAATATAGAAAATTGTCAACGGATGGATATTCAAAATAAGAAAAGGGTGAACTGTTCTCTAAAAAAAAGAAAAAAGAATATTTGTCACAGGGTCGAAAAAAACAAAAGTTGTTGAAAAAGCTCATAGGAAAATCACTCTTTCCACCACATTATATTACTCGATTGAAACTTAAAATTCAAATGTAGTTTCTTGTTCACAAGGTAAACTAATCGAAGAGGTCCCGAAAAGGTATTTTTACACCCAGGAAATTTTATGTCCTCCCATAATGTACATTTTTAACTAAGATAAGTAATTAAATGAAATGATATGTGGGTATTAAAATTCTTGACAAAATTTAAATATTATGAAAACTTGAAATTGATTTTAGCAATTTCAATTTTCTCATGTACAGGGTTTATCACAATCTACTTTCCATTACTACTACATTTTGAAAGTTAAACCTCTTAATATTTTTGAAAAATGCCAGAAGAAATCTATGTAAATATTCTGCTTTAAACGAATACCTATATCGGTTAGCATTTTTAAAAACGGAGTTCCTAACTCCAGTAGACGAATCGTTCTAACAGAATATAGCTTATTTAAGTATTGAATATATATGATTTTAATATTAATGAACGCCACATTGGCGTATTAAATTTCATGGTGACTTGCCATTTGTGAAAATTTAGAGAAATTGACATTACAAACTGCTCGAAAAATAAATTTTCCAAAACATGTAATAATTTAAATAATGAATGTTCCCTTCCTGTAAGGGTCTAGAAGAGGAAGAGCTGTATTTCAAACTGTCTACATTTTTTTATTAGAGAATTTTTTTTTACAAGGCACATTTTGAGACAGTCTGTTTCTCTTCTAACGCACTATGGTTGATATGCTATTTTAATGATGTTCCGAATGACTTGAGGTAAAAATGTCCGTTTTAGAAATATATTCATGTAATAATAAAGCATAAATCAGTATGATTCTATGTCTAGGTTTGTGTCAGTGTTGTTCAATATATTTCATGTTCCAGCCGTGAAGAAGCAGAAATAAAAGAAGATCATTCGTTGCAACAACCACAGTCGCCACCTTTAGTAATCTTAAAATTATAAGCTAAACTTTTTTTAGCAGTATTGCAACAAAGTGTTGAAGATTTTAATGTTGAGGTAATTGAAAATAAAGTTTCTTTTCAATTCAATTTATTATTTTATTGGGGTGTCAGGGTTTGCACCAGATTCAGTAGTAGTCGTTAACTTTTTCTATGTTTCCACCATTTAATGACATAACTCTTTTATAAAGAAAAGAGAAAATATTTGAACCTTTTTGAGGGTACAAATTTAGATAAGCAGCTATATAAATCACTTGGAGTAATACAGTTAGTTGATTTTTGGCTGTAGTTTGGTTATGTTTTTTCAAATATGGATACCACACAAAAGTTATAGTCGGATTATTTATGTAATTTGATATAAATTTATGCCAAATAGGGAACATGCCCTACTAGGATTGTGAATACGATACCCCAATAGATATCATTGAGTTTTTGATATTTAAACAACAGAATAATACCTTTTCTTAAATCATTCTTAGTATTTTTATATTGTAATGTGCGATCATGGCTTTCGTACATTTTCGATCACTTAGAAATCCAAAACAATCTTCCTTATATTCTCAACAATTAGGGAGGTGAGAACAAGGGCACCGCTTTTATCGCCAACACCACTCTATAATAAAAAGGCATGATGTATGGCTGTAATGGGAAAGGGTCCTTCTTATGTCATCCTGGAATTTAATATAAAATATGACTCTTTTTTAAAGCTACACATTTAAATGCGCCTTCAATGACGTCAGGGAACAAAAAAAAAACAGAGTTTCACCAAATTGAACTTCAAAAGTACAAAACCCTTCAAGATATTTCAGATGTTTTTCTCTAATCAATTTGGGTCGAACAATGATTAGCACGTTTCAAGACCAACTGTAGGACTGTGATCCTAACTACTTAGTATATGAATTTATTTGAGTGAAAGCGAAATTCATTAGAACTGTTTATTTTCTCAATTAGAGAAGTGTCTATTATGGCATTCCCCAATAATATATTTCTAGGTACATATATATATATATCCATAAGAACAATACATCCAAACTCGATTTCTTACCTTATATCTTGTCTAAATATATACGGCATAAGAATAAAACAAAAACAAATAAAGCAGGTGGGTTTTTCACCTACTTTAAAACAAAACATGAATAGTTTATATCTGATTGTTTTAGGCTTTTCTAAAAACCTTCAATTAACATCCACTATCAACCACTTTTATCCTAACCCACAACAAATAAAATTTAACACGTTGAACAAAATGTTCACAAAAAAAGAGACAACAATTTTCATCAAAGGACCATAGGTAACCGAATATGATATGAGATAGGTACCTAGAAGTTGTTTAAAATTTATTTTTGATAGAGTTCCTCCTTCGTATCTTGTTGAACATTGATTACATTTTTATTTGCATTCGTTTTTATTTTTATTATACTGATATTCCACAGATAATTCTTCTTAATATATTTCGGAAAAAATTATTTAATATACAAATTATGCATTTCAAACCTCTGTCTTTATATATTAAGAATTCAGTGGCGTTATTGTTAACCTTCACATTCACGAACTTCTTATTCAAGTATCGTTATATAAGCCTATTCAATTATAATAATTGCGCACGATATTTCTTGTGTTATTTAATTACTGTTAATATTAGCGTTCCTAATCATTAATTATTATTATCATACGAATATATTATTACTATATACCCTCAGGATATTCGGCTCAGTAGATACCACCTTTCTATTTTAATTAAATTTGTTTACTGGAAATACCTTTCTTTCATGTTTTTAAATGACTACTAAAGTTAAATATTTTTAATGTTCGGTCTAAATTGCAATTTCAATAACAAGATAAAAAATAAAACGATGAAGTGATTAAATAATTATGAACAAATTTTAAAAACCCAAAGAGAGAGGGAACCAACATAAAATGATCTCTATGTTATAATCGAATAAGTTATTCTTCTCTAATTCACTTGTGCTCGTAAAAGATATTTCGAAATACAAGTAACAACACATTTTTAAGTTGCCTTTTTTTATATGGTGGAAGAAAAGTATTCTCATGAAATTGAAATTGAAAATATAATTAATAAAAGTTTACATACGTAAGGTAACTATAAAAAATCAATAACTAATGCTAAACCAATCAATACCATTGGAAATGATTGGCTGGATGCTTTTCCATGGAATACAGATAATATGGATGTTGTATGGTGCGTCTGCGCAGAAACTGTGGAAGTTTTTTGTATAATACCGGCTTCACTAGATGAATGTAAGGTTTTAGTTGTGCCGAAATCGTTTTTATTTGTTTGAATTGATGATTTTGTGGATAAAGTATAATGATCTTCCCTATCTGTCGACGAAGGTATGCTCTCTGATTTATTTGTGGACCTACTATTGCTCAAGATATATGATGAAATAACAGTCTGTTTGGTTTGTGAAGCAGTCTGTAAACTACACAGTGGACAGTCAGTTTGCGTGATGGTTATCCAAGAACTAACAGTAGCTTGAACTTCTTGATTAGAGTTAGATATTTCATTTAAAGTACCAGATGGCCTTAATAACGATAATTGGGGGCTTGTTAAGACAGGCTTTGTGGTTGTCGGCTTATCTTGAAGTAATTTATTGCTTGAGGAAGATCTATCTGAGTTATGGATATGTGTGCTAGAAGGCGGACTAGATTCTTCAGATTCTTTCGTTGAGAAATGATTGACAACCAACGATTGTGATGAACTCGTGTATGATTCAGTGAAATATGAATTAGTATTAGGTGACACGATTGGAGAAAGTGGAATATATGTTGAATGGGAAGCTATTATAGTTGAGCTTGACATACTAGGACCTGAACTACTTGTAAAAATTATGGACTTTTCACTACTAGTAATCATTGAAACAATCTTTGATGAAAGACTAGATATGGTTTGAAATTTAGAGTAATCTGAAATTGTGGAACCACTTTCTGGGGTATTGACCTCACTAGTAACAACGATTTTGGATTGAGATTCACTGGTGGGGGAACTGGTAATTATGGCAGTAAACCTAGAAGATGTGGATACTTGTCCAGTTTGAGTACTACTTGGCATATCGCTACTAGAAAAAACACTATCAGACCCGGTTGAGCTTGAAATTTCGGTATTTTCTGCGTAACTACTACTAGACTCGGTATTACTTGATATAACAGCACTTGACTCAATGCCACTAGACTCGATACTACTAGATTGCTCACTACTTGATGTAATAATGTTCGACTCAATACTACTTAATGCAGCGCTGCTCGAAATTGTACTACTTGACTCTATGCTGGTTAATTTAATACTACTCGTAACATCAATACTGGATGGTTCTGAACTACTTGTGACACTGGAAATAATGGAAGAACTAGCAACGGAGGAAGAAGTTACAGGACATTGATCGGGGACAGAAGACGTTGGAGGTATAATAATGTCGTCTACAAACTCCTCCCCATTAAGAGAAGGGCAATTCAATGGGAAGTCTTTAGAATAATTAGCATCGTCTGTTTCAAAATTTTCATATGGATCATAAAATAATGTTTCTTCATTCAATTGGAACGAATGACTTCCCAGAGCATTTTTTATTGAAGCGCTTGCAGTGGTGAACAAACCATCGCCACCTACTAGAATAACAACTTTAAATGGATAATAAATACCTTCGTAAAAATATGCGCTATTCATAAAGGCTGAACCACCTGTATTTAAATTTGTCGATGTCACACTGGCCATGTATTCACCATCGTCTGAGTACCAAGGAAGTGAACTATTGTGTGTACATAAAGAACCATCATCCGTATTATTTACGAACATACTTTGTTTTACGACCCAGTAATCAGTAGTGCTTTGATACAGATTTACGCCGTCACAACCACTAATGGTATTAACATATCTCCCTATAGTTAATTGACCAGTATATGGCATACGAAGATATCCTCTTAATTCAACGACTATATAGTCATCATCAGGATCCATATAAAACCCTAATACATCATTGTTTTTGTATTTGATACGTTTAATATTTAATTCCGTTACACCAGCTTTTTGTGCAACTAACTCTCCATCAGTAAGATATTGCCCATTTTCGATATATGTTGATCTTGTTGAATAATCTGCCGAACTATTCAAAGATGTTTTATACATTCTAGCTGCTAACCCAGGTAATAACTGTAGCTTAGTCATGTTGTACGTTGTTAGGTCTGCGTTTACATTGGAAATGAATCCTGTCGCCAACGTAAATAAAAATATATTCAATACGATAGAAAACATTGACCTATTTTTCTCTTAATTTGGTAAGGATATTTTAAATGATAACAGTATTTGTTGATTTTTGTTATTTATATTTCTGGTATCTTGAGTTTAAGAAATCCATATTTTCCAGTAAATCGTTTCAATAATTTCTGGTTGCTATATATAGTACAACAAATCCTCTTCATGAATATTCTGAAAAGCAATTTGCAGTGCTAATCAGATGGGAAAAAAAAATTATGTAGCCATCTGACATCACCTCACCAGATTTGGTCTTCCCGGTAACTCTTGTGCAATTTTTACGCAAATTCTATGCGAAAGAATCTTAACGATCTTTTAAATTTTTCGAGAGTATGATGTGTCCAATCACTGTCTACCACTACGTATTTTCCTATATTGAAGAGAAATTTCAACCACAGGTAGATTGAAAAGGTTTCTATTTATTGCAAAAGAGACGGAAAGAAGCACAAAGGGCTCTGAAAAGGGAATGACTGCATCTATCATTATCTTCCCCATCACCACCTAACTTCCATATTTGGAAAAATTCTCTTTATGCGATATTTGTACCTAGATTAGAAGCGATAAAAGTAGTTGTTTGGTTTAAGTAAACACATCCAGGATCTCTCCTTCTTTCCGTCCAAACACCTCTTCTGCGGTATTTTCTGAGAATAGTGACTGTGAATCTTACGGATCACAATGAGAAAAAAAAGGATTTACCTGGTTCCAACTAGGGATTTTCACTGCGGTTCGACGGGTGTAGGCAAGGAAAAGAAAAGTAGATTCTTAGCTGGTCGTCACTTGCTGCTTCCACTGGGCCACTTGGTTGACGGTAAAAATAGAGAAAGAGATTACAAGGAGAAAAGCTACTAAATAGAGGTTATATCGGATTAGAAGCTATACACTTTTTAATAACTTCTTCTGCCACTGAATATACGTGCAAGGTGTGGTTGTTGTTCCCTTATGGTAATTAAGTTTTAGTTACATTTTCTTTTCATTGTCTCCTCTAGTGGCAAAGACTGGGAGGTATTTACCAAAACTTTGGTATTTTTTTCTTCTTGTGTGTATTCATGAAGAGGCATTTCTCAACACTTTCCCTAGATGATTCTCCTTGACATATGCGTAAATAGTAAAATGTCACTGCATACAGTGGCAAACGAAAAAGGTACACCTCCTTGGAAGAAATTTACCTGACTAAATATATAATTAGAGAGATGGAATATTTAAGGAGTGCTTCTCTTTGCTAATTAAAGAAAGTAAGGATATTAAACTTTTTAAGTATTTAGATAAGTTAGGTTCCTTTCTTCATAAATTTAAATATTCCTTGAAATTCATTTAATGGGTTTTTACCTGTAGTCAAAACCCTTCAACAAGTTTAACAAACGATTTCTAAAGGAATTTAATTTCAAAATCGAATACTTGTGGGTCTATTTCGGGCTATTTTAATAAGCTTATACCTTGATAAATTGGATGACAGCTGGGGTTTTTGTCGTTCCACTATGAAAATAGTATCTGGAATGTATTATTAAAAGAGGTGTTCGCGTTGATACTGCATAGGAGCCAGTTAGTTGTCAAACAATTTTATTTAGTGTGGTTGCAGGCAAAAGTTAAGAGATTTTGGGGGGGAGGGTGTCACAATTAATTTTCTTTATTTAATCAACAAGAGAGCCAAGAAGTTGGTAAAGAGGTTATTTTCTTTGTTGTTAGAAATGAAATGCTTTTGCTATTTGTAGATAATAAAATCAACAACAACCCGATCTGATGAGTCGTTGAATGGGTAGTAATAAGTGTGGTATTATAGACTTTGACAAATAGTCATATGACTTTAATTCCTCAGTTTTAAGGAAAGTAAACTAAATCTAGATGATGTTCAGAAAACCAACATCTCCTTTTGTTATTCCAGCGCATACTGATCTTTTAATACTAGAGCAAAGTGTTCAAAATAAATATTTTAAGTTCAATAATACAACCTGAACCCTATTGCTCTACTTTCATGCCTCTAGCTGAATTTTAGATAATACTATCCTTTTTTCCTTTCCTTTGTCATGAACACAATTTTTCACTTCGACGGTTCTCGATGGATCGATGATCCTTTTTCTTAATAATCGCAGTTAGATTACTGACTTTCTGGGTGTACACCTCAGATTCTCTGTTTTTTATCTAACCAACATATACAGTGCCACAATTGAAGTAATATATCTTAGTTCTATAAGTATTTAACCGCTCATGATATTATTGTATAGCGAACTTGTTAGCAATTAAGTATATTTCTGGTGAACTCACCACTTGACACGGACCGGCACGTGACCGCGAGAACCAAGGAATCATCATAATATGATTCCAAAGTGAACATCCACTAGATGACGCCAATTAAAAACAGTGAAAATTTTACTTTCAATGTTGTTGAGTGTTGTGAGTGAACGCAGATGGTTGTTTGCTGGTTGGTCTTGGTAGAAATACGATAAATAATGAGTCAACAATGTCGAATTCAATGGCATTTTTCACCAACCATCAAATGTTTGGAAAACATATATAAAGGATGAAATACATAGTCTGTTTTTCTATTTTCTATGAACTTTTCTTTATTATATTGGTTTGATGCTTATTAATGATACTATATTATCACCCCAACCATTTTAAAACGACAGTCACGATGAAATTTCTAAATCGTGCACAAAGACCTGTTTTATTTACTGGTAAAAGATATTTGTCGACTCCAACTAATAATAATATAGATGTTGTTCATCGTGCAATTTCTGCATCTGAGCCTATTCATTTTTGGTCTAAAAATGATATTAAATCAATCTATGAGACGCCTTTGTTAAATTTGATATTTGCTGCTCAGACTCAACACAGAAGATTTAATGATCCAACCAAAGTTCAGCTATGTACATTGATGAATATCAAGACTGGTGGTTGCACTGAAAATTGTAGTTACTGTTCTCAATCTTCAAGCAATAATACTGGTTTAAAAGCTGAAAAATTGGTCTCTGTTGAAGAAGTCAAAGAAGAAGCTTTGTTAGCAAAGAAAAATGGATCAACTAGATTCTGCTTGGGGGCTGCTTGGAGAAGTATGGACGGTAGAAAGAGTGCTTTAAAGACAATTTCTAAGATGGTTCAGACTGTGAATGACATTGGGTTGGAGAGTTGTGTCACACTAGGTATGCTTGATAAATCTCATTCAGACACATTAAAGGATGCAGGTTTATCAGCTTATAATTGTAACATTGATACCTCAAGAGAACATTATAAAAACATTGTTTCTACAAGAACTTATGATGACCGTTTGAGAACATTGAATAATGTCAGTAAATCTGGTATCAAAGTATGTACTGGTGGTATCCTGGGACTTGGCGAATCACATGATGACAGAATTGGATTCTTGTACACATTGTCAAATACAAATCCTCATCCAGAATCAGTTCCAATAAACAGATTGGTAGAAATCGATGGTACTAAGATTGTTAATGATCTTAAGAAGAGTAAAAATCCCAAGTTAAAATTCGAGGACATTGTGAGAACAATTGCTACTGCGAGAATTATCATGCCAAAAACCATGATTAGATTAGCTGCAGGGCGTTATACAATGCGGGAATATGAACAATTTATATGTTTTATGGCAGGGTGTAACAGTATTTTCACTGGGAAAGATATGCTGACGACCCCTTGCAATGGATGGGATGAAGACAAAGTTATGTTGGCTAAATGGGGTCTAGAGCCCTTGAAACCGTTCTCTACTACATCCATATAGTTAGTCCGGTAGTTCCATTCCATACACAACTTATATATGTAAACACTTGAAACATAGTGGTATTTATTTATTTATTTATTTTCATAGTTAAACTCTAAGGATACCCATAATCTATTTTGGGTCTGGTCAACGTAGTTTGTACCAGTTAGTTTACTTTTATTAATGTTTTGGGGGATTTTAATAGCTTTTTAAATTCAGTATTTTTGAAATCCTTTTGTTCCTGCTTGAATTAATTATTAAAGTTGTTTCAGCCGTCGGTCAATCTTCTTTTGTAGATCGCTTAGTACCCAAATTTTTTAATGAAGGCGAAGACTATTTTGATATTACGTAATTGGAGCTATATCAGATTTAAACTTTCTGGCATTTATAAATCACATTAAGAATACGTAATAAAGTCACCGAACTGTAGCTATTAGATGATTATATGATAAATGGCTAGCCCTAGCTCGACAAAAACACATGTTACTCGTAGAAGAAGAAAGTTTAAATCCTGTCTGTTTTGCAGGAACAGAAAACTGAAATGTGACCATGCCGAACCTATATGTATGCAGTGCTCAAAGAGAGGTTTCACTAAGTGCATATATTCTAGAGATTTTAACTTTAATATTACTGCAGAAGAGTTGTTTGAGAAATTTCCAAATGTTCAATTGGTTGAAGAGGTTACTAAATTACAAACTCAGATTGAAACTGAAAAACCAAATCTTCAAAGAGATCCTAACAAGTTGCAATTTATTGGTAAACAGTATTTTAGTAAAGATAATAAACAATTATATGGATATTCTTCAGCGGAATGTATGACGAATTTTGAACCAACTTTCCTCCAAGAGACGTATATAGATAAGTCAAAACAAATAATTCAAGAATTCCATATACACAGAAATAGAAGCACAGTAACAACTGAAACTTTAGATTTTGAATTTATGTTACCAGAATCATCGAAATATAATATGGAAACATTATGTGAAGGGCTTCCGTCATATGAAATGATTAAATTATGCCTGACCCATTTTTTTAACAGTTCATTGCATGATCTACTTGGGGTGATCGATAAAAAGAAGACACTAGACACATTCTCAACTTACTTTATTTCGGATAGAGGAAATCAGGATCCCACCTCAAGAGTAACACAGATACTAATCCCTCCTAATGGAAACATTTTTCAGATAGCTATTATTCTGTTTCTTGTTGCGATATCACCAAATTTAGAGGCTACCTCACCTTCATTGTGTAATTTTTTGACTGCTGTTACAGAAATATCAGTGAATCGTACTAGAAATGTGGAATTTTGCCAGTTTTTGGTTTTAAGATGTTTCTGTAGATCATATGATAACAGATTAGGATTTTCAAATGATATTTTAAAGAAAGTATTAGTTAACAAACTTTGTGAGAGTTGTTTGGACTTGGGCTTAACTGATGTTGACCTAATTTACTCTGAAGAGAAATATTCAGCGTCAGAGTTGGTTAGTTTAAAGAAGACTTTTTACTGGGCATTACTTCTTGATGTACACAGTTCTTTAGAATTTGGTACGCAACTTTGTATTCAGGATAGTTCTTTGGATGGCGGGACCATCTTTAACGCAGATATTGCAGTGTGTGGTACAAATGTGAATAAGAGAAGGAATGATATGCTGAAAAATTTTTTAGGGATAATGAGAACCATGCTTCAACAGTTTAACCAAAAGAGAGGGATGCCTTACTGTAATATTACAAATCATACAGGATCCATCCAAAGGTTTATAGAAACAAAGTTACTGCCAATGAAGTTTTATGCTGATTTTGATTCTCCAGCGATGACAGATCCAATGGATCTACTTATCTTAGGTATTTTGCTGGAAGCTTTAATTGTTTTGAATCACTCTAAAAAAAAGTACTATCATGAAGTTAGCGCGGAGGTTGATAATGAAATTATTCACAATTGTAATTTATTATTCACTGTTAGTCTTCGATCTATCATTACGAGCCACTCTGTTGATGAGTTTGCATATCCTGACCTTTTTAAGGAGGTAAAAGGAGAAACTCCTCATCTCCACTTATTTTTAGGTATAACTGAAGAATTTTTGACTAGATCTGCACATCATTTTTACTCTGTTGTTTTAGAAGATATGCCTAATAGTAATTTGATAAATGGAAATGACACCAATCTTGACATGGCAACTGTCCATGATTCTGTAGTGAAAATACAAAGTCTATTTGGTAAAATAACACAAGAAAATGAGAGAAAATTATTATCTAGAATGAAAAATTCTGATACTTTTATTGCATCATTTCTCCAACAAGTCGTTTCTTTTAAGTACTGGCTGGATGTTATTGGTGTAGCGAAAGAACTTCCAAAAGTTTTAGGAGAATACTCCTCTGATGGAGAAGTAAATTCTGCTATCATTTCTGGATCATATCCTAAACTATTTGAGAAATTAAGTACTTGGGATAATGAAGATATCGTTTCTAATGTATTTTCCCAGTTTTCCTAAACTATTAAGTTTTTAAATGATAATGAAGAGGTAACGGTTCTATTTATGGTATTATCACAATTATAACAAAAAAATAAATTAATATAAAATTTTGAAGTTATATATCTTATAGCGTATGTGGATTTTTCTATAAACTATTTAAAAACTAAATTCTTTTAAAAACTATTTTATATTTCATATTGTCGGTAAAGAGCCCAAACTATCACCAATTACCCCCGAAAATAATTCAAAATTAGACTGTAATAATTGTTGTAGAACTTCTTGCTCATTAGAAGAAAATTCAGGGTTTCGAGGTATGACTGTTAGATTATCGTAGACATTAGCTTGCTCAAGGGCATCTTTCATTAAGTCCAGAAGCGTATTGTTAAACCCAGTAAGGGCGAGCGGGTTGGTTGTATAGTATAATACAATATTTATGTCAAGCGGTCCTAAACCCCATTTCAGTTTCATCATATCCAAGATCTTGGAGGGTATCTCATTAGTTTCGCTGGCCTTTCGCCAATAATCGTTTGTTAGCTTTACAAGCTGTTCGTTTTCAACTATATAATGAACATATCTCCCCATCAACATAACTTGGTAGCAACCAAAGTATGTGTCACCATATTTTGAAAGAGTACTGTTTATAATACCATATATTTGCTTCTTTATCTGAACAGATATTTGTTGTAAATTTCTAAACATTATACTTTCGGTCATGTTCGACCTTTCTAAGAACATGTATTTGTTGGATGTATCTTTGTTCCGTAGGATAGAATATTTGTAGCAAATTCTCAATATTAGTCCAAGTTGGATACTTTGGATTTTGATTACTATAAAAGCAACAGATTTGTTAAGACAGTATTCATGGTAGCGCATGATTACTGATCTGTACTCATTGTCTAGGAATTTTTTCACCAACGATGTCAATTCAAGATATGCATCAAAGCTTTGTAAAACAAATTGGTGGTAGTATGTCTGATATTTTTCTAACTTTTGGCAGCATTTTTTCTCAAAATATTGAGATAACATATAAAATATATTCATTAAACTTGAAAAGAAAATCAAATTTATCCGTAATATTACTGTCTTCTCGATAGATGAAAAGTTAAAGCATGCACCTCTCCATTCTACTTCCACTAATTGTTTATTATCATTATCACTAAGTAGCTTTGAAAGTGGAAATTTTCTAAATGTAAATTCTTTTAATCGCTCTATTGCTTGAAAGATATTATACAGATTTAGATTCTTACACTGGGGACCACAGTTCACCATGACTTTATTCATTAACATATGAAACTGATATTCGTTATCATGTAAAACAAAAATTTTTCTATCAGTAAGTGTGGATGAGTTGAACTGTTCGATAAATGATGGAATGGATGATTTGGTATTATTGATAAAAGTTTCAAGATACTCAAAGTCAGAATCTCGGCATCCACCATCTGCAGTTATTATCTCAAGTCTTAACGATTGGAGACCAATCCATAATTTTCTTCTATACATGAAAAATGGCTGAGATGGCTTTTCTCTATCAAAATATCTTATAAATTGTGATGGTTCTTCATGTAAACCCAATGTATATGCCATATCCGTCAAACATTTAAGTGTTAGGATACTATTATGTGATATATGTTCTTCTGCGTTCCCTGGATTTAATATCTCGGATATTAAAAGATATAGAGAACAGCAGAGTATATTTTCTGTCGTATATTTGAATCCATTCAGCAAAGACAAGATCTTCTGAGAAAGCAGCAATAATTTTTTGGCTACTTCCCCAGATTCATCAGTATCTAAGATCGTTTCCTGGAAATTTAAGTTTGGATCCCTCAGTGTCAAACAAATAATTATAAGAAACAGAGTCAAGCTTTCTAAGCGTTCGCGAATATTCTCTTGAAAGATGAGAACTGTATATGATAAACTGACCCCATCATCGATTAATATTTTCCTTATATCGCTTTCGAAGAGTGGTATTTCTATTAGAGGATAAAATGGATATATATTTTGATAAAAATGTTTCAGAAGTTTATTGATCTTATTTTTCTGTGGTAGTAAAAGCTCGATCTCAGTAATTAGTTTCTTAATTGTAGAAACCAAGGATGGATGCATTCTATCTTCGATGGTAAATATTGTATTGAAATATTCCCAAGGCAACTGGTTGTTGACATTATCAGTAGTCTTGGCCACCCATTTCACGACAGCATCCTCAATAAACATTAGAGGACTAATTTCATTCACCGTTTTCAGAAGACCAGAGTTGATGTGTCCTTTGTCATTGTTATTGCTGGCTTTAATGTATTCCAGTCTACTTTGTAAGTCGGTAAGGGTAGTACCGTGGACAGATGGACAAAACAATCTCAAGTAGGGATCATGTTGAGCTATACTATGGGTAGCATACGGTAGATCCACATATGTATGGTATCCATGGCTGAGAAATTGCTTGTTTATATCCCACATTTCAAGCTTTTCATCCAGTCCATTAGTGTCAATCTTAACCTCTCTGTCTTCTGTAGACGATTCATCTGTCATGATATTTGATATAAAATTTGGGCTGATTGGTGGAATACTAAAGCCTGGGCTGGCATTGCTTGCTGGTGTGTCAACTTGGTTTGAAACAGTTGGTGGACCACTCAATCCGTAATCGTAAGAACATTCTCTCCCATTACGCTTGCATCTTGAACATTGAGGATGAATACGATCACATCTCAATTTTTGACTTTTACATGTAAGACATACAGTTGGTATTCTTTGTTTTTTCAGGGATTTAGGTTCCATTATGAAGCTTTGTACAATGTGAAGGAATTGAAAATTTCTAAATCAAAACACACGATCTTTCTTTCTTTCTGATAAGTGAAACAAAAATGATAAAACAGGATATCGTTTTATTCAACCAAAATCGTTAATATTTGTCATAAGAACACTAGTAGGTAAGTTTTTCTAGTAGTTTTGATTCGTACATATCCATAGATGGATGTTCTTTTCAAAGATTTGGGTTATCGGTTCCTTCAGTCGGTAGAAGAATCGGCCGTCTTCAATTTCGGTTCGGCCGAAACCAAATAGGTCATTTTTCAATCTCTTGTACTTTAAAAAAGAAACAAAAGTCAAAATCAATTCTTCAGATTAAAAGAAACTAAAAGATGTAAACAATGGTACCAATACTATATTTGAATGTATATTGAGGTGATACTATTCTGATTAAATATTTAGTATTGATGCTTTGACGGGCTAAACATATACGCTTCAAAAAACTGTTGAAAGATAACAAGAATTTTTTTCAAGATGATATTGTTCTTTCTTTAATAAGATACAAGAGCTCTGAGAAAGGTCAACACACAACATACATTTGTTTCACGCACATGGGTGGATCATATGTAGCTACGATTGCTTTTCTTTCTTCTAGAGCCATTAATTAACTTGAAACTACACATTCAGGTTGGAATTAGAATGTTCTATTCTTTTTTAAAACAACATTGTTAAGTGTGGGGTCAAAATTGGAACAAATAAAAAAAAATGATTTTATTTGATTCCAATCTTTTCTTATTCCAGAATTCAAAAAAAACAGTTTATGTGTGTCCTTCCAACTTCTTAACTCCGTTTTCTGGAAGTAAATAGGAAAAAATAAGCACTACGAAAGATCTCCTTGGCAGTAAAACAGGATTTCTTTCTTTCTTTTTTAGTGTTTAAACTACTCCTGAAACATATCAAAGCATGTAGTCTGTTCATCGGAACAAGGGTATTTTCGAAAATTTCTTTTTACCTTGTTATCAGTACTAACCTATCAAGATAAGAAATCACTAGCGGAACAATAGGTTCTTAATAACTATTGTTATTTCCATCGAACCTTATGCTGAATTACTTCAGTATGCATAAATGAAACAAAGTTGCTCTGCTAGATTCTTTTCCTTTGACTTAGAAAATAAAGTACACCAAATAAAAGATTTATAATAGTATCTATTTTACTTCTATTGAAATATTTTTTAAGAACTATTGTTTAATGTAGCACAAAAAACAAGTAGAACAAAAAAAGGTTTTTGAATTTTCTCCTTCAATGAACCTCCACAGTAATTATCCTGATCATTATACCATTCCCAATATTGCAAATAAGAGTCAAATATCGTAACCTTCTGATTATCTTTGTTCCTTTCCCACTAAAAACTATTGCTAAAGTACACTTGTTTTTCCTTGAAGTGTCGGATGGGCCTGAAGTCCGTTCGGTTTCCGACATTCTTGAGATCTGAAACTGCCGCGCGAGTTGCTTTTTATTGCCCCACTATACCCGAATGCGAAGAAAGCGCTGCAGATAAGAGACTTTCGACTATGTTTTCATTAGCCCTTCCAAGAATGCTATGAAACTGGAAAGTGGTACAAAATAGTTTATGAGTCTATATTGGTGGTGCAGTTAGCTATCATGCTTTACTGGTATTCATAGGAATTATTTGTTTGTTCGTCCTGGAGTATCTATGTATTACCAAATCCTCGTTACTTCTTTTTTTTGGCTTTTAGCAGAAAAGCAATTTTTGATGGTACGTAGTGGGGTGCTTGATAAGGTATGTTTCATATGAACATTCTTGCATTGGCAAGTATTTATGCTTTTGTTTCCTACTGGTTTTAAGTGTCTAATTGTGTCATGAAACAAGTGGGGGTCGGTCATAATGGAATAAAACGGAATATGTTTTATGAAACAAAATCATACTACTAACATTCCGAACATACTTTGATGTTTTAAAAAGTATGATATCCTTTTAAATATGGATTTATATTGGATCATGGAAAAAAAAATGCATATATAAAGAAGATCAAGAATTCATTAATTTACAAATTTCAACTTCAATTTATTTTCTTTATCTTATTATCAGTCATAAGAAACCATCAATATCAAGTATTCCAATACTTCATACATTCAAAAAAAAACAATAATATCAACAACAAACATGTCTCAAACCTGGTTCTCCAAGTCTACTCTACTTTCATTAGCTGTTCTTTTGACTGCCTCCATTGCTCTACCAGTTGTCAAGAGAGATACCATTAAAATTGGTAACAAGGGCTGGTACTTTGACCTAACCGCTGCTGACACTTCTGCTTGGGCTGGTGCAGTCTCCACTGTTTGTGCCTCAGGTAACGTCGGTGTCTGTGCTGGTGAAACTGTTGTCGCCACAGTCCTAACCGGTATCATGGCTCTAGGTAACACTGGTTCCACTACTTCTTCTTCCTCTTCTTCTTCTTCTGGCGACGACACTGTTGCCATTACTACTACTGCTGCTGCTGATGTTGGTGTTACCAGCACTGTCGCCAGTGCTGCTGCCACTTCTTCTGCTGCTGCCTCTTCTAACATTATAGGTAATGTTGTTACTGCTGTTGAAAACATTCCAAAGGAAGTCGAAAGTCTTCTATCTGGCTCTGGTATTAATTTGCTAGGTGTTTACAATATTTCTTCCAAGGTTTCTGATGCAGTTCAAAACATTATTCATTTCGATACATCTTTAGGTCAACACATTGCCGCTCAAATTGGTGGTGAAGCTTCTAACCTAACTCAATTAGCTGAACAAATCGTTAAGGCTGTCCCAGGTATTCCAACTTTTTCTAACTTGACTGTACTTGCTGAACAAGCTGTCGAAGCTGCTGCCAAGAACGATGGTGAAAATGTCATTTCCTGGATGACTTACAACATTAAGGAAGCTGAAGATGGTCTAACCGATATCATCAACAGTTTAGGTGGTGCTGATATGTCTCAATTTGCTACTGAAATCAACGATTTCATTCAAAACAACGGTGCCTGGAAGTTCTGTCTATCTCCATCCTCTCAAGTTGTTAACGTTACTGTCAGTGAAAGTTACAAATTATTCGGTGAAATTTACTTAAACACTTACGGTGGTATTGATGCTGAATGTGCATAAATGAAGATATATCTTCTCATTTTATTCTATTTTTTTTCCTTTCAAGGATTGATTCCTAATACCTTACAGTTCTTTTTTCTTTCCATTCATTATCACAATATTTTTAAAATCAAAAATATTGTCTGGTCTTCAAATTTTCATTCATATTTTTATACATTATATAAATTCATAGCACTTCAATGCACGTCATATCATTAAATAAACATTAAAGTTAAAAAAAACTATCACAATCATAATTTTTTGACATTAAGTAGTTTCTAAATATATACACAGTTGTATATACAAATATCTATGGTTAGTGTCACAGTTTCTGTAACAATTCTATTATGTCAGATTGAATATCTATGGGTCTCGTTAAGGCATTATACCTTTTTACTACATTACCATTTCCATCAACTAAAAATTTTTCAAAATTCCACCTTACACCTTTCACGCCCAAATCTCCTGACAAATGCGATTGTAAATATGCATACACTGGATGTTGTTTGGGACCATTAACGTATACTTTTGGAAATACAGGAAACGAAACACCATAGTTACGTTTACAAAATATTCTGATTTCCTCATTCGTACCTGGTTCTTGGTGACCAAATTGATTACAAGGGAACCCCAATACTTGGAATCCTTGGTCCTTACACTTCTGGTACATAAACTCTAACTCTTTATATTGTGGAGTATAGCCACAATTTGAGGCTACATTTACTATTAGGACGACTTTACCCTTCAGTTGTTCGAAGGAGAATACCGTCTGATCGCTCTTCTGAACTTCTAATTGGTAAAAGTTCGTCGACATGGTATATAAACAACTTGTTCTTCGACGAATTCTTAAAACCTGATTTATCCTAGTTCGTACAACTTTTGTAACACAACACTTTATAATCGCTAACCTAATATTTCCTTCATAGAACTGTAATGTTACAAGTATGTATGTATATGTATATATATATATATATCTGTGTGTGTAGATTTCTATATGCAAGATCCATCTCTAATTTTGTATTATGTCAAAATATTAAATCTTGATAATTTTTCACCTGAAAAAAAATTGACCCAAAAAAAGCTCAAAACTTTCGGAATTTTTGAGTGCTGAAATCGCTTGTTTGTGCGGATGTCTCTTCGGCCTGAAACACATATTGTAAATCTTTATTTTCAAAGATATGAAACAGGTTTCTCCCACAGGTGTACAGTTCACCTAATGGCATACTAGGGTGTCGGAAGTTGCAGTGATGAGGTACACGTTGGCAATGAGCAAACTTTGCATAAGATACAGGTTACTTATACTCTATCTTTAAAGTCTTCTTTAAAGTGCTGAATATTTAAACAAAAACCTGACAAACAAATAGGTAACTTCAGAAACGCCAACTATCATCATGGAAACTCAGTTAGCTAAATAATATCTTGGCTTTCATGTAGTTACAAATTCTTGTCTTTTTTTAATTTTATTTTAGTTTTTTTTTTTTTATAATGATAGAACGGACTTAAGGAATTCTTATTTGATATCCACAAAAATAAGCTGACTTACAACTTTTTAGCTAAAAGGAAAGAAATTAGTGCCAACATGAAAAAAGTCCCTAAAATGAGTAAAATAATTGTGGTAACAGGTACCTCCAGAGGTATTGGTAAGGCTATTGTTGATGAATTGATGGAACTAGACCCTAATGTTGTGGTTTATGGTGTTGCAAGGACTGAGGCAGCATTGAAACAATTAGCAACTGAATATAATGGTAGATTCTTCTACGTTGCAGGTGATATCTCTCAAAAGTCCGTTCAAGAGGAACTTGTGTCTAGAATTAAGAAGCAACATGGTTATTGCGATGGGCTAGTAGCTAATGCCGGTGTGCTAGAACCTGTTGCTCCTGTGGAAGAATACGATCAAGAGCAGTGGTTAACTCATTTCAATATTAATTTTTTTAGTATCGTATCTCTAGTGTCACAATTACTACCACAGATAGAGGCTGCACGTGGAAACATTGTTTTTGTCAGTAGTGGAGCAAGTGTCAAACATTATTATGGTTGGTCCTGTTATGGTGCAGCTAAAGCAGCTCTGAACAGTTATGCTCAAGCATTAGCCTGTGAAAAGCCTTCAATTCGGAGTATCGCTGTGGCACCGGGTGTAGTCGATACGCAGATGCAAGTGGATATCAGAGACAAGTTTGGCCCAAGATCAATGACCGCTGAATCCCTCAAGAGGTTTACCGATTTACAAGAACAAGGTCAACTATTACCACCAGATGTCCCAGGTGCTGTATACGCCGCTCTTGTATTCAAGGGTATCCCAAAGGAGCTAAACGGGGCCTACATCAGACTTAACGACCCTCGCCTGGCAGAGTCATAGTTGTAACAACGCCTTCTGTTGGTCATCGATGACACATTTTTATTATCGTCATCATTGTCAGGCTCCTAGTTAACTCATTACTTCTATATAGATTAGATTCTAAACTATTTAGTCAAATATGCTAATAAATTTATCATTTATTCCACTGGAAAAAAAAACTTCTTCGCTCCCTATTGAAGAACGGTATTTTCCCAACGGAATTTTGGTTTTTGCAGTTTCCACGCTGAGAAAAAAGTTTCAGTTAGTCATCGCGGATTGTAATTAGCTCAGCAAAAGAAAGCAATGCAATCTGAAATTTGGGTACTTATACTTTTTTCACGATTGCAATGGAATATGAAGATAAAAGCAATGTTCTGGGAGAAATTTAGTATATAAAGAGGTAACCGTTTTATTAAAGAATTAGATTGTTTGCATTTGGGGTTTTCTACTTTTATTTATGAAAAAAGAATACTACAACACAATATACTTAAATTAAAATAAGGAACGTTACTACTTATTTTCTTTTAGAACGTCGAAACAAAATATATAAATAATAATAATAATAATAACATACAATGCCTATTACATTACATCTAAGAGCTGAGACCAAGCCTATGGAGGCTCGTGCTGCCCTAACCCCAACCACCGTACAACAACTGATTTCTAAGGGTTTCAAGATCTATGTCGAGGAATCCCCACAATCTACTTTCAATATTAATGAATATAAGAAAGCCGGTGCTATCATTGTTCCAAAAGGTGATTGGATTTCTGCTCCTCGTGACAGAATCATTATCGGATTGAAGGAAATGCCAGAAGAAGATAAATTTCCTTTAGTACACGAACATATTCAATTTGCTCATTGCTACAAGAATCAAGATGGTTGGAAGGATGTGTTGAAGAGATTTATTAATGGTAATGGTACATTATACGATCTTGAATTTTTAGAAAACGATGAAGGTAGAAGAGTTGCTGCCTTTGGGTTTTATGCAGGTTTTGCTGGTGCCGCGTTAGGTTTAAAGGATTGGAGTTTTAAACAAACTCATTCTGATAGTGAAGACTTACCAGGTGTTACTCCATTTCCAAATGAACAAAGTTTAATTAAAGATATTAAAAAAGATTATCAAGCTGCTTTAAAGACTGGTGCAAAGAAACCAACTGTTTTAATAATTGGTGCTCTGGGAAGATGTGGTTCAGGTGCTATTGATTTCTTACATAAAGCTGGTGTTCCAGATGGTAATATTATTAGATGGGATATGAAGGAAACTGCTAAAGGTGGTCCATTCCAAGAAATTGCTAACGCTGATATCTTCATCAATTGTATATATTTATCCAAGCCAATTCCACCTTTCATTAATTACAAATTATTAAATAATAGAAATAGAAGACTAAGAACCGTTGTGGATGTCTCTGCTGATACTACCAATCCACATAACCCTATCCCAATTTACAGTATTGCCACAGTTTTCAACAAACCAACCGTCAGAGTAAATACCACAGCTGGTCCAAAATTGTCTGTGATCTCAATTGATCATTTACCATCCTTGTTACCAAGAGAAGCATCTGAATTTTTCGCTAGAGATCTGTTACCATCTTTGGAACAATTACCAGAGAGACAAACAGCACCAGTATGGGTCAAGGCCGAAAAATTGTTTGAAAGAAACTGTGCTCGTTCTTACAGATCCTCTAAATTGTAATTCAAACTCATCATCATTTTTTTCAAAAATATTATCTTTACGTACATACATATATACTTACATTTTTCATTTAATTTAATTATTCACTTCAACTATTTAGTGGAGAAATTTACGCATTTGTTTCTACCTCATTATGAAAGTTGATAGTTATTATCACTATTGTTTTATTGTTTACCGAAGTACCTCGGTTTCACTCTTTTAGTTCTGACGCTAAAGGTGAAATTTTATAAAGTTAACCAAATCATAAAAAAAATACAAATTGTTAATTTTTTCATTTTTAAATAATTCTATATATAATTCAGCCCACAATAAGATCATTGAGTTTCTTCGTTGTTGGAAAATTGTTCAAATTCTCAGTAACGTAGTTTTTCATTCTTTGGTTACCTAACCAAATTTTACCTAGACCTACAATCAAATAACTCTTCACCAAATCTGTAGACTTCGTGATGAAACTTGATTCATTGCCTTGGTATATGCTATTGAATATCACAAAGGTTAATAATAACAGTGTCAAAGGAATCCAGAAGAACAATAACATGTTATCATTCTGGAAAGTTTTCTTTTGATTAACAAAAAATCTGTTCAATTTACGCTGTAATAAGTCATCTTCTTCGTCCTCCGAAGTTGATGATGCGTTATGTGTATCCTGCGAGGACTCGATACCTTGTCTTATCACCTCTATCTCTTTACTATCCTCATTCGACTTACCATTGAGTCTTGGGAACAAATCATCGTAGCTAGGTAAATCATCATTTAAATGATTCAACATTCTATCCCATAGCGATTGTCTTTTAGGGTTATTATTTTCTGTTTCATCAGTTTGTTCTCCATTGATTGATCTCTCAATAACTTGCGCCGTAGTTTCAATAGATTGTGTATTGTCCTTGACGCCTTCAATATATTTATCTTCCGTTAAGTCAGTATCGTTTTCATTATTATCATTATCACTACCTTCGGAATATGAAATATTATCTTCAAAATCACAATCTGAAGCATCACTATCACTGCTATCATACTCATCATACTCATCATTATAAAGATTATTAAAGACACCTTTTGATTCAATTTTCATTGCATTATCATTCAAATCTTCATTAAATATACTTGAGTCAACACTTGAATGAGATGAAATTCTTGACAAATCACCTAAATTATTATTCTTACTTTCATGCTTATCAAACAATTGTATAATTTCTTTAAATGATTCATGAGTCTTTTCATCAAAATTATCCATAAATAATTGTTTTGGAGTAGTGTGATTATCATTTTTAACTTTCATGTTGGCATTACAATTTAATAACATATTAATTACTTTTAATTCACCTCCAATAGCTGCAAAATGTAATGGTGTAAAAGCAAATGAATCCTCAATATCCAATCTAACACCTGACTTAATTAATAATAAACTTAAATCATAATATCCACTCAATGCAGCCAGATGTAATAATGTTCTACCGGTAGGATCACACATTGATAAATGAGCTGTTGTCTTGTTCATTGATTTTATTACTTGAATGATTAATTTTTCATCTGTAACATCAAGATTATAATTATACTGAGATCCATCCATTGTTGATGTTTGCCCTTCCGTTGCATTAGAAGAATCATCACCATTGCCCACAATTTTTTTAGCAATATTTCTTGCATCATCTAATCTACCATTCATCTTTAAACCAACAATTTGTAAAGCTAATTCAATTAATTGTCTATCTGTCTCATCCGTATAAGTAAATACTGAACTTTGAATATTGTTATTATAACTGTTTGAAAATAATTGAACATTGCTGTTAATTGGATCATCTGGATCAGTCACAGTCACTAGAACTTGACCTGGTGTCTGTGTTGGAGGTAAATAAGTTACCATAGTTGAACTATTCCAACATTGTGTTGAAAGAGCTAAATTATTACCAAATCTAATCTTTAAGCCATCTTTAAAATTTGATCCTAATAAAGTGACTTCAATACCACCAGTGGTTGGACCTTTACCTGGGATAACACGTTGTAAAATTGGTTGATTTGGATCATTAAAAGTATTAATATCGTTGGTAAAATCTGTTAAAAAAGTAGAATTTGATGTAGAGGCAATATTTAAATGTGATCTTTTCCTTGGATTTTGTGTTGGTGTAAAAGCTAAATTATTAAAATTCATTGAATTTTGTCTTGGTAAGAAATCCGCTGTTGTTGCAGATGAAGAATAATCTTGATAATTTGCGCTAACGTATTCACTATTGAAAGACTCTGAACCGCCTTCACTTAAAGAATTTGGTGATGGAATAAATCGTTTTGGTTGTTGTAAAGGTATCGATGGAGATACGGTATTACTAGTATTCAAAGATTGGTTACTTGAAGTACGAGTATCTTGCATTGATAACGTTGGTACGGAATCATTTGATGCAATTAAATCTATGGCAGATTGAGAATTATTTATCGACGAAGGTTTTCTATCTGTAATTATAATTGGTGTTGTAATTTGTTTAGCTAAAACTGTATCGTTGGAATCTAAAACTATTAATAATATTTTAAAACCATCATTAGCTTTATGATGTCTACAATAACAAACAATTCTTGTTGTTAAAGAGACTTCAATATCATTTTTAAGAGCTAAAATTTGTTTATTATTAAATAAAATTGCACTTCTTCTTGGATTATCACACCAAAGTAAATTATCACTCAGTCCTGATTTTCTACGAGAGGCACGACGTTGTTCTCTTTGAACACATTTCATACAAACGTCAACAATTTTGGGACTTGTCATCATATATTCATCATTAACTAACAGGAAAGTTTTCACTTGTAAAATTTTATCAATCGATGGTTCCGATTTTGTAGTTAGAGAATCCTTTAAATAAAATTTTTGCCTTGATATTGTATTTGTTGGTAATTGAATATAATGTTTATTAATTAATGGATGATTAAACTTAATATTTAATTTAAGTTGATTTTCTACTCTTGTTACATCAGGCAAATTATTCACAGTTATCTTATAAGGTAAATCATTTTCATTAAGGTTAACGTATTCAGTTAAAGTAGTCAAATCAATAATATTATTTTCAGATTTTGAATCTGGATCAATCGGTAGATTTCTACCAAACAACAGCTTATCATCAACAATTTCTTGGTAGTTGACATCATCAACTATCGAAGTATCTACTCTAATATTATCGAAATGTTCATCTAACATATGACTTAACGTAGCATCCTCAAAAATTTCTTTGTCATGTGGTTGAACCGGCTCATCAAACATCGAGGGATCTTCTAATTTTAAATACATCATCTCATCGTTATCATCATGGGACCTTTCTTCTTGCAAATTTCTCGGATCAAAATCCACCATCATATTATCAGGTAGCACACTCATCACTGTACCTTTTATAGTATCCTTTACAGAGCAAGCAAGCAAGCAACAGCAAACGTTCAAAACTTCTTCTTATCTCGAGTGTGTCTTCTCTGTCTTTCCTTATATATATAGAAGGACTGTCACTCAACGGAAATTCCGTCCATTTTCTTCGCTGGGTGCTTTACTGGGCATCTCCGGCCAAAATCGTGTTTTTTTGTTGAGAAATGGTTACGCCGCACCTCGTTGGAAGTGATGTCTGTGTTTTTGTTGAGCACCCTCGTGACAAGTGATGTCTGGGCAGTGGCCCTGTGTCTGCTCATACTAAAAAACCCACGTTCCCACATCCGATGACTGTTGCACACCGCTCACGAGACTGCCAAGTGACTTGGTGGGAACTCGGTTGCGGTGCGACGTGTGCCCAAGCCCTAACGTCCCCCCTCTGCTGGCAAACCCTGCCTTTCTCAGCTCATCGAGAAATTTTTCAGTTTTTTTTTCCAGTTTTGCGATGCCCTCAGGAAAGAGAACAAAATACTAGTTTTCTCTGTATAGAAGAAGAAGAAGATGACGAACAGCAGTTAAAGACATGGGATACCTTGAAGGACAAACCAGAGAATCGACTTACCTGACTGCCCGATGAGTACTGTTAAATTTGCTGAAGAGGAGACCGTCGTTGAGCCTGTCGTTGCTGCTGTTGCTGAACCAAAATTCCCACCACACCCCGATGTGAGTAGAATTCTAGGTAATATATATATTAGTGGGATTCAACCGATAGTGGACCATGCTCCATTGAAGGCACAATATGGCATCACGCATATTCTATCTGTGATAAGATTTAATATTATTCCGGAATATTTGGTAAGAAAGGGCTATACTTTGAAGAATATTTCAATTGACGATATTCCACAAGAAAATATCTTACAATATTTTAATGAAACAAACAAATTTATTGATGAGTGTTTATTTCCTAACGAATTAGAGTATGATCCAAACTTAGTCAGTTTTAAGAAAAAAGCTCAAAAGAATGGGATTTTAATCCATTGTCAAGCTGGTGAATCAAGATCCGTAGCGTTTGTCACGGCTTATTTAATGTATAGATATGGTTTAAAATTGAATCAAGCATTATATGCCATTAAGAGGAAAAGACCCTCTGTTAAGCCAAATGATGGGTTCTTGAAACAATTGAAACTTTATGAATCAATGGGATCTCCACAAATTATTGATTATTCAAATGATAAACTTTATAAAATTTGGAAATTGGAAAATATGTCATTACAAGAAAATTTTCAAATTGAAAAAAATTTTTATAAAGAAGGTAATGATGAAGATTTAGAATTAAAAAAATTAAATAATGATGATTTGAAAAATGTTACAGTGGTTAGATGTAAAAAATGTAGACATAGATTAGCTTTATCAACAAGTTTTATTCCTCATATTCCACCAAGTAAGGACTCCAGTGAATCTCATTTCATTAGAAAAGCTGCTAATTCAAATAGAGTTATCGATATCCAAGAATCTCAGGATACTTGCTCTCATTATTTTATGGAACCTTTAAAATGGATGGAACCAGAATTATCAAAACAAGAATTAGAAGGAAAATTAACTTGTCCAAATTGTGAAATGAAAGTCGGTGCTTATAATTGGAAAGGTTCAAGATGTAGTTGTGGGAAATGGGTTACACCTGCCATACATTTACAATCAAATAGAGTAGACCAATTCCCATTAAATAAAGTTGCATTACCTAATATAGTAAATTTCAAACAGAGAGAATAGTACATATCTACATAGTTGACACATATATATATATATAAGTTAATTTTTTTTCAATTTCAAATCGTATCATCATCGTAACAAATTGCATTTTCTTCATCCCAACTCTCATTCTCATCTTCCTCCCTTTGTTCATCGTCTTCGGGTTCTTGTATAGTTAGACCTAATATATTAGCATTATCAAATGTATCTATCCCAGAATGTTCAACAGCAACAATATTTGAAGTTTGAAATGATTCATGAAATCTAAAGTTTAATTCATTTCGACCAGGTATATTATTTCCTCGACGTTCAAGACTCATATTCGATGCTTGGTTCTCTTCTACTTCATCACAATTGAATTCGACATTTCCATCAGATGATATACATCCTTGAATCATGAATGGCGATTCAATATTAGATAGATGCGTTATACTAGTTCGATTCCACAATGAATCATATATGCTATTAGTTAATACTTGTTGCTTGATTACTTCAGGTTCTTTCCCTCTGGATTCAAATCCAATTGGTTTAAAAATATTGCCTCCTAAAGATCGTAACTGATTTCGTCTTCTATTCTCATTCTCTACTTCAACATTCAAATAATCAATTTTTCCTTTCATGTTTCTAGAATATCGTAATGGTTGAGATCTACTAGCACTATACGCATTAAGCGAATGCATATATCTGTTACTTCGTATCCTCGTCCTTTCATTTTTATTATGCGTGAGAGTTCGTGGTGATTTCTTCTCTTTATCTCGATTTTGTTCCAATTGCTTCTTGATATTATTGAAAAGAGGCAAATCATTTAATGAATTTCTATAGGTATCTCCAAACATCTTGTGTTTATTCACTCCACTCCACTTCAACTGACGTATCTACAAATTGCGCACCTTGTTCTCAACCTGGCAATATATTCGTATTCCAGGGCAACACAACAAATACTTCTTCTTAACAACTGTCTTGGGCCTTGTTACTTTAGCGGTTGTTGTTGTCGTTGCCGCCTCTTAATTTTTCAAGATCGCGATGCTTTGTTATTTTATAGAAGAATCTCCTAATACGGTAATTTTATAATATACAATTTCTTTTATTATTTAAATACGCTATAACCTAAATCATTTACATACCCTCTTTATCAAATTTTGTGTATCGTCTACAGTCCATTCTAATAGTCTCTTTTTGGAATTGATTATTTCCACGTAACTGCTTAGAATCTCTTGGGTATTTAACTGTTGCTCCTCTAGGATAAGCTGCTTCTTCAAAGTTTTATCTGAGTTTGTTATCTTGTGGTCTCTTTTAGACTCAGAAATTTCTTCCAGATGTTGACCAATAGATATATTTTTCAATTCCATATCAGAAACACCACCGAATCTTGTGATTAATGTAGAACCACCATCATCTATTCTTTGAATCTTATAGATTATTGATGCAATCATTGAATTCATATTAGCATTCAAGTATGGGACATTGGTAATATTGGATAACCATTCCATTACTGATCTTTTCTTTAAAAAATCCACATCTTCCTTAGATCTTATACCATCTTCCAAAGTCTTTAAAACCCAACCTAATTGACTGAAATAGTATTCAAAATTGATATCTGGTTTTGAAGGAGAAATTAATTCATACATCATAGGAATATCGTTAGAACGGATGGAAGGTCCATTTAGAACCCATTTATAAGCCTTTTCATATAGTTGTGTTGTTGGATGAAGTAATAAATCGCAGATTCTACTTGTTGCATACCAAATAATAGGTATGATTTCACCATTTTCTCCACCGTTGTTATTACTACTGTAAACGATTTTTTTCAAGAGAATTTTAAAAATGTTACCATCTTTGAATTGTTGATTATTCTCTAAGGTGTGCATCATTTGGGTTAATAAGATAAGTGCAATTTGTTTAATATCTTTATCAGAATCTCCTAAAGCACCAACAAAATATTGAAATAGACCAGATGTCAAATATTTTCTAACTTGGAAAACCATCTGTTTTGAGGCTGGATCCTCTGGATTACTCTTTTCAGATACCAGTTCTTTGTTATGAATCGAAATCAATAATAGAAACAATGGATCATAAATGGTATGAGATGTTTCCTTTGGCAAAAGATACTCAGTATCTTGATAAAATAAATCTAATACCTTGAGTAACTCTACATTTGATTTCCTATCGTCTAATTCTGGAATATTAGGTCTGTCAATTCTATATTTGGAAGTAGAGAAGAGAATATCTCTTTTCTTCAAAGTTAAGATTAACCCTTCTTTTTCCTCAACAAATAATTTGGTATTTCCCATTAAATCTAATGTTTGTTCATCATCTTCTTCCATGAAATCCCAAGTGTAAATGTTGTTAGTCCAAACCAATGACGTAGTTGATTCAATGATTTCTAACATACGCAGGATTAATCTATCTACACTCGAAATACTTCCAGAGTAAAATGTAAGAAGTTTCTTTTGAACAGTGACATTTGCGTTACCAGTTGGGTCAACAATGAATAAACTATATAGCAAACAAATGATTGAGTAGGATAAATTATTTTGCATAGATGATCTGTCCAATGGACTATCTTCATTGTTTAAGATGAATTGAACGAGTCTTGCAGATTCAACATCCTTCTGTTTGGCGGCTAATACAACAAGTAAAGCGTAATTAATAACCTCTTCATCTGATATCCATTTCTTGCTTAAGATTGCCTCAAGTTGTGAATTTAAAATATTTGTGTTCACCTTCTCCCAAATATTTATAGACTTCACAAGTTCAGTGAAGCTTTGCAAAACAGAAAGATATTTCTCCGTTAAGACATCACACTCTGTAAATATTTTAGTAATGTAAAGGGTCATTTTATTTAACCATTTAATGACATAGTCTTCAGTGAATACGTCCGATACTTTGACCAAATCAATTATAGAATCGGAATACTTGTGCTCACATTCTTCAGTAGCAAACTTGATAATATTCAGATTTTGTTCCTTAGTTAGGTATTTTCCCCCATATGTCGAAAATAATTTAAAGTATAATCTAAAGTTAGAGTTATCTATATCTCTATAGTCTTTGTAACAATCCTCAACTATGTTTCTTACGAATTGTTCACAGTCTTCAGATAAGTTTGTTTCGTTTACGAATCTATTAGCAACTATAATCTTTAGGCCTTTATTACTTAATTTATTAAGTAATGGTCCAAATTCAGAAGATATAAAATATTGAGAATTAATGAAAACAGATAAAAGTTCATCGTATTTGTTATCAGAAATAAGTTTCGTCAGCAAATTCTGGGAATGCATAGTATTTACTCTTCCTTCTTTAATAAACCTACCAATAGAATCCTTAGTCACTTCAAAGGTATCTGTTACTAATTCCATCAATAAAGGATACTCCATATTGTAAGAAGAATTATGATATAGCTTTTCCACGATAGTTGAAACTAATTTAGGGCATCCTTGAATATTACCTGATAGCAACTTCTTTAGTACATCGTCTTGAACAATTCCTACCAAAGTGACTAGTAAGTTTCTAAACGAGTTACAGTCTACATTCTCAATCATTTCTCTATTATTTAACAACCACTTAAAAGTGAAATCTAAAAATGCTTGGTTTATTTGGTGGTCTTCATCTATTATATTTGTTTCAATTTTTAGTACTTGGTCAATAATAAATATCAATTTTTCCCTTTGAGACTTGGAGGAACCATCAGACAATATTTTAGTAAATAAGTTACCATAAATTCTTTCATCAAGGATATTAAAGGTTTTTGTTGATTGGCAATAAATAGTTAAATTTGAGCATAAGCTACTCACGTAATTCTTCAGGCTACCATTCAATTCGATATTCTCATCATCAGCTAATTGTCTTAGTTTAACTAGGATGACAGCTGCATCTAAATCGTTGATTGGAATCCTCTGACTGGATTCTACTGTAGACCACTTTGAAAGAATCACAAAAATTGCATACGATGAATTAATACCCTCGTTTATTAAATACTCTTGAGATTTTAAAGTTTCAATTCCTTCTTCAGAGAAGTCAAAGTATACTTTTTTCAAATCATCTGGGATGTCTGATAAATATTGAGAGACAACATTTACAATTCCTCTTTGCGATTCACCAACAAACACTAGGGATCTTAAGAATAAACAAACCCATTTGGAAGTAATATCAAAATTGGTTGTTCTATCAACATATTTCCATTGTTCGGTTAGTGCCATAACAAAAGGTGATATATAATCGAATTCCTTTGACATGTCCACATATTTGTATATAGTCTTCATACAACGTGCAATACATTCATCTAGTAACTTCCAAATTGCAGTCATATTATCTGTATGACTGTTATCCATTGATACTATCTGTAAACTATTTATTAGGGCATATATTGGAGATGCCAAAGTATTATTATCAAATATGACAGTACCATGCAATAAATCGACCAACAATCTAGTTATCTTTAACGTCATAGTTGTTTTGGAATTTTTAGATGACGCTAATTTTAATAAAGAACTGAATAATGAATTTTGGTTAGAAGTAGCATTCCACCATCTCATCTGGGTACCATTAAACTTTTGGAATTGTAAAAATTGGTCTAGAATGGCAACATCCATACCTGTAAATGATGGTTTTTCCATAATATCTGTGAAGATATTTGGTGTTTGAAGAGTTACTGAGAAAAAATTGGAAAATATGTTACTGTAATAACCAAGGATAGTGGAAACTGATAATTGTAATATTTGATTATTCTTATCTGTATTGTAAGTGTTAGTTAAAGAGTTAGTGAAAATTTGTAAATCTGGAATATTTTTGAGAACCATAGTACTAATAACAGCCCTCTGAGAGCTCCATCCTTTTTGTGTATATAGTTGTAAAATTTTATCTAACTTTTGAAAGACAAACACTATAAGTTGACATGAGAGTTGTTGAATAATCTTGTTTTCATGTTGCAAGGCCTTTGTTAATGCAGATTTTGTTAATGATGAAGGGATAATATTTTCAAGGACTAAGCTTTCATTTGGAGTAGAATCGGTTTCGACTCTTTTAATAAATTCTGGAATATCAATTTGAATAATTCTTCCCAAAAGAAGGGTCATACCAAACCAATAAGAAGTCATTTTAGGATCATGAGTACCTAATGATGCAATGTATGTACAATATGGGGCGACTAATTCAGGGGTATGCTTTAGAATCTTAATAGTGGTAGTTGATTGTAAATCATCTTCCCAAGGTTTCAATATCCTTAGAAGATTAAATAAAAGTTTATTGTGCAACTTGAACTCCTTTTGATGAATAGTAACTGGGACACCAGTGTTAGAACCTGTTATAGGTGATAATTCAAACCAAACACTGTTATCTGGATAAGCAATGCTAAACTCTGGAGAGCTACCATATATGACAAAGAATTGATTTACCTTTTTCACCAGCTCTTTATTTTGGGAGTAATAGAAATGATGTAATTTTGAGATTGTTAGTTCGTTCAATACTTTACATTTTGTTGTTCTCTTGAAAAATTTCTCCTCTAGGATACTACTTGTGAATAACGTAACAGCTCTCTCAACCAACTCCTCTGAATCATTCTTATCAATAAATTTAAACCAAGCCCCCATTATCTTGGAATTATCAGTTAATAGGTCTCTTCTTAGTAGTGCAGGGGTCTTGCTGATTAATAGAATCCAAAAATCTAGTAATGTCTCTCTCATTGTTTTGTAATTTTTACCTTTGCCAGAGTCATTTTGACGCTTGTTTTCATTCTCTGCCTTTGGTGGTACTAGTATTCTAGCTAAACTTGGCAAAGATAAATCAAAATAGGCCAGGAAATCTTCAACAAGTTGAGAATTGTTGAAGAGAATCATTCCTTTCATCAATCTTAATACTGGGTTAGTCACCTGTGCACGTTGGTTATTAAGACATCTATACAGAACTTTCACATAGCTCGTCAAAATTAATTGGATCAACGACTTACCATACTGCAATGTATCTGGATGAGCCGCTAGAATAGGTAGGGTCTTAACCAATAAAGAGGTCGCATGTGAAGTCTTAGGATGATTATTTGTCTGCGCATAATACGACCATGTTTGAACTACTTGATTAGCAAAACCTTTGCGAAAGAATTGAATAATTGGTTGGTAGTCACTTGCGGAACTATTGTATCCCATATCATTCAAAATACTTTCTAAACTGTCTAGGACACCATTATCGACATCACTAGTCTGTACAGTTTGTTCTTTTCTGCTGTTATTACTACCTCTAGGGTGGCCACCGTATTTACTTTTACCTGGTTCCATTGCTTCTTTTACCTATGATACAGTTCAATCAATACTTAGCCTCTCGATATACCAGAATGCTATAAAATATTGGCAATATTGTATCCTTTTCAAGATCGGAATAGACATTCTTCGAGATGAGATGAGATGAGCTTCCTTCAGGCATCGCAAACTTTTCATAAACTGAAAAATTTCTTTCGGTGAACTTCGTAGCGAGCGATATTTGGTGCAGTTTAGTTATCTTAGAAGAAGAACCTATGACAACATTTATTTGGAAAGAATGTTAAGGATGAATAGAATTTCCCTACTAGAGATACCTAAATAAAGGTTGATTTAATGTTAACTAGACAAAATACAAATCTAATTCTTTATGTTGCATATAATAAGAAAACGTTGCTCTTCAAATAGACCATTGTTGAGGATTGCTAGATTACAGACCAGGGGTCAACATAGTGGACCATCAGTGGGGCCCACTCAAAAGGCTACATTCGACAAATCCATGATAAGGCCCTTCATATGGGTCGTAGTGTTTGGGTCGTTGGTGACTCATGTGATTGATAGGAGACAGGCCTACTCCGATATGAAGAAACGGTATTCTTTAAAGATCACAATTTTGAAAGATCTTTTAGAAAAAGCACAAAATGGCAACACAAGTGTTACAGAGGAACAAGTCGAACATGAATTACGATTGGTGAATAAGATGTTTGTGAGAGATAAGAGTCTTGGAGCAAAAGAAGTAGAAAATGTCCTTTCCCAGATGCAAATTGCTATACCTAAACGCGAGGAGTATAATTACGATGAAGAAGAATCTCTAGAGGATATATGGAAAGGAATCTTAGAAGATATAAATGATGATAAATCACCCAAGAAGCTGAAGAAGAAAGCTGTTCAACCGGTTCCTATTACTACAACTACAAAGGTGTTAGATGATATCATAGTAGACAAGGAAACATTGAAAGAACTTAGAGAGAAAGAAAGAGGAGATCTCAAAAATTTCACTCAGAGTACAGAACAACATTTAATAGTGGAAAACCCAGGTGAACTAAGTGGTTCCGCCAAATTTTTATAATATCGTGAAGATACTTTGTAAATAAGAACTAATATTCCAATTTTTAAAAAAAAAATATGATCAATTATAAGATCAAATTACAGTCCCATACTATTTGTTTTAAAATGTATAAATAAATAAAAGATTCTATAAACGTTATGCGCATACTACATTAAAAACATATGAGTACCAATGAAAGCTTCTTCATGGTACATTATGCTTCTCCTTAGTTGAGGTCATTTCTGGCCCAATCTTCCCTTGTGGGGACATCCCATTACCCTTGGATCCTCTCTTTTCATTATTAAGGGAACGATTATCCATTGTTTCTGCCACCATCGGACTCTCACTTGGTTTCGACATAGATGGACTTGGTGATTGATGGTTCTTACCAGGAGAAAACTGTGGCTTACCATATACACTACCATGCGAAGGTGACATACTATTGCTATTGGACAATCCTACTTTAGGAGATTGATTATCCCCTAAAAGAGCCGAATTAGATCTGTTCATCCTTGCCCTGTGCTCTTGAACCATATTAACATTCAATTCATTTTCTATTATTGGTGTAGAGGCATATGAGGAAGGTGATCCATGATGGAAATTGTTGTCACGCAAACCAGCTGCATCCAAATCCGTACCATTTCCAAAATTGTTCAGTTGTGAAGTATCTGCCAGATTAGACAACCCATGAAGTATATCCTGAGAGATAGGATTAGTTATATTTAGTGGAGGTCTGGCGTTGCTTGTAATTTTACCATCTGCTGACAAATCAGGAGTTCTAAAGGATATAGATCTATCTGTCGTACTTTCTTCATCTGTTAGGAGACCTGGAATCTGAGTCAGTAACATATGTATATTCTCGAATGCATTGCGTAATTTATCAAAACTTTTAGATCTAACCCTCAAGACCCAGATATAATTACGCATCAAATCTCTAAAAGTGGCAGCTTCTTCCTTTGTAGGAGCCGTAACATAAAGCAATGCGGCAAAAGTACCAATCAACATCAAGTTACCAGTTGAACAACCATACCAAAATGAATTAATGTGCTCACTTTTCAGGTCACCAACAAATTCAATGGCAGCCACTAATCTTGTCCTTGCTGCTGTTCGACAAACCTGTACCAATTCCTTTGGAGTATTCGGTTTTAATGAAGAAATGATTTTACGATGTAAAGTTATTTCTGCAGCAAAATATATCAGGGTTAAAGTAGCATTTGAATTAAATTTCTTCTCAGTAAAATTATTCATGGATAATTGTTTTGGTAAAGAATGATACCATTCTCTCAATTTTAATTGTAATGGTTTAGCAAGTTTTAGCACTTGTTCAATGTTTGTATTAACATGGATGGCACCTTGAGTATAAAAAGTATCCATAATTTCTCCAACGATTATACTTAGAGAAACCATTTGTTGAAACATTAAAGTACCATCTTGATATGCTTCATTGGTCAATGACATATCATAAAGTCCCAGGTTCCCAACATTCAGACTAAATGAGGAACCATCACGTTGCTGTTGTCCAGTGGAATCCAAACTTCCAAAACCCTGTATTATAGGTGAAGTCGATGGAAATTCACTTCTCTTTAAGATATTAACCATCCAGTTACGACCTAAGATTAAATGAGAATGACGACCCTCTATCAAAGCTGTCCATTTATCAGTTGACCAAACAGCCCACGCAAGTCTCTTACGCAAATCCTTTTCCCACTTGGGTAATTTCCAATCTTGACAACTAACACCAAGACCTAGTTCTTCAGATAATGCAACAACATTAGAACATAATACCCAGTTATTTTTGGATTCACTTCTACATTGAAGTAACAATAAACCGGTTTGTATCATACTCAATTTAGGTCTCTCAATTCGTTCAAAAAACGTTTTGAATGCGATATCATTCAATACCTCAACCACATCAGGTTTGGCAAATCCAATTAATTTTGGATGGAAATCCCACCATTGGAGAGCTAATGAATAAATACATGCTAACAATGGTGTAGTTAATTCTCTATATGATCTCAAATACTTTTCTAAGAAAACACGTTCGTGCAAAATAGGGAAATATGGATGAACCCGTTTAAAAAAGATTTCAACTAAAAGTTTACCGTGAGGATGAACTAATTGTTCCACCATATCTATTTGTTGTTCTTGTTCAGTGTATAATTTCTGATTATAGTCATCACTTAACAAGAATTGCACTTTGGGTGCGACTTTCCTTAATGACAGTGTTTTTGATATTTGTATCTGATCTATATTATCCAATTTAATACGGTCCACAATACCAATGTCATATATGGAAGTTGGACCAACGTAGAATGAAGAACGTGGATACTGAATTTGTTGTTGTTGTTGTTGTTTCTTCAATACTTTTTGGGACATCGAATGATGTGGGACAGATACTTTAGCTTGTTGGTCCATTACAGGTTGGGATTGTGGTCTTTGTACATCCCTACCATTCATAATTCCGTTATGCGATAAATTATCGTATTGATTTGGAATATTTCCCGATTGACCAATTGATGAGTTCAACGATTGTAAAAAATTTGAATAATATTCGTTTTGGATATCACCATGAGACGATTTATGACTTTCACTAGTTCTTGATTTTTTTCTTTGTAAATTTTCAACTGACATTTCAGATAGTTCTGCTGTTCGTTTGGATTGATTAACCGATCCATTAAAGGTACATTTCCGTTTCTTCGTCTCACATTCGATACAATTTCCAAGGTCAGGTACATATACACATTGCTTATGCTGTTGTGTACAAAAATCACAAGTTCCACGTGAGGAAAACTTATCATGGTTATTGTTATCATCTGACTTGTGCATTACGTTTTGATATTGTTGCAATAAAATATCAAGGTTATCACCGTTCTTCGATATTGTTCCTAACTCCAAATGATGTTGGTTTCCTGTAATACGATCATTAACATGTGTGTCCTTCGATTGAGCAACCGAGGTTGATTTATTTTGAGATTGAGTCTCTGAATGGCCTAAATGATCTAACAAGTTAGAATAATTTTCATCAGAGAATTTAATCAAATCAACATTATCCTGATTAGCATCAACCTTCTTATCAGTATCAGAACCACTGGAACCCTCTTTCTTTGTGTTAGCCGTCCCGGTATCCTTATCGTGATTAGCAGAATTCTTATCAGCTTCAACATTTTCGGGCAAACTGTGGGGCGTGTATTCTTTAGCATCTGTTATATTACCTTTCGAAGCAGTACCAATAATCCCGACTGCACTTGTACTCCTTGGGGTGTCATGTTCACTCAGCTGGTCCTTCGTACCTGTGACGTTACCGATTGGACTGCTGTGACTCGTCATTAAAACGTTATACTGTTAGGTTCAATTTATGGAAAAAAAGAGTATAATTCTTGAGATTGAATCGTATCCAACCCACTCAACGCAGCTATTAAAAAATAAATAAATAGCCAACGACTCCACTGATACTATAAAACTGGAAATAAACCCTAATTAAGCTGTAGTTCCTTGAGAGAATGGGTTTTTGCCTTCTAGAATGTCTTTTTAGTCTCTTTGTTTGTTAGTTTCATTAGAGATGATTATCTAAATATTTATTGTTCAATAATTTCCACGCAGCGCGAATTTTAAAGTGAAATTTATGAATCTCTCTGTCTCTCTTGTTGTGCTTGAAGAAGAACAAGGGAAACAATTTGGACTAAAAGTTGGTTGTTTGCTAGACTTTGGATGGTATCTCACCCAGACTACGATACCGTGAGATTGGAGCCATGTGGAAGGAGATCAAAGATGACAAAGGTAGGACATACTATTACGATACGGTTAATAAGAAATCACAGTGGGAGAGACCCGCTGAATTAGTGAAACCTGTAACCGCAGACAAGGAGCCAGTTCTTCCCAAGGACTGGAAATCTGCGAAGACTAAAGAAGGAAAAGTTTATTATTATAACGTAAAGACCAAGAAATCACAATGGGACATACCGAAGGAAACTGAATCGAAAGTAGAAACGGTAGTGAAGCCAGAAGCAAAGGCCGCTACTGTTGAGAAGAAAGACACGACTAGTGCTGACGACGATGAAAATAAGTATGGAAGTAAATCTGTTCTTATGAAAGTTAAAACCACCAGTAAAGATGAGGCGGAACCTCTTTTCATGGCGATGCTCAAGGAGTATAATGTCGATGCTACTTGGTCCTTTAGCAGGATTATACATGAATTAGCGACCAAGGATGCCAGATATTGGCTTGTGGATAATGATCCATTATGGAAACAACAGATGTTTAATAAATATTTGGATAATAGAACCGAAGAACAATTATTGAAAGAACATTCGGAGATTAATAAATTCCAAAATGCCTTTAAGGAAATGTTAAAGGGAAAATCATCGGAAATTGACTATTCTACAACATGGAATAATGCAAAGAGACTCATATCGAGTGAACCTATCTATAGTCATTCTGTGGTCAGTGAACAGGAAAAGAAAAAATGTTACGATGAATATATTATGGAGTTACGCCAACAATACGAACAAGAACATCATAAACTCAAAGAACAAGCATTAATCGAATTGAGAGGATATTTACAAAGTATCATACATGTTGATCAAGATGAAATTCCTCCATCATGGCACACTATGTGTAATCAATATCTTTTCGATAAGAATAAAAGATACATGGCCAACAAACATTTTGTAATATTAACTCGTGAGGATGTTCTTAAGGAATATATTGTACTTGTTCAACAAATAGATGCTCGCATAGTACAAAATTTACATCAAATAGAAAGTGAGAATTATTCTAGAGATAGATATGCTCGCGATAAATTTAAAGAACTGTTGAAGCATGGAATACCAAATCTTGTGATCCGTGCCACGACAAAATGGTCAGACATATACCCTTTGATCAAGGGTGAGAGTGCATTTTTAAACCTTGTAGGACGTAGGGGCTCTACGCCAATAGATTTATTTCTCGATTTAGTTGAAGAAAAATATATTATAGTATGCGGGTTACGTTCCATTGGTCAACAGGTACTTATTGATACCCAATTTGAATGGTCTACTGACGACAACATCAACACAAATGGAATCACTCAGATATTGCGACAGAATGTACAATTTAAAGATGTTGATGATCTGGATTTGGAAATTGTAGTGAAGGAAATCATAAAGGCAAGAAAAGATATGTTACAAGAACAAAAAGCACAGGAACTGTATCATGAGAAACAGTCAAGACATGCATTCAAAGAAATGTTAATGAACCATTATATACGGATGAATTCTACCCCTGCATCCACATGGGAAGAATCACAACATCTGTTTAAAGGAACTATGGAGCTAATGCAGTTGACCGACAATACAGTAAGGGAATCTATCTATAATGAGGTACGTCAAATGATCATTGATCAGAAACCTCATAATACAGAGACAACAACCACTAGGGGCAAGAAAAGACCACTCGAACCAACCATTGCATTAGACTATTAATCTTCTTTCTAAATATATATATAATCATTACATAAGCATCGCTCTCTTAACATCGCTTAGAACGAGCAGGGCAGCGCCCCATATTTTCTTAAAAAGACGAATAAAACAATTTCTGAGAAGGTAAAAAGAGAGAAGAACCTTCAAAATGAGAATCGAATAAAAGAGGCAAGCACATCTTAAACAAGGTAGGAGAGACTGACAACGTTAGAAATCATCTTACTTTTGAGAGCTTTAAACAAGCTGTTGTTAGAACCAATATAAGAGCCAGTGAGGGTTAGATAGAACCATGGAAAAGAAGAGTATTGACGAACCATCCACAGAGATGAGTACCTTTGGTCAAACAAGTATATTGAACCGCCAGCGCATAATATCAGACCCACATACCAACACAGTACGAGATATAAAGCTTCCAGAGAAGAAGTTGGCAATAATAGAACCTTTGAAGGGCGAACAAGTTCCAAGCACATCTATTACATTGCCAGATGTGGAGAACAGTGCCAAGGATCCTATCAATGGTAAATGTATATCGTTCGAAACACCTAAACCTGAAAATGCACCACACCATAGACTATCGATAAGTTGCGTACCGAATAAGATACGTCCTAAACTAATAGACTCATCAGCAACTACGATGTCAAAGGATGAACTTTCCAAGGAGCAACAACAAGAAGGTGATGACGTTGAGGAGAAAAACTGTACGGTTGATATGCCTGGGGATTTTGTATATTTACCTAGTAGTTCAGATGATAAGCAGAATGTTGAAATAGGGAAAGAGATCAAACAGAATATAGTGAACGAAACATCTATTATATCGTCTACAGAGAATGAACCAGAAAGTAAGAAAACAGTATTTAAGAAACAGACAAATACAGTTGAACCAGAAGTTCCATTTACAGCCTTTTTTGCAAAGGAAGATGATAAGAAATTTCATATATTAATTGGTGCTACAGGATCAGTAGCTACAATTAAGATTCCATTAATTATAGATAAATTATTCAAGATATACACTCCTGAGAAAGTCTGTATCCAACTAATAGTAACTAAACCTGCAGAGCATTTCCTTAATGGACTCAAAATATCTTCTAAAGTTAAGATATGGAGAGAAGAAGATGCTATCGCTGATACTAATAACGATATGATGTTATTCCATGAATTACGACGTTGGGCAGATATTTTATTAATTGCACCTTTATCAGCTAATAGTTTAGCTAAACTAGCTAATGGTATTTGTAACAATTTGTTAACCAGTGTCTTTAGAGATTGGACCATTTCAGGTGCTCCTGTATTAGTGGCACCTGCTATGAATACATTCATGTATGTGAATCCAATGACGAAGAGACATTATATGGCCTTAGAGGAAAACTTCCCCTTTGTAGAAATATTGAAACCTGTAGAGAAAGTATTGATCTGTGGTGATATAGGTATGGGAGGAATGAGAGAATGGTCTGATATTGTAGAGATCGTTAGACAAAGAATTAAAGAGATCATTGCAAGACGGAAATTAGAAGCTGAAAATGCAGAAGAAGTTGACACGATAGATGCAGACACTGAAGAAGATATAGATGACGATGACGAAGACGAAGACGATGACGACAATGATGATAATGACAATGATAGTGAAACAGATGATGATGATGATGATGATGATGACGATGATGACGACGACGACGAATCGAGTGTGTTGGATTCTGATACAAACTCCGACCGAATGACGGCAGAAACCGCCCACTCCAAGATCAGCTACCACAAATAGTAATACCTCCTTCATCAACATACACACATCGTATATACATTTACATAACGGTTTCTATAAATTTCAGTTGTAACACTTTCAATCCAGTATCACTGTGCACGAGCGCTGCCTTTAAAAATGGAAAGCGAACCAAAAGCTGACAAAAAAAGGAAGAAATCGTTCTAAGTCGATGAAGGTTTGCTCATTTTTGAAGAGAAGTAGACCCTATTCACTCTCATCAGCTTTAAAAGGGTACATCCAGAGCATACAAGGACAAACTACCGACAGGTCTATACCATACACACACACATATATACATATACACGACTACAATGTCTTTCCTAGGACTCGGTAATGCGCAACCACAACTAACCTCTGAACAAAAGATCAGTGCTGCTGAGACTGAACTTGATTTAGTCACCGATATGTTCAACAAACTTGTTGATAACTGTTACAAGAAATGTATTAACACTCAATACACAGAAGGTGAATTAAACAAGAACGAATCTGCTTGTTTAGACAGATGTGTCGCTAAATACTTTGAGACTAACGTCAAAGTAGGTGAGAATATGCAACAACTGGGTCAAACTTTCACTAACGCTGGTAAATTCTAAATCTAAATCACTTAGATAACCTTCACTATATTTATTATTTTTTTCCTCTTCAATTAAGAGAGAGAGAAAAAAATAACAAATTCTATACTTCTTTTCTGCCATAGTTCATGTACATATATCTTCACATATAATAATAATAGTAATAAAAATACATATATTATTTCTCATTTTATCATTTAATGATCATCACTATTTATGCTGAAATGAGGTTCATTGGAAACTTCCCTTTGCGGTTTCTGCGGTGATTAATCTCGCTTGATCATGTATAATATTGCATCAAAATTGAAAAAGAGAGAGAAACCGAAGAAGAAGAAGAAATCGTTTATTAAATTGAAAGAAGAAGATGAAAGAACCACTAATTCTGGACTGTCAAGTTTCAGATTTGTTTCAGTGAATACTGGTTTAGAATTTTTATTGCTATTTTTTCCTTCTCTTTGTTAAATCAAATTGAATTGAAAGAAATAAGAAATTTTTTCAAATGCAATTTTCTAAATTACTCTCATCAAGATGTCAGTGACACACTCTTTTATAAGTAATTAGATCCAACTTTGAAGTGAAAGGTCCAACATACAATCCTTATATAACTTTTAAAAATTTCGAGTAATTAACCTTTATATTATTTTTTTTGTTATCGAACCAAGCAAACCATTGATATAATACTAATAAGAATACACTATGGGTTGCACAGCAAGTACACAGATCAGTGAGGATGAAAATGATCCATTCTTACAAAGTCAAAGAGCTAACGATGCCATCGAACAATCATTACAAAGAGAAAAACAAAAGGATAAGAAAGAAATCAAATTATTGCTATTAGGTGCAGGTGAGTCAGGGAAATCAACTGTCTTAAAACAATTGAAATTGTTACATCAAGGTGGATTTAATCATCAAGAAAGATTACAATATGCTCAAGTTATTTGGGCAGATGCTATTCAATCCATGAAAATTTTAATTATTCAAGCTAGAAAACTTGGAATACCGTTAGATTGTGACGATCCTACCAAGAATCCTGAATTGTTTGAATTTAAAAGATTACTTTTAAGTGCGAAGGCTTTAGATTTCATAAATGCTAGTGTTGCAGGCGGTTCAGGGTTTTTAAACGATTATGTACTGAAATATTCTGAAAGGTATGAAACAAAGAGAAGGATTCAAAGTACAGGAGAAGCTAAAGGGTTCGATGCTGCTTTAGGTACAAATGACCTTGAAATAAATGACCAAACTGACATAAACTCTAATAAACCACTTTTAAATATGTCAATAAACGAAATATCGAAAAATTTAAATGATACAGGTGATGATCATATGTTTGTTGAAAAGAAAAATACAAAATCCGCTGAAAAGAAGAAAATATCAAGAGAAGATATTGCTAATGCAATTCAAGAATTATGGAAAAATGATACAGGTATCAAACAATGTTTCACTAGGTCAAACGAATTTCAGTTAGAAGGTTCAGCGGCTTATTATTTTGATAATGTACATAAATTTGCTGATCCAAATTATATTTGTACCGATGAAGATATATTAAAGGGACGTATAAAGACTACTGGTATAACAGAAAATGAATTCAATATAGGTTCTTCTAAATTTAAAGTATTGGATGCTGGTGGTCAAAGGTCTGAACGTAAGAAATGGATTCATAGTTTCCAAGGGATCACTGCAGTTTTATTTGTTCTTGCAATGAGTGAATATGATCAGATGTTATTTGAAGATGAAAGAGTTAATAGAATGAATGAGTCAATCATGTTATTTGATGCATTATTAAATTCAAAATGGTTCCGTGATACACCATTTATTTTATTTTTGAACAAGATGGATTTATTTGACGAAAAAGTGAAAAGAATGCCAATAAGGAAGTATTTCCCAGATTACCAAGGTCGTGTCGGTGACTCTGAGGCAGGTGTCAAGTATTTTGAAAAGATTTTTTTGAGTTTGAATAGATCCAATAAACCTATATATATCAGAAGAACATGTGCTACAGATACTCAATCCATGAAGTTTGTGTTGAGTGCAGTAACTGACATGATCGTTCAACAAAACTTAAAGAAAAGTGGTATAATATGATGTGTGAATTTTTTTATAACTATTTTATGTAGTTGTGTTTTTTTCATGCTAGAAAATGATATAATTTATGTATTGTTGATGTAGAAACGACAACAAAAGAATATTTATATATATGAAGAGAGTTTGTGAGTGTATGTTCATGGCTTATATTTTTGAGGCAGAACTCTTTTTTGATGCAGGTAGTGTACTTGTACTGTTATTACTACTATTTCTTAATTTGGAGAATGGAATACTTAGTAAAGAGGATTTTTTCCTAATCGATGGACTTATATGATCTGTTGGTGAAGTTGGATCGTTTGTATCCTTGTGTGTATTTATGGATAAGAAACTTAAACCATGTTTATGAGCTTCTTCACCTAGATTGTTCAATATATTTTTATTATTTTGAATAGTATTATTGTTGATTACATGAGATTGTGTGGATACAATAGAATTTGAATGATTTCTCAATGTGGAGGCAGTATTAGAAGCTTGTTGTTCTAATACATTATTCAATTCTTGTATTCTTGAAGATGCCGTAGAGTCTGAATGTATGGAGGAAGTTTGCTCAGAATCACTAGACAATAGTGAAGTTTTTGATTGGGGTTTCCTCGGTAATGCAGTTAGTGGAGTGAAACTTTGTTTCGATAGGGCTGTAGTAGATTGTTTCCTACTCGTTGCAATTGTAGGTAACGGTGGTAAACTTGAATTCAATGAAATAGAAGTATATGGAGAATTCATCGTCAGAACAGGGGAAGGTCCCGCATCAAATGTAGATTTTGTCTCCAAGATTGGCGTCTTTAATGCATGAACAATTGGTTTTTTAACTGTTGTATCTGTAATTTTAATATCTTTTCTTAATTTATTATATATTTTAGTAAACTCAAATGTCATGGCAACTTCACTTGGCTTCCAACTATATCTATCCTTCACATCGTCATTAACCAGATTCCCATCCTTCAATAGAATTCTTAGACATTGTAAACTACCATACTCCATACATATATGTAATGCGGTATCTCCATGACTATCAGCCACGGTAAGATCTGCACCTGCACTCATTAACAATGCTAAGCATTGGTAATAATCCTTCAAACATGCGACATGTAATGGTGTTCTCCCATTCTCTCCACGCTGATTAATGAAATTTGGGAAATGTTGTAATAATAAATGAGCAGTCTGTTCATGTCCATTCATTAAGGAGAGATGAACACACGTATTTCCTTTAAAAGTCTTGGTGTATTCGCGTTTATCATGACCTAACTGTAAAAGATATACACAGATCAGGTACCTCCCATGATATGACGCATAATGCAGGGAGCTCCAACCATTCTCAGGATCAACATTTGTTAATAATTCGGGAAACCTTCGAAGGATTCTCTTTACAGTAAGTAAGTTTCCTGAGATAATCGCGTTCCGCAACCGGTACGATAGATCGCAGAGCATTTCTTTAAAGAGTTAAACCACTTCTGTTCACTGGAAAGGTTTAAAAATTGCAAAATCGAAGTCTCTCAGATTCTTCACTAACTGTTTTGAACTCTTTCAGCTTTGATCTGGCTTGGCTGAAGATCTTTTAATTATTTCAGGGTCTCTCATCTAACTGGAAAATTCCGGTGAGCGATGAGAAAATATCGCAGTAGTGACTATGTGAGGGTAACACAGACAGATTTTAATATGAAACAATGAGGTAATAACAGCATAACTTAATGACAATAACAGTTATCTGGGTTATGGTAGTGTTTTTGAGTTCATATGTGTCTGTGTCCTTGAAGATACGTCGTCAGAATTTGTATTTTACACCCAATTATATATATGTTCATATATACCAATATAATGACAAATCGAATGGTATACTGGAAATTTCAAAAGTAACGCATGTTCTCACATTAAAAAATTCTTTAGGTTGTGTATATATTTCTTGAAACATCAAGTTAATTATCTGAACAACAGTTTCACTTCTAACCTGAGGAACATATCTGCAAGTGATATCAAATCTTGCGCCTCAGAAATAGTTAAAGCAGTCTCCCCAGATCAACTCGAGCCTCACAATCCTGCAAAATATGCACATTAAAAACCAATATCCACTTTACCCTTGTTTCAAGTACTCCAGTTCTTTCATATTCACAGAATGTGTGTCACTTTGCTTCGGTTCGATGAGGCTGCGAGTGGCTATCCGAGGCCCCTCGGCATTTTCCATTTTCTGCCCTGTTCAGTCTGTGTGAAGAGCTTTCTTTCCAAACTCATTCACAGAGGGAAAGAGCAAGTGATTTGATCTAAAAGAAAGCTAGTCATAAGGTGTCAAAAGTTGGATCCTCTAGGGATTAGTCCGCAAATAAACAAACCCATTAGAAAAACCTACTGTACTCAAATCTTACGAGAAATTATCAACATGTCGAGTGTCAATATCGTTCACAATTTCAAAAATTTCAAGGTAAAAGTCTCTACCAATGATCGTTTGAATGATGCTCTAGAAAAAAGTATAATTCATTTCAAGTTAGCTAAGAGAGAAGAAACAAGATTTGTATTGTTTCATAATAAGACACCTGTCGCATTGGATTTACCATGGAGATTTTTGAATTTACCTGCAGGTGCAAATTTAGAACTATTAGAACTTGGTGAAGTGGCAAATTCTGAAAAACCACAGGAATCGACTATTATTAAGATACGATTCATTGTGAATCAACACTATGGGTCTATTATGCAAGAGAGTAATACATCTGATAATATTACAGATGTACTTCAAAATGTTGCAACTTTACAGAAATGGGATGATCAATATTTGAAATCATCAAGAATAACGTTACAAATATTTTCTAAAATGTATACTATTGAAGAACTGACTAATCGTAGTTTCCAATCTCTTGGGATTACCAATTCATTATCGGTTCGTGTTACATTACCTATAGATGAAACTCAGACAAATGAATTACACTCACTACCACCTGAACCTGTTATAACACAACCTGTTCCAACACAGATTGAAAGAACGATAGTTCCAGAAGTTGAGATCCCAGCATTACCACAACATCAACCTGTTGCATATATTCCAAGTACGACACCTATTGCAGACCAAGTTTCTCAAGTTGAAGCCGAAGATGATTTTGAAATGACTGTTGAACAAGCTAGAAGGTATCAACAGATCCTTAAGAAGAAGACAGGAAATTTGGGAGGTCCATTGATGACAAAACGGATGCGAGAAGAGATGGAACAAAACAGCAAATCACATATCGTAGTCTCTGAGTGTCTAGTGAGAATTAAATTCCCAGATTTGACTTACTTAGAAATACGTTTCTCTCCAACAGATACAACATCTATAATATACGAACAGGTGGCAGAGTCATTACTTGATGAACAAATATTGTTTGAACTATACCATCCACATCCTCAGAAGTATGTGGAAAACACTACGGATAAAGAATTAGTGAAGGATATGCATTTCGGCTTAAAGACTGTATTATTGTTCAAGCCTGAATCCACAAATACTAACGGGCCATTTTTAAAATCAACTTTATTGAAAGAAGCAACTGTGTTATCCACTGAGAGATCAGATAAAGAGATAAAGCAATCATCACAAAGTCAACAAAAATCATCTCAAAAAGATCCAGTTGTGAAAAAGACATTAAATAAAGTACCTAAATGGTTAAAACTTTCTAAAAAATGAATGGTTTTTTTTTTTGAATATATTTAGTGATAAATCGTTTAAATTATATAATGTTATGCATTACTATTTACAAGGGAGATTATATTAGCCATGTGCTCATCATTTACTTCTAATGTTTTGAAATGTTCTAATACCATTCCAAAATTAACATCGTATGGATTTTGGTATTTGATTAATCTTAATATCTGAACTAATAACGTGTCCAGAATATTTTTGTCGTTAAGATCCTTAAAATTGTCAGATGTTTTAAAAGTGTTAACTCCAATAAATATCTTATCTTCACATTTCTTTTCAAACAGTTTCAAAGCTCTTCTTTGAGCAATGGCATGAGTCATCTCGGGATCATTGGATCTTAATCTTTTTGTTTCCAGTTTAACATAGTTGTCTCTGATACCGACCACAATATATTTAAATAAATTAATGTCAATATAGACAGAATGTACATTGATCATCATTGACAAAATAGCAGGAAGCGTCGACCAATTATTTGATTTTAAAAATACAGCAATAATTGTTTGATACAAGTTTGCTGTTGGTAAAAGATTATCTCTCGTAGCCATAGTCTTTAAAAGCCATTCGATATCAAATTCGGGCATACTATCAATTTCATTATTAATATTTTTCAAATATGAGTTTTTCAATATTTTTTTCACTGGAATTTCATTATGGGGTACATTTACAGTAATTTCATTACTATAATAATTATAATAAACTTTCCAAATTTCCGTGTAAAGTGTTTCATTAATATCACGTCTATGGAACAGCGTTGATTTAAAATTTGTTTGTTCAGTTTCATGTATTGATCCATTTGGAGTTTCAAAGATTGCATTGATGATTCTATAACATATTTTCAAATTCTTTCGGCTTCTATAATATCTTAGGAGACTAGCAATAAATTTTGAATTATATGGAACTTTCAAAGTATTTATTCTTGTCAATATATCATCAACTTTTTTATCCATATCTGTTAATGGGAATCGTTTGTGTTTCGCAATGGCCAGATTCCAATAATGATCAAGATAAATTGCATATATATGTGCACTAACCTTGGGGATCGGATTTGTCTTGTTGTTTTCAATGTACGATTGTTCGAGTTTCAACAGGATTTCTTCAGCTTTATCATATTTACCTGAATGTAACAAAGTCTCTAGAAGTGTATGATATTGTCTTGCATCTCGAATTGGGATATCAGTGGATGACTTCGCATAATCTAGATCAGTATTCAATTTTTCATTAATAAAATTTCTTATCGCGGCAGATAATTTTCTATTCGATAACAAATCCTCAATATTATGAAACAATAGAGATTGAATAACTTTATCAGTAGTATCATAATTAGCAATAATCTTTTGAAATTCTTTCTCTAAAGTCTTTATGTTAGCCCTTGTCAATTTCGAAGAACTCTCAGTAATGATCAATTTTTTAAACAAATCAAAATCTTTTAATAAATTTAGATTTGTTCTAAGTATTAAATCATGATAATTCATATTTTTATCTGGTAATTCTAAATATTTTTGAAATAAATATGATACCATGGACATATTTTTCTTATAAGTATAATAATTAATGATAGTAATAAAATCATGTTGATTTGGTATTTCAATTTGATTTAAATAATCATTAGCATCGTTTTCATCATGAAACATTTTAAATTTTGAATCTTCATCTCTGAGTTCATTTGTATTCAATCCTTTCAATTCAACAATATCTAAAAATCTATTAGTCATTTCATTAGCCATCTTCAAATTATCAATCCTTAAAAATTTTTTAATGCTAAATTTTATCACTTTCATACTTAAATATGGATAACTGTGTGGAAACATTGAATCAGTTTCATTTAATAAATGTTTAAATCCCCGAAGATTATTTGTTGCAAGTAAAATATTAAGTCCAATAGTATACCACCATTTTTCCTTAAGGGTATCCTTTCTACTCTTAAACAATTTATGAGCATCATTATAATGACCAAATGCTACTAATGAATTAATATAGAATGATTCATTAACGGGATCCATTCTAACGTTTCCCACTGAATAGATTAGTCTTCCGGAACACATTATACCTTGCTGTCTCTTATGCTGAACCGGTATAGTCTTTGAAAACTCGAACACTTCCACTAGTTGATCCATTGAAATATTATCCCGCGATGGTTTAAAATTAGGGTCCATTAATAAATTATTTAATATTTGTAGTAAGAAATTCGTATGAATCAAATAATTTTGACTCTTATCTTCGTTAGTTAGATCATTTACGATAAATTCTTCAAGAATATCCGTAGAATCCATTGATTCATCTAAAATTTCATTAGATCGAGTCTCTATCAAATTATTAATTTGTTCAGGTGTATAATTTTTAAGACGTCGTACTTCTAAATCTGCTTCTCTTAAAAAATAATTAAACAAAAGAGATAATTTCTTATCACTCGATTCTTTATCAAAGGAACTATTCAAAACGTTAAAATTTCTATTGCTAGATTTAAATCCAGTACCATAATGTTTCAAATATTTTAAGAAAAGTGAATCACCAAAACTGGTTTTCCCCGTAGAATCATCACTATCAATCTGTTCAAACCCTAGTTTCTCCAGATTCTTCTCTACATCCTTTTGATCCTTACCGACTAAAAAAATCTCAGATTCATTGGATTTCAGTTGTGGAATATGAGATCTTATATGATTTGCACCAACAGTGGCAGGTCGTCTGTACCATCTAACCGACACAGCAGCAGCACTCCTCGCACACCTTCTCAACATTTGCTCCACTGTTAATCGACACTGTTCTTCCACCACACACTGAGCAGCTTCCAAACCCAGTTGCACGAGCTCTTCCCCTTTAAACCTCTTGTTAACCGTAGCAGGACTGCCCACTGGTTGTTCCTCATGGCTCTTCCCAAACCCTAACAGAAAAAATATCGTGAAATTTCTCAAAATCGTCTGTGGGCTGCGCGTCGCTCTGAAAAGTTTTTTTCTCACTTTTTCTTTTCGTGTGGTATATAAATGGCAGAGGTGCCAGAGAGTTTGGGATACTAAAGGTTTTTGGGAAGAACTCTTTCTCTTTCCACCAGCTGGAAAAGAGCGACACGGTGAGCTACTTATAGTGTAGCCAGTGTGGATGCTGTTGTTATGTGCATTGCAGCATGAGAAAGGGTTCTCTATGCGGTGCAATGATGATAAGCACAACACACGCATTTGTGATGTGGTGTGCCACGGCGGAAAAGTATTTTCAATGATGAGAACCTTTTTATCTTTCAGTTATCCCTGTCTGAACAGGTTTATATACATGGTTAACCTAACGTGTCGATATCTTTTACTCTGAAGTTAATACTTTTCAAACCTCTTTGTAAACCATTTCTTGGTATATTATGTAAGTATGTAAAGGCTCGTTCCTCTCTGGTTTCTCTTTCATTTTTGCACAGAAAACGGCGCACAACTGCTCCCGGGTCAGAATATTTCACTGAAAAATAAATTTCAAGAAAGTTTTGGTTGGGATTCCCTAATGAAACAAGGGGCAAAGTTGCTCTTTTTTCTGATGATCGTTGACACTTTTTGTTTCTATAAATACATATACAGGAGAATAGTCACTGATTTGCCCTATTTTAAAGAAGTTTATCAGTGTTTTTGTAACGACGTTTTTAAAAGGGATCAAAGGAGAAGTAAATGAATCAAGCTAGACTGTTTTTAAGGTTGGATCAGGAATCTAACGAGACTGCAGCTATTGCTAACGATACTATAACATTTAAATCGGTACAGGATGAAGATTCGCAAGTGTTTCGTTTTGATAAATTATTTCAAGAGAATGATTTCTCTGAAGAAATTCAGCAATTATTGATTGAACCAATTACCAAAGATGCTGTCGATGGTATCAGTTCAACAGTAGTACTTTGTGGGAATAAAAATATGCTGTTGGCTAATGATACTATATTTCAATATTTGATACCGAAATTAGACTTGTTTTTAAAGAAACGTATCAATGACGATTTAATTGATATAACTTTTTTAGATGGAGCTACTAATTTACCCATTGAAAATTTAAATGATATTGATACCAATCAAACTAACTCAAGTAATAGTAAAATTATCACTATCCACATTCGTCATATTAATTCTAATGATGATAAAATAGTATCAAGTTATATGAATATTTTTTTCTTACAAAATTTTGAAATGTTAACAAAATTTGAACAATCGAAGGATAATTCTTCGTTAGGAAAATTGGTACGCCAAATATTATCAGATAAAACAAATGATTTATATATTTTCTTACATTGTATGATTACTCCTGTTAATCAATCAGAGATATTAAACATATTTCAAAAAATTGTCTCTTTTAAAGAAAATTGGTCAAATTCAAATTTATGTGATATTAATATATTAAATCAATCTCAAAAAGAACAAAATTTGATTAATAATTATACTATTTTGGATAAAACATATTTGAAACAAATAAATTTATTAAACGACGAAATTCAAAATTATAAATTAATTGATAATTTAAAGCAACATTCTGATGAAGATAATGATAAATTAACAATGAAATTAAAAATATTAGATGAATCGAATGGAAAATTACGTGATCAAATTAAAGATTTAAGACAACTTTTATCAAATGAAAATGAAAATTCTGATATTTTGAATGCGTATATGGATAAATCAATAATTCACAATAATCTTTTGAACAATCTATCAACAGTTGAACAAGAAAATAATTTTTTTAATAAAATTGATACTATCGAACAACAATATTCAAATATATTAAAGGAAAATAATAAATCTTTAAAACAATTACTACAATCTCAAGCAGAACAAGAATTTACATTACAACAAGAAAGTGTTGATTTAAAGATGAACTTACAAGATATTGTTCAATCCAATAAAACTCTTGAAACTAAATTACAACCACAATCTCTTTTCAATACAACAACGTTGATGTCTCCATCATCAATAATGTCATCAACTCATAGTTATAAGACAAGCATATCATCATCAACTTCATCTTTAGGAAGTAACATTACAAGTGACACCGAATCCACAACTACTCATTCCAAAGCATCGCATTTACCATTATCATTAAACTCAGGCTTCCAATTAAAAGTGTTAAGACCAAAATAGATAAAATTCTTACATAATTAACTAGCTAGGTTTCTTATTATTATTATCATTATTATATACTACGTTTACTAATATTATTATTATTATTGTTAGAACAGATATATACTGCTACAATGTATGATGTCCAATATATTTCCCAACGTAAATCATAAAGAATATTTTAAGTATCATACTGATCCATTCAGGGATTAGAAAATGTGGTAGTAATTTAAACAGTTTGGATAAAATAATGATCGCCACTAGTATCCAACTATTCTTAACTATGTTAAGGACCATGGAAAATATACTTGTCAAGCTTGAAAGGTATTGTGTCAAGTAACTTAACTTTCCTTCAATTTTATCAATAGAATCAACAGTGTTACTGAGTCTCTTATCGATTTCATCTATATTGTTCGTAAACTGGAAATTTAAGGAAACAATATCATCTTCAATTACTTCACTAAACTTTGTCCACTCCTCTATTGCTATATCTTTAACTTCTCCCATTGTGGCAGTTAACTCTTTATTTAATGTTTTTTCTAAAATCATTTGATATTGGTTTATTGATTCTAATGTATCTATTTGGGTATTGGTGAACCCCATTGTAATATCATTTAGCATATTATTAAATTGGAAATGAAACATTAAAATTGAATCCTCGATAAATTGGCTTTGATTCACTACTAAATTGATGGCATTTTCTTTCAGTTTATTGAGCTGTGATATATCTTTACTGATATCATCTTTATGTATCTGAGAAACAATGTCTTGAATTAAATAGTTCACACCTTCCAACGAAGAATTTACAACATTGTTGAATCGTGTGACATTGTTTGTTAATACTTCGTATATTTCATTAAAATGTTTTAAAGTGACTTCATTGGAAGTTATTAATTCCTCCTTAAATTGTTTATCCTGGTCTCTTAAATCAACAAACAATTCGTTAAAGAAATTAGATATATCATCGACATGCTTATTGATTGTCAAATCACTCTCATATTGTAGATTTCCAAATTCATTTGACCAAAATAAACTAACTTCACTAATCATATCTGTCAAATTAAGAAATTCACCTAATAATTTTTCTTGCTCAAAAGGTAAAGAGTACTGATAACATATTTCGTTCAAATTTTGATAGTAACCACTATAGGTGGTCCACCATTGACCTCCAATTTCCAATCCTGTCATGCACTCAACTATTTCTAGTGGTTGACCATAAAAACAACCCCTTGGAATCCAATCTTGAAGTCCAGAATTCTCAAATTCGCATACTGATAATTTGATAGCTGTCTCAACTTTGATTCTTTCCTCAATGGAGTCGATTCCAGTATCAAGAACACAAAGTGGAATAAACTTAGAAACTGCTTCCTTGCTACATGTTTTAGTTAAGAATGGGAATTTTCTTTGAAGATATTCATCTGTGATAACATCAATTTTTTGGTGATTGCCAACTAAGGAGGATTGTAAACTTCTTACTGGCGTAATACCTAATAATAACAAAAAAAGGAAAAGAGGAATATTAAATACATTACCCATGATTGATGATGTAGATAGTTATTGACATTCCTGATTTTATTATTTTACCAAAAAGGTCCTTATTTAAGTACTTTTTTTATGTAACTAGTGTTGTTTCATAAATGTTTCATAAAGGATCCTAAGCTTTAAGGGTAAAAAGACGAGAGAAACAATAATGAAAAAGTACTGTAATGCATTAAATATAGAATTTACGTATTATATTGTTTGGTTATATCTACATGTCTTTAGAATATATGTAGGTTCTGTAGGCCAGAACCATTATCGTCATATTAAAGCGTTTTCAGGGCTGTCCTTAACTCATCAGATAATTCTACTTTGTCAATGATAGGTAAAATATATTGGGATAAGAACATACTACTTTTCCTAGTATACACGTGTAAGTTTTCATCTCTGTCCTCTTTAATATTGGCGATAATTTTTTTAAGTAATTCTGGAGAATTACTTAACGAAAATGTTTTGCACTCAATTAAGTTTGCAATCATTGTAAAATTACCACATCTTGCCAAAAATTCAACAAAAATGGGCACATATTGTTCGGAAACCATATTATGTTCTAGTAGTATATTGTATATTTTTATAATGTCTATACCTTTACTCAAATCATTGTCATCGACAATTTCGATTTGTCTCAGCATAGCAATAAGTGATTCTTTGTCCATCAGATGATATGTTTCTTTCTTCTTTGTCACTATCTGTAGCAATCTTTGAATTTCATTAAAATGAGAACATAAGGGTAATGTAAAATGTAACATTTTTGAAGTCATTTGAGACTCAATAACACTACTTAGGTCAGAAATATAACCCATCTTACTGGTTGTATCATCATGAAAGCAATCTGTTAACATAGCAATATATTCTGCTACTAATTGTTCCTCAGGTAACATATTATTGACTAGTATTAACTTTTTTAGGTATTCATGAGCCGTTATCGTGTAACTAACATTCGTATAGAGATCCATTAATTGTGTATTTGTAGTACCCTGAAATATTTGGTTCGGGAATTTCATTCTAATTGCCTGGATTAGATCATCTAATTTCTTAAGAACTATATTGGATTCAACCCTAGCAACAAGTTCCATCTGAGGTCGCATCGTATATACCAATTGACTAAGTAATTTTTCAAGCACAAAAAACTGATCTAGTTTCATAGTCTCCATATGTAACATTATGGCATTGACAGTTAATGTAATGTTATTTAAATGGTTGCAGTGTTTCTGTATTACAAATGTGTAAAGATCTTCTGTGTATACACCATCTGTAGTCATTACTACACCATCAATCAACGAAACAAGATTCAAGGGTTCAAAAGGTTCTTTCATTTTGCTATTTTTTGCCATCAAAGTTTCGATGGTTTCGATATTTGCAGATGTATCTTTAGTGATATAACTTTCCCTTATTTGATTTTTAATGTCTTTTTCAGTGATCCTTATCATCGAGGAGATATCTTTAAAAACATTATTATGGACATGAAAGCTATAGTTATGTACCCATTCCGGTAAATCCGGAGTGCTTCTCAACTTAAGTTGTTTAGGGATATACTTTTGGGAGTCCCTATCAAATGTAGCAAAATTCGGCCTTCCATCAAGTAGTGAAGAAGTCTTGTACCGATAATTCAAAAGTAATTGTTCTAGTGGTCCAATCTTATAAAAAGGGTGAATTATTTCACTGGGTCTTGATCTAATGATATTTCGACCCTGTTGTTGCAGCTTAACGAGATTAGTCGGGATCTTCCAATTAGCATACTTGCCTATTTTTTCAACGTGCATACCTGTCATCATCGACCATTTTCTAGATATCTCATTTGAAGACTGAAATAATCCCCTTATTGGTAAAATCTCTTGGTAAGGTTTTTTCTAAATAGTCCATCGAGATTTGTTTCTGTCTCTTTGATTTTTTTGTAAGGAAACCGCGCTGCTTACTGGAGGTTGAAAAATATAGCGTCGTACTAAATGATGTTCCTGGATATGAACTATTCTCTTAGTGATTATCAGTCTTATAACTTGAAACAGGTTCTTCTAGGGGTGCAGTATTCGTTGGCTCAGATTGTTGAACAGTTCGATGTAGGGGATACTGATTCATTGGGTACCTTTGGGACGCATGTAAAGTTTCATAATTTCTAATCGACACGGTTCTTCTTAGAGACCACAACAATGAACAAACAAATGCCATCACCACTGTATCCATTAGCATTAACCACCCTGGCCAATCTAAGTGAGTAGCAAACAATAGGATGTCCACCAAAAAGCAAAACAGAGAAAATACAAATAAAGGTAGCGAGACTAATGCTGCTGCCAACACAAATTGTGATGAATCACCATAGGTAGTTCCTGCAATCATTGCTGTCATAATTGCCAGTACTGCACTATTGAACAATGCAATTATGTGGACCACTAACAGTCTAGAAATGGAATACTTAGATTGGGATGGGATGAAGAGGATATCACCATACATATGGGTACTTAAATATTTGTATCCGATACTTCTCTTAGTACACAGGACCAGTTTTGTGGGTAATCGTCTGGTATAGCACCAACCCCAAACACCGTAAGTGAAGTCCATGAATCTTGCTAATGTTATGTGTGTCACTGGGGTAGATATTGCTGGAAAGACATGTGATACAGCAACGCCCAATGAGAGGATCAAGAGCACTTGCTCAGTAGTCAAAATGGATCGCATCGCATTGATACATATGCAATGGCAGAAATAACAATGTATGTCTTCTTGTATTAAATTTCTATTTAAAATTGATAATATTAAATTTGGTAGTCTGCTGGCTCTTGCAAGTCACTGACTCTTTGTAAAATGGTTAGCGATGCTCTGTGGCTTGAAATAGTTTCAATCTCAAAAGTTTCTCTTTCACTGTGCGCGATCGCTTAAGGAGAACCCAATACATGAACAAGAACGTTTATAGAATTGTCATACATATAAATACAATTAGTATACACGTATATTATCTTAATTTTTATCCCCATGACCATGGATGCTGGTTGAGCTATGTTGTATATGACCAGATCCCTCGTTTGGTGCATTGTTTCGCAATGACAAACCAAAGATACACCCATTATTTTACATTATATAACCAAATGTACAGATAATTCCAAGATCAATAAACTTAATACATTGGATTAGACTCAGCGAAGATGCATTGAAAATGAGATTTGTGAGAGTACGAAGATGTCAGGATCTCGAGTTAGCCAGTCTTCCATCAAAAATGTATGATCCAGGCTGGTGGCTAAAATTTCTTGCTTAAATAATAAGTTTAATTAAATAATAATAGGCCATTACCATCAAGTCACTCGGTAGTTACATTTCTTGAATATCTGAATTTCCTATTGTTTTGGTTCTTGTTCCTCAGTTGCAATCTCTGAATATGGGTTGAGTCATTTCCGCGTGGTTTGGATCTCTGAAATTTTTCACTCATCGAAGTCATCGACTCCTTCAACTTCAATACAAAAGGAATACACACATAAACTAACAACCTAAGATAAGTTCTCTCAAAACAGTTTGTGAGGTTTTCTACAGAACTAGAAGCGTATCAAGTCACTCTTAATAATTCTTTTTACAATGAGAGTCTCTCCTGCTATGTTACAACGTGCCGCAAAGGCTATTGATAAGTACGCCTTGTATGTTCCTACCACTGGTGTCTTCCCAAAGGAGTTCAAAGTTGCCTCTACTGCTTCTGGTGTCAAGAAGAACGGCGTGTTGGACTTAGGTGTCATTTTAAACACTAATAAGTCTTGCGCTTCTACTGCAGCTGCTGTTTTTACAACTAACAAGTTCAAAGCTGCCCCAGTACTTTTATCTCGTGGTGTACTAGAGGCTAGTCACGGTAAAGGTGTTGATGCCATTGTTGTTAACTCAGGTTGTGCAAATTCTGTCACCGGTGATGTTGGTTTAGCTGACGGTCAAGCCATGTTAGAAATGGTCAATCAGAATATTGGTAAGGAGAACTCCACTTTGGTGATGTCTACTGGTGTCATTGGTCAAAGATTAAAATTGGATAAGATTCAAGCTGGTATTAATGATATCTTTAAAAAGAACAAGTTTGGTACTGATTTTAGTTCTTGGTTAGGACTAGCTAAATCTATTAATACCACAGATACTTTCCCAAAATTAGTCTCTTCAAAGTTCACTTTACCAAATGGTAAAGAATACACTTTGACCGGTATTGCTAAAGGTGCTGGTATGATTTGTCCAAATATGGCTACTTTATTGGGCTTCGTTTTGACAGATTTACCAATTGAAAGTGCCACTTTACAAAAAATGTTAAGATTTGCAACTAGTCGTTCCTTCAATTGTATCTCTGTTGATGGTGATATGAGTACCAACGATACCATTTGTATGATCGCTAACGGTGCAGTTGATACACCAATCATCAACGAATCTTCTCCAGAATACGAGCAAGTTCAACAACAAGTTACTGAGTTCGCCCAAAAGTTGGCCCAATTGGTTGTCCGTGATGGTGAAGGTTCTACTAAATTCGTTACTGTTAATGTACAACACGCTTTGAAATTCGAGGACGCTAAGATCATCGCTGAATCTATTTCAAACTCTATGTTAGTGAAGACTGCGTTGTATGGTCAAGACGCTAACTGGGGGAGAATCCTATGTGCCATTGGTTATGCAAAGTTGAACGATCTAAAATCATTAGATGTTAACAAGATTAATGTCAGTTTCGTTACCACCGATGACTCTCAACCACGCGAATTAAAGCTTGTTGTCAATGGTGTTCCAAACTTGGACGTCGACGAAGCAAGGGCCTCTGAGATCCTTGCATTGAATGATTTGGAAGTCCTGGTTGATCTGGGTACAGGTATCGAAGAGGCACAGTTCTGGACTTGTGATTTGTCCCATGAATATGTTACTATCAATGGTGACTACCGTTCCTAGTTATTTTCGAATATTTTATTACGTATTTAACCTTCGCCAATATACACACATACATACATACATGTATATATATATATATATAAAACTGTATTGATTTTAGGTTATTTTTATTGAGGTACTTTGCACAATTGTATATAGATGTCACTAAATTTGATTTATTAAATTCAAGTTCTTCCTATTTGCCAGAACATTTATATAATTATATAGTTACAGGTGATTCTTTTTTATGATTAGTTCATAAAGTAAAAAATCTATTATGCTATGAAAATTTCTGTATTTCTTGTGATTTATTCATTATTGTTTATATTACTTGGAATTTCGATTTGGTTAATCAAGTAGTCAACCAAATTTGAAGGATCAAGAATGGCATTCTTAAAGTATTGACGTTTTGGTAATATTTTTAATAAATTAATAATAGGTTCAGGGATTTCAGTCTTCATATTTCCATGAAATTTTTTATTTGGACCGTTATTAAAATCTTCACGACTCCTTTTCAAATTTCTATCCTTACCCAAAGCGGTTGTGGCTTCTTCAGCCTCGTTATAAAGATACGGTAACTCTAATTTTTTAATTTGGTTCACTTTTTGAATGGCGTATCTGTCTGAAAATGTTTCAATGAACAGTTCATCTGGAAATTTCTCCTTATATCTCTTCTCTAATGTATAAACTGTTGATATGTTACCATATTTAGTCTCGTATTCTATCATTTTCTTGAAGACCAGACGTGTTTGTATCTTGTCTTCTATTTTATCTATAGAACTTTCAAACAATGTCTTAATTTGAGAATCCTTATTTAACAACAATAAGAAATCAATATATTTATTGATATATTTACCATCTGTTTGAAAATATTTCAATCCCAATTCCAATACTTTTAACGCGGTTTTATAACCGTCATTTTGATTATAATACTCCATATATGCATTTTCAATATATATTTGATGAGTAATATTGTCCTTTAATTTCCTACATTTACCAAAGATGGATCTAGCTGCCGAAAGACCTGATATTCTTTTAACTGTATTCATATATACACAATAGATGTAGCCGAGTCTCTCCTTGAGAGACTCGGTTCTTTGGGAATCGGCATCTGCAATCTGTCTCTTGTATTGTTTCTGTATGGATTTTATTGTTCCTTCAAAACAGGTTTTAATCATCTCTACTTCGTTTTCCATACTGTATATCTCTGATAGTTTTATGCATAATGTAAGTGAAGTAGGGTTAGCCTTCAAACCATGTGAAAGAGTCTGCTGACGCCACGATGAGTCATTTTCATCAAAGGAGATGGCATAATTATACCACACTTCGGGACTGAATAACATATATATAATACTTTGCTTGTAAACATAACTGACCCTCATCTTGAAAGTCTCATCTGGTAGCACCAACTTATTATCTTTCTCCCAATCTATCCATTTTTTCCAAATATCGATCTGTTCAGAGAATTCTTCATTTTCTGATGTGTGGGGAAGATTCTTCTTGTTAACAGAACGTAAATTAATTGGAGCAACTCTACGTAAACCCTTTGTAACATTAGACCATTCTTGGTATAACGAACGAGCCTTCATATAGTCACCAGATAACTCTCCAATAAATTTTCTTGCTGTTAGGGAATTCACTGTTTGTTCCCATTGAGTATATTTATTCCACATTTGTTCTAATGTATTAAATGGAACACAAAGCATACGTTTGTATAAAGTTCTAATCATATCAATTTTCTGTTGTTCCTCCCATTTGTTTACTGGTTTCCATTGTTCCAAAAACAATATGTAATCATTCCAAAATTGGGAAGAATTGGGTTCAAAGACAGCACATTTTTCAAGTACTAAATCAAAGGCTTTCACGACGATTGCACGAGCTTCTTGGCCACCTGTAATCAAGTTATTCTTTCTGCGAACATAATCCAAATATGTCATCCATAAAGAAAGATCATTGTTTTCTGTTTCTCCAGAGAGACATTGCGCTAATAGTTTTTCAACAGTTTCAAATTCATCTCGTTGTAAATCTTCTTTTAAATGAATGGACCATAATGGTGCATAAAAGGGGAACCTTGTATGTAATTGTTCAAAGGATAGTTTAATTTGTTCGAAATCGTCTTTACCCTCATAATGTCTGATCAACTCTAATGCAGAAAATATATCAGTTGGATCTTCTTCTAACTTATTGTTTAATACACTGGTAACATCGTCAGTGACTACTGCTGGTGTGGCAATAGGTTCAATCGTTGTTTCCGGTGTAGATAAATTTGACATCCAGGAAAATGGTGGCAATGGAAATTAAGAAATTCTGTATAGTACCAGTAAATTAGGACACCTTAACACTAGATTAAACAAACTCTGATCGTTATATCCCTTGTCTGGATTGTAGAATAGTTTATTGCTTTATCTGTTCTTCTTCTAACAAAAGCTGTAACTCCCTCATTTTCTATTTTCAAAAAGTGGAAAATTTTTGAAATTTTGAACCGGCCGGGTGAGTATCAAACATATTTAAAATTAATCCAACTTGAGAACCCATTCACTTTAATAAAGGGTTCAATTCTTAAGGAAGGTATTCAGTCTAGAGAGGAGGGAAGTGGACAGATTGAGCTCTACGAAGTGAACCGAAGCATTTTGCACAATGAAAGTTTTCCATTTGTGGGGGATCAATGGCGAACCTAGTTTTATATCTCCGGAGAGTGTTGCGTTGTATTGGATTTTGAACAACTCAGAACTAGGTTACTTATCGACCGATGACGACAATGATGTCAGGGAGGTTGTATTTTCTAATAATACTGACTTGTCACCTACAGGTCATTTACCACTGTTAATTATCAGTGATGAAGGAGCAGAAGAGGTCAAAATTTCAGGGTTTGATAATATTATTCGTTATTTTCAACAGTTCCCTGCAATTGAAGAGGGAAATAATGAACAATTGTATGAGAACGCATTAATGGAACATTTAATACATAACTTTTGTCCCTTAACTTTGTATCAATTGTATTTGAATAAGTCAAACTATGTTGGTTTCACGAGGAAACAGTTTTCAAAATTATTATATTTTCCTATGTGGTATAATGTTCCAATAAGTTATAGAGCTACCATTAGAGCACAATGTGATAAACAGTTGAATTTGGAATATGCATTAGTTGAGGAAGATCCTGATTATGTTTCTGATGAAGAGACTAGTATGAAAGAAGCGGCCAACGTAGCTCAATCAAGGACATTCAAATTGAAAGCCAAAAGTTTAATACGGAATAAAAACGAATTATTCGAGACAAAGCATAATTTACAATATTTGAATAAGATGGTAGATATCTTAAAAGATTGGTTCTCTATAAGGTATATGGTCTTACCAAGAGAACACACTCCAATTGCTGCAGATATTTTATTGTGGGCTAATATTTATGTCCAAGTTAGTCTCCCAGAAGGTACGAAAGTTCTCGATAGGATAAAAGAAGATTTGGGACAGGAGCAAGCTAATAATATTATGGAGATGATACATAAATTAAGTACTAAAAGTGCCGTATTGAAAGAGAGGCACCCTACATTTCAAGAACAGGGAAATGCTGTAATGTCGCTGTATCATAAAGGTGTATCTTTTTTGGGGTAATAATGTTCATCATATTGTATTTAGTTAAAGCATGTTAATTATAAATATCGTAAATAGAAAGGACAAGCAAACAACTAATACACAATTACGGTTAATATATCGTAGTAATTTCGCCGCATACTTTAATTATGATCCATTAATTGGAAATAGTTTACTGAATTGGTCAGTCAAAGAGATTCAAAACAGTAATTTTAGAGAATCTGAGTTAGAGTTTTTAATCTCATTTGATTCTTTAATTTCTTGTTTGTTAGTTAAATGTAATTCGGACGTTTTTTGATATGATAATTGATCAGTTGTTTTATATTATATAATCTACAAATTACTCAATCATAAATATTTATTATTTTACAATAATGGCTTTTTATATACTACTATTTTTCTTGAACAACTCACCTACATATATTGTTGGTTTAAATATTTTTGCTAATCTCTTTCCCATATCGCCAATTAATTCTTTACAATATTTTTGGATAAAGTTTCACAGTAAGTTACACTTAGTTTCTGGCAAGAACATTCACAATTGACCTGTGAATAACGTTGCGGTGAGCGTCGTCTTTCGTAATTGTAATTAGTCATCCAAAAGGTTCCGGTATAACGACGTTGTTCGTACCTGTTAAGATGTATATCGGCCCAAAGCCATGAATATTCTTGGTTTGGTGGATCTACCGGGATAAGCTCAGTATTCGATCGGCATTTACAATCTGAAATCATATTTCTATTTATTTTAGATAAAAATTCTTCTCTAAAATGGAAATATTCTTCGTTGGGTATATCTATGTTGGGTAAACGTTGTCTATGTAAAAGTTTACCCCCAACAATATTGAACACCAATGGCCTAATGAGAGCATGAATAAAAGCGAAGGGAGTATACAATCGTGGCTCATTGCTAGCTCTTAGAAGGGATGTTACATTGGCATACATATGTTTTATATTGTGTCGCGAACAACCTATGAAAAGTATTGGGAAATATTCCACTGGATTTGGAACAACATACGTTTTAAGTTTACTACAATACCGCGATCTTAATGATTTATGCCAATCCTTCTCCAGGGTCATGAAGTTACCATCATATTTTGGTGACGCAAATTTAAGATTTTTTCCTAATTGGCGTAGAAACTCTTCTGTATTATAATATTTATAACTGTATTCTGAAGTGGTAAAAAATCTCCCTGGGTTTCCCTTTGTTGGAGAAGTAATGACAATGGAATCGGTATCATCACACCCGACTATTAATAAAATCGAGTCGACCAGGGGCATATAAAAAGGTTGCAATGAAACTCGTAATTCTTTTACAAAAGGATTACCTCCATCTTCGTCCTCGTGTATTATATATTCCTTTCCTTTTATTGGTATCCCTTTTGTTTTGGATTTACCATATTTTGTCATAAAATTATTAGCAATCGTAGTGAACCTGTCATCTTTCATTGCAGTAAATAACGGTTTTGAATCGAATTTAGTTCCCTTCAGAAGTGTGTTATTATTTTTTATGAATATTTCCATTTTTCAGGTTGACTCATTGAGAAGATTTGATGTTGGTTATAATGGTCAACGATTCAAATTATGTAACGAATGAAAATGGAATTGAAAGAAAAAATAGTTATTGCGTTGATATTTATATAAGATTTTGTGTAGACCGTAGTTAGAATAGGATAGAACTAAGGGAGTTTGGATTAAAATAGGTGAACATTACGAACCTTCCTTCTATCTACAAGTTGATGATTTTACCTACTATATAACCGGTACATATAGTGTATTGTGTAGGGGGGGAACACCATCTGATGTTACCCAAATGCATACATAATTAAATAACAGGTGACGCATATCATTGGGTAGGAAGTACCTTTCCCAATGGAGGTACACATGGGAAGGGATGCCAAGTGTTTCAGTTAGAAGTGATGTACATTTTGACATGCGAACCAGTACGGACTTTCAAATGCGCGATTACGTCATTTCAAGGGCAAAAGGGTAAATCAAACTGTGCAAGTGACACATTTTGGAAAGAATAAGAGAGAGAGAGGATTGCCATTTTGGAATTGCAATACCTACTAGCTGCCCAATTGTGGGTACTTGTGGGCTGTTACCGGCACATGTATCATTTTGGTTGTTATAGTGGTAGGCAAACAAGCTCCGGATTACTAGGTCGTTGGGGAAAAGGAATCCGTTACATATTATAACCACCTTAAAGAGTTGTTGCAAAAACAGCCTATATGTAGAGTATTAATAACAAAGCTGATTCTTCAAAAACTCTGTGGAACAGAAGTAATCAATAGTTAGTACAAGGTCCGAGACTTCGAATAGTTTAACAGTTAACATAAAAATATTCCTCATTTACAAATTAAAGTTACATGGATGGATATATCTTTGCCACTTCTCATTTACAAGATCACCATATTTACAATATAATGTAGATAACTGTTGAACTTTTGGAAAATCATATTTTCCTTTTATGTCAAAATGTCAAAAAAGGAATGACATCATGGTAGAAAAGCACTCTTTCCACAACACTGAAAGATTTATCTAGGTACATAGATTAGAACAAATTAACCTCTTAAAATAGAATAAACAATCTAACATCATCTTATTATTCAGCTGGATTCCCAGATTTATATTGGTCTAATTTAAAATTTTAACAAATTTTGGTTATCTTATACAACAACGACATACAGTTGTATATTGATAAATTACAATTAACTTCATTGAATATTATTTATTGTACATTACAGAATTAGGAGCAGGTAATTTAATACGCGACATTAAAAGAATACATTTCTATAACATGTGAATTCCTTTTAACATTTTATAAAAAATATACACACATTGTATTGTTTTGACAATACAGATTTAGAATAGAATAGCACATAGGGTGATAATGAAAATGTAGTGAATAAACAAAGATGAGATGTTAAAAGAAGACATAAGAAAGATATGTAGATTAGATAATTCTTGTATATTATTGGTAACATATAGAGATTCATATACATATTTTAATTCAATTACTTACCATCATAGTCATACTTTGGAAACCCCAATTGCTGTAATTTTAATACAAGTAAAGAAACTACAAATATAGGCCAAACAATACAACATTCTAATTTGGCATTTAAATTTTTTTTTAAATTTTTTATGTTTTTTTATGCTTTTCAAATTTTAACAATAGTACAAACGAGATACCTTTAGTAAACAAATATATTTGTATTTTTTCATATTATAATAAAAATAGGTATATGTACATATATATCCTTCAAAAGGACAACAAATGGCATTCTTCCAAGCCTTTATATTCAATCCCTCGAAGTCTCTTGAATAATTACATCTTCTTTAGAATTATCCACCTCTTCATTGTCGTCATAATCTTCGACCTCTGCCAATTGATCCTCTGAGATCAATTCTTTAACCTCTGCCATTTCTTCCTCCGTAGACATTTCCATCATACCATATATAGCAATAGTGACTAATCCCAGGATACCTGCAATACAACTAAATACCATAGCAATGATCCCTTTCTTTGTGAATCCACCGGGGATACTCTTTTCTTGAATATTTTCACCAGTTAAATCATAAAAGTCTTCAAAATTACCTGCTGCGTTCCCTTTCGAACTAATATTTGAATTTGAGCACATATCTAACATATTTGCAGTCAATGCCTGTGACGAGTTCGCTTGAATGGATAATGGATCTTCTACAAGAACGATAGCCAACCCTTGCAACAGATGCCATTCGATATGACAATGGAAAAACCACACCCCTGGATTATCTGCTTTAAATCTAATGACGAAATTTGATTGAGGCCTTAAAAAGATAGTATCACGTTGCATTGGATACTCTGGGAAAGCAGCATGATTATCAGGATCATATGATACTGGGTCTTCTCCTAAGTCTGCATCATACGTTTGATCTCTAATAATTGTTTGAAATACATGGCCATGTAAATGGAAAGGATGTACCCCCGTATCTTTATTATTCAATACGATTTCAATAATTTCATCTTTTTGAAGCACAAAAGTGTTTGTGTTTGAACCATAAATTGTTGAATCTGTTGCATTTTCACCTGAACTTAATACTGTCATTAATGTTGGTACCTTTGGTGTTGTATAAGTAATATTATTGAAAAAAGCATAATTTTTACCATCAAGTAAATTATCCATAGCGACATCCAAAGTAATCACATAGTCAGGATCATCCAATAGAGGCATCTTATTATAAGGAATCAAATAAAAATCATCTAAATATTCCAAATCATCAACGATATCCTGTTCTGGAACCGAAGCTGAAGAATTGTAAGTGAAATATGAAGTTGAATTTAATTGTAAATCACCTGGGATAGTGTCTAACATTGTATCATCAAATTTCTGCATAATTGCATAATTTTTATCTGTTTCATTCTTAGTATGAATCAATACAGAATATCTTTGACCCACTGTAATATATAATTTATCTGTAGTATTTTGTTCGGTATAGACACCATCAACTTCAACCACAGTCATTTCATGATCTTCGATCCAAAAATATTGTGAAACAAACCCACCAAAATTACCTACACGTAATAAATAAGTAGTATCCGGTTGAACTTCCCAAGTCAAATTTCTCGTATTATTCAAAATTAAATTTTGTGGGATTGGTTCTGCACCTGTTGGATTATACAGAGATAAAAATTTGGATCTTAATACGTCCACGGTTTCACCATACCATTCACCAATGGATAAGATAACTTCTTCATCGTACTCATATGGGAAGTTTTCATTATCTGGTCCATCATCAACGATGAACAAAGCTCTAAACCCATCTTCATACTGTCCTTCGGTATGAGAATGGTACCAATACATTCCGACATTTGAATCCACTGTAAAATTATACAATAGAGTGTCACCTTGTTGAATAGGACATGCGTTAACCATCGGAGGCCCGTCCATTTGAGTGGTCCCCTTTTGAAATAAACCGTGCATGTGCAAAGTGGTAGTGGTAGTTGTATCATTAAAGCCATTAGTCAAATAAATTAACACGTTATCACCTTTAGTGACACGAATATCTGGCCAAGGGAATTCCCCATTACAAGTAATAACGGGTCTAGTTGCTACACCGTCAACATTTGCATAACCCCAACCTGTAGTCCAATGATACTCTACAGTCTTAGCACTGGCTGCCACTATCAATTGACAAATTGTCAAAATTATTAATTTATACATCGTTGCTGCTGTGCTGGGGTGGTCTACGAGATGAGACAACAATAAAGACTACATAACCAATTCAAATAATACAGCCCTATATATATATATATATATAGATATATATACGTGCAAGAACATCGAGCGAGTCAAACTCGACAACGTCAATGCAACCACCTGCTTCTGTTGTAATTGCAATATACCTAATAATAGGTGCAAATATACATTAAGTGCACCCTGGTGGTAGTACTCAACGTCATGTTAAACCGTAGTCAGTCACCTCAATCCACGTTCCCAAGAGCGATATATGCACCCACCCCCATAGCTCTCTCTCTCTCTCTACAGAGTGTTGCTTAGTTCACCCTACGCAAGTAGTGTCACATTATCAAATCACCGATTACCGCAACTGGGAACCGCACCCAGAACGGCTGGCTTTTTCGTCAAACTTTCTTTTTCTCTCTCAACCGGCTGACATTTAGGCGTGGTTCACCGCACTGTCGGTGACATAAAAAACACAGTGTATACAATCTAAGCAATGGCTAGATACAGTTGGCAACTGCTCTGCCCAAGCATACATCAGGAGGCATGCGATAACAATCCAATAATCCGTAGCTGCTCCAAGCTGCCAAACGAACCATCGACGTCAAATATAGTCACTGTCGGCTTTACAAGCAGCTCATTAAGTGCGGTTCTTGTCTTTAAACGAATGGCAACTTGCTGAAATTTCTCTCATTGCTTACCGATCGATGCACCGATGCCACAGAGCAGATACTTACACAGCTATTAGTTATATAAATTGCATTCAAAAGGAACTTCCCAATAATCATCGATATTCCTAAATGGGAATCTTGAGTCAGAAAGAGAGACAAAAAAGCGTACCAATGTCACTATGAACGACACGCGGTGCGGTGCACCAGCAGAAGCCCCCGTCCTCGCATCACTCGGCACGAACGGCGGGTGTGCGATGACCTGTTAATATTTCGTTCGCTCTGCCGGTTTTCCGTTTTTTTGCGGTGAAAAATTTTTCAGTCACTCGGTGCGTCGTTGTGAGGGATGGATGAGCCGTGTGAGCAATTCTCGTTTTGTGCGATTTTCTTACCTTCTCTACATACAATAAAAAGGTCTGGGGTCCAAAGGAGAGGTTTCAACAATGGCGATATATATATTAGAGAGATGGCGATACTGTTTTAACTTATACACACACATTCTAGATAGCTATATCTATATCTATATTGATATCCATATAGATATATATAATCGAGTTATGCAACACAATATGGATTCGTTCTCCAAAGCAGATCTGGAAAAGATCGTTACTCGTGAGGACTATAATCAGGCATCACCAACTCTTTCAAGAGAATCTTCAACTACAACACAGCCACGTCAAAGATTAGTTCATAGATTTATCGATTCCTTTAAACCCCCACTAGATAATGACCCGAATAATACTGAAAGTATCGATGAAGATGAACTAGAGCCTCGTCAAAAATTGAAAAAGACAATGAAATCTCGTCATGTCGTTATGATGACCCTAGGGACAGGTATTGGTACAGGTCTATTGATCGCTAACGCCAAGGGTCTTTATTTCGGTGGTCCAGCGTCTCTAGTTATAGGTTATGGTCTTGTCTCCTTTGTTACATACATTGTTATTCAAGCCGCAGGTGAAATGGCTGTCGCTTACCCGACTTTACCAGGTAATTTCAACACTTATATGTCAACTTTTATATCGAGACCTTATGGTTTTGCAACAGTTTGGTTATATTCCGTTCAATGGTTAACCGTTTTACCATTAGAATTGATTTCTGCAACAATTACTATTAAATATTGGACCACGAGTGTTGATCCAGATGTATTTGTTGTAATCATTTATGTCGTTTTAATTTTTATTCATTTATTTGGTGTGGAAGCTTATGGTGAAACCGAATTCCTGTTCAATGCTTGTAAGATTCTTATGATTGCAGGGTTTATCATTTTATCTATTGTAATCAATTGTGGTGGTGCTGGGAATGATGGTTATATTGGAGGTAAGTATTGGCATGATCCGGGTGCTTTCGCTAGTGATTCAGGCGCTCAACGTTTAAAATCGATTTGTTACACTCTAGTCACAGGTTATTTCTCATATGGTGGTACTGAGTTGTTTGTTTTATCTGTAGCAGAACAAGAAAATCCAAGAAAATCAACACCAATCGCAGCTAAACAATCAATTTATCGTATTTTAGTAATTTATCTATTGACAATGATTTTAATCGGTTTCAACGTTCCTCGTGATTCTTCAGAATTAATGGGTTCTTCAAATTCTCAAACTCATGCTTCTCCATACGTGTTAGCTGCATCCATTCATGGTGTTAGAGTCGTACCACATTTCATTAATGCAGTCATCTTAATTTCAATGATCTCTGTGGCAAACTCTTCATTATATGCAGGTCCTAGACTGTTAGCATCTTTAGCAGAACAAGGTTACGGTCCAAGTTTTATGAAATATATCGACAGAAATGGTAGACCACTATATGCATTATTAATTTCTATCCTATTTGGTGTCATTGGATTTGCTTCTTCTTCAACAAAGGAAGAACAAGTCTTCACTTGGTTAGCCGCAATTTCAGGTTTATCAGAATTATTCACTTGGGGTGGGATTATGTTATCTCATTGGAGATTTAGATTAGCCATGCATGCCCAAGGTAAAGATCTTGGAGAATTAGGTTATAAAGCTAACACAGGTGTTTTTGGCTCAATGTATGGTGTATTTTTCACATTCTTAGTCTTCATTGCACAATTTTGGGTTGCTTTATCACCACCAGGTTCCGAAGGGAAAGTATCGGCTGAAACTTTCTTTGAAAGTTATTTAGCTTTCCCAATTTGGGTGTGTTCCTATTTTGGATACATGGCATACAATAAAGACTATACTCTTTTAAATCCTTTAAAAGAAATTGATTTGGATTCCTACAGAAGAGTCTATGATCCGGAATTGTTAAAGAAGGAAGATGAAACACAAAGACAACAATTTAAAGAAGGTTCCTTCTGGTACAAGATGAAAGCCATCTGGTGTTAATGAATTCCCACTCCCCCCAAATGTAATATTACATACACACACATACACACATACATATATATATATAAGAGTGTCTATCACTTTTTAATCTCACAAGTTTTATTAGTATCATGACTATGACGTTTCCCTTTCACAGAAAAGGACCCTGCTGAGTTTCTTAACCTTCCCCCACGTTCACCGCCCGGAACCGCTACAGGAGAAAGTGCGTGGTCGTGGGGGAAGGTGAAAATTTTTTCAAAATCTGAATCAGTCATACTCACAGCATACAGCTGTTTATTCCCAGATCCCTATATATAAAGAGCAAAGTAATCATTTCAACGCATTTGACCCATTGGTGTACTCAATTGACATTACGAAAAGACCTACACACGATCTTCTATATATATACAGATTTCACACATCATGTCCTCTCCTATGTTCAATGCCGATGGCACTACCAACCAATCTGAAGATGTTAGAATTTTGGGTTACGACCCATTAGTCTCTCCAGCTTTGTTACAAGTACAGATCCCAGCTACCCAAAAATGTCTGGAGACCGCTCAACACGGTAGAAAGGATTCCATTGAGATCATTTCCGGCCGTGACGATAGAGTTCTTGTCATTGTTGGTCCATGTTCCATTCATGATTTGGATGCTGCTCAAGAATACGCTTTAAAATTGAAAAAATTAGCTGATGAATTGAAAGGTGATTTATTGATTGTTATGAGAGCCTACTTAGAAAAACCAAGAACCACTGTTGGTTGGAAAGGTTTGATTAATGATCCAGATGTGAATAATTCTTTCAATATTAACAAAGGTTTACAAGCCGCTAGACAATTATTCGTCAATTTAACTTCTATTGGTCTACCTATTGGTTCCGAGATGCTAGATACCATCTCCCCACAATATTTAACCGATTTGTTATCCTTCGGTGCCATTGGTGCCAGAACTACCGAATCTCAATTACATAGAGAACTGGCCTCTGGTCTATCTTTCCCAATTGGTTTCAAGAACGGTACTGATGGTACTCTTGATGTTGCTGTTGCCGCTTGTCAAGCTGCTTCTCACCCACATCATTTCCTAGGTGTCACCAAACATGGTGTTGCTGCCATTACTACCACAAAGGGTAACGAACATTGTTTCGTCATCTTAAGAGGTGGTAAGAAGGGTACCAATTACGATGCTAAATCTGTTGCCGAAGCTAAGGCTCAATTACCAGCTGGTTCCAACGGTATCATGATCGATTACTCTCACGGTAACTCCAACAAGGACTACAGAAACCAACCAAAGGTTAATGATGTTGTTTGTGAACAAATTGCTGCTGGTGAAAAATCTATCATTGGTGTCATGATCGAATCCAACATCAATGAAGGTAGACAAGACGTCCCACCAGAAGGTAAGGCCGGTTTAAAATACGGTGTCTCCATCACTGACGCTTGTATTTCTTGGGAAACTACTGATGCTGTCCTAAGAAAATTGGCTGCTGCCGTTCAACAAAGAAGAGCTGTCAACAAGAACTAAACAAAGTGATCACCACCACAACAACAACGAAATGAAACGTTCTTTTTCTCTTTATGTATTAGTATGTAATTAAACCTCATCATATTTAAATCAATAAACCCACAACAACAACTACAAGATCTTAACTTCCATCCTTCATAGTTTCTGACTCTACCAGCCTTTTATGTAATTAACCACATTTTAATTACTTGAAAATTAGTCATTTGTGCGCATTTTTCAACCTTCCTCACAGACAACCGCGTAAGACAAACCGACAACTTCAACTTTTATTTCATTTCAGCCAAGAGAAGAAGAGTCACAACGAAAAATTGTGAGAAATATTTTGACATGAAACTTTTTCCATATAAAAGTGAAATGGGAACCAACAGATGCTTGGGAGGTGGAACTTGTAATAGTATATCATTACCTTACTTTAGACCTTAGAATCAAAACCAACGTAAAGGAAAAAAAAGATGTCTAAATTAGTGCACGTCATCGATGTTGAGAGTGGGAACTTACAGTCCCTAAGAAATGCCATTGAACACCTTGGTTACAAAGTTCAACTGGTTCGTAAACCACAAGAACTGATAGATGCAAACCCAGAGAAATTGATCCTACCTGGTGTTGGTAACTATGGCCATTTTGTTAACGAGTTGTTTTCTCGTGGATTTGAACAACCTGTGAAGGATTATATTAGTTCAGGAAAACCGATTATGGGGATTTGTGTTGGCCAACAAGCTTTATTTAGTGGTTCAGTAGAATCTCCATTGAGTGGTGGTTTAGGTTACTTACCTTTTAAATTGTCTCGTTTCAATAACGATAATGGCAAGACTGTACCTCAAATTGGTTGGAATAGTATCACGCAGGATAGTCCCCTGTTTTATGGTCTAGATCCGTACAAACGTTACTATTTCGTTCACTCATACGCTATGATTTTAAATCCCGAGATAGAAGCTCAATTGAAACGAGATGGTTGGTCTATTGCTAAAGCCAAATATGGTGATGAAGAATTCATTGCATCCTTAAACAAAGGTAACATCTTTTCAACTCAATTCCATCCTGAAAAATCAGGTCATGCTGGTTTACATGTCATTGATTGTTTCTTAAAACAAACCACATCGGACCCATTACCTTTATACACAGACTCCCAAAAAAAATCTTTGCAAAATGATTACAGTAATAATGGGTTAACAAGAAGAATCATAGCGTGTTTGGATGTTCGTACTAATGATCAAGGTGATTTAGTGGTAACGAAAGGTGACCAATACGATGTTCGTGAAAAAGAGAATGGTCAAGATGTTAGAAACCTTGGGAAGCCGGTAGAATTAGCTCAAAAATATTACGAACAAGGCGCAGATGAAATCACATTTTTAAACATTACTTCCTTTAGAGATTGTCCATTGAAGGATACTCCAATGTTAGATGTTTTAAAACTTGCTGCAAAGACAATTTTTGTCCCTTTGACTGTTGGTGGTGGGATTAAAGATATCGTGGATACTGACGGTACCACGGTTCCTGCTGTAGAGGTAGCGAACCTATATTTTAGATCTGGTGCCGATAAAGTCTCGATAGGTACAGATGCAGTATATGCTGCTGAAAAGTTTTATGAATCTGGTGGTAAATGTGATGGTACCACTCCAATTGAAACCATTTCCAAAGCGTATGGTGCTCAAGCTGTAGTGATATCTGTGGATCCTAAACGTGTTTATGTTGATGACCCTGCACAAACTAAGAACCGTTGTATAGAAACAAATTTCCCTGATGAACAAGGACGTACTTGGTGTTGGTATCAATGTACCATCAAAGGTGGTAGAGAAACAAGAGATCTAGGTGTCTGGGAATTGACTCAAGCTTGTGAAAAACTAGGGGCAGGTGAAGTCCTATTGAATTGTATTGACCGTGATGGATCTAATGCAGGTTATGACTTGGAATTGATCAATCATGTTAAGGAAGCTGTTAGCATTCCAGTGATTGCTTCAAGTGGTGCTGGTAAACCAGCAGATTTTGAACAAGGTTTCAAGGAGACATCTGCAGATGCTTGTCTTGGTGCTGGTCTATTCCACAGAGGAGACTACACTGTGAAGGATGTTAAGGACTATCTGTTAGCAAATGGCTTAAAGGTAAGAGTTGATACAAATTAATGAAACCAACAATGTTCCACATTCCTCACATATATATACATTTATAGTACTATGTATATTTTAATGATAATTTATTTAAACTTTTCTTCTTCTTCAGTGTTAATCTCATCACTATAATTTTTCAGTGATATTGTATGGCGAAAATTTTTTTTCTGCTTTTGCTTCTTGAAGCGATGCGATGAGCTGAAAATTTTTTTTGATGAGCTCAAAAATAACTAAGGATAAGTTGACTTTTCACCTTAAAAGCAACAAACATTCATAGATAATATACCGACTATCGAAACCACCAATATATCAAACAAGTATGGGGAGAGCTAATACATCTAGAGCCAAGAAACAGAGACATGATCCGCTTTTGAAGGATATCGATTCTGCCCAAGGTACTTTGAAGAAACAGTACACTAAGAAAAATCAAGTTACCAATGGCGAAGAAAATGAAGACGATGAAGAATTCATTGATGCTAAGCATTCTCGTAAGATTTTACAACTAGCTAGAGATCAACAGGATGAAATTGCTGAGGAAGAAAACACTGAGTTGCAACGTGAAATTCAAAACAAAGCTAGATTCCAACATATTAGTTATGATGATGATGAAGAAGATGATGATGAACAAGAAGGTGATTTTTCCGATTTTGAACCTGAAGGAGAATATGCTGAAGAGATGGAAGAAGAAGAAATTGTGGAGTTAGATGAAGAAGATGCAGCTATGTTTGAACAATATTTCAAGAAAGCCGACGATTTCAACTCATTGAATGGTAGTTATAATTTGGCTGATAAGATCATGGCTTCTGTCAGAGAGAAAGAAGCCGAGATTAAAGAATCAGCTATTGATATTGATACTGAGGAAGTCGATAATGGTGAACATGAAACTCAAAAGAGACCAATGGATGGTGTTGCACTACCTGAGAAGGTCATCAGAGCCTACACCACTGTGGGTACTGTGTTAAAGACATGGACTCATGGTAAATTACCTAAATTGTTTAAAGTTATCCCATCATTGAGAAATTGGCAAGATGTATTATACGTGACAAATCCAGAAGAATGGTCTCCACATGTTGTCTATGAAGCCACTAAACTATTTGTCTCCAATTTACAAGCCAAAGAAGCTCAAAAGTTTATCAACCTGGTATTATTGGAACGTTTCCGTGACAACATTGAAACAAATGAGGATCACTCTTTGAACTATCATATTTATCGTGCTATTAAGAAATCCATCTATAAACCAAGTGCATTCTTCAAGGGGTTCCTTTTCCCACTAGTGGAAATGGGTTGTAACATCCGTGAAGCTACTATTGCTGGTAGTGTGTTGACCAAAGTCTCAGTTCCTGCTTTACATTCCTCTGCTGCATTAAGTTATCTATTGAGATTACCATTTTCTCCTGCTACTACTGTATTCATCAAAATACTTTTAGACAAGAAGTATGCATTACCATACCAAACTGTAGATGAATGTGTTTACTACTTCATGAGATTTAGAATCGTCGACGACGGTAGCAATGGTGAAGATTCTACTAGAACATTACCAGTGATATGGCATAAAGCATTCTTGGTATTTGCTCAACGTTATAAGAATGATATCACTGAAGATCAAAGAGACTTCCTTTTGGAGACAGTACGTCAAAGGGGACACAGAGATATTGGTCCTGAAATCAGAAGAGAACTATTAGCAGGTAACTCCAGAGAGTTTGTTGACCCTAATGAGGAAAAGGACGATATGATGATAGACGTCCAATAAGTAGTCAAAATAAGAAAAATAGAAATAATAACAATTATATAGCATTTACCAAAGAATAACACATACATGTATATTACAAAACAAATAAATTATCTTTAAATAAAAAAGAGATGTCCGCCCACCTACTATCAAACTGTGGACTGTAGGAAATTTAGTCCCTGTTAGCGAAAAGGGCGTGAAATTAATCGATTCTTAGGCCTTCCTCTTAACATATGTCTGATCATAGCGTTACAATGGACTCGTTTACTGCAGAGGCACAATAGAGTGTCAGATCGCAATCACCCAAAACTGACTTAAGGAAAAACTCCAAAAACCAGACAGGTGAAAGCAATTAACACTCCAACCACACAATAAACGCAAAACTGAAACGATATATAAGCAACCAGACTAGGTAAAGGCCTTACCCTTCTTCTTCTACAAAAGGAAAACGAAAACAGAGTGGTAATGAAGTTCCTTGAATAAAAGTTTCATATCTTTCTTTTATACTGAATTTTTTTCTTTCTTTCTTTCGCCGTGCTGTGCTGACCCAGCAAAGTGAACGAAAAAAAAAGTGTTAGGGCATTGCAAGCAATTAGACCTTTCACAGAAGACTGGTTAGAAATAATTAATGTACATAAAGAGATAAAGATATATATATGCAAAGAAGTATATGCCGGGGATGAATGTGAATGCATGTGGGTGAAAGATTACTTCTGATGGACTTTTTTTAATCAGCCATCATCAGAGCTCTTTTTTTTCCTTTCTTGTTTTTCTTGTTATGCTTCTTTGAACCGTTACCTTGATTACCATTCTTATGGAATGGATTTGTCAATTGGCCCTCTACACCATCCATCTTGAAGAATTCTTTATCTAGATCAGTGGCAGCGTTGTACAGAGCTGCTTGCTTACCACCGTGTGTTACAGCTTTAGCTTCAGTCTTGTCATCACCACCAGTGTGTGCAGAGAATGTTAGGTTCTTTAAATCACGGGATAAATCAACAACTTCGATACCTTTAGACTTGGCAGCTTCTGCGATTTGTTCTTTTCTTGTCTCTGGTAAACGTTCAAACACATAAAGGTCTTTGTTAAATTCTTGGGATTCTTCAGTAGTGTAAGGAGTGTCGTCTTCCAAATGTGGTGGTGGGTTGATGTACAACAATTTACCATTCACGTAATCCTTTAGAATGTAACGACTTGAACGAGCTTCATCTGCAGAACCAAAACCTTGAGTCATATAACCACGAGCTCTACCGTATGCAATCAATAATTCTTGACCAGTTGGAACTATACCATTACCACCTTCATCGACACTCTTTGTTTGAATATGAATACCATATACGGCCTCTAGGAAATATTTAGGAACTCTTTGAGCAACTAGATTTGAGGGACTGATGAAATCACGAAGTTGATCAATTGGTAAGACACCATTACAGACCAATTCACCATTATTGTAAGCGAAATTTGGGAACACTAAACCTGGACAATCGCATAATTCTACCGAATCTGAGAGCCTAATAGTTTGGAAATGTTTAGTCTTACCAGGAGTAGATGAGACAGAAACCTTCTTTGCACCAACTAAGGAGTTAATAGTTGAAGATTTACCAACATTTGGGTAACCAACTAAACCAATTTGTAATAGGGAAGGACGGCCAGGCAATGGCTTGGTCAATGGTTCTTGTGGAGCTTTAGTTAAAAACAATTCTTCCAATTGATCTATACTCAAGATTTTGATCTTTTCTTGAATTTCAGGATCGATTGATTCATCGATCTCTTCTTCTTCTTCCTCTTCCTCCTCTGAAAGATAATCATCACCTAATTCGTTTTGCTTTTCTAACAGTTGATTAGCTCTTAATGCAGAATAAAATGTGAAAGAAATACCTTGTTTAATAAAATATTCGGCCCATGCAATTCTTTGTTTTGTAGTCAATAGATCTGCTTTGTTCACCAATAACAAATTTTGTTTTCTTTCATCAAGTTCTTTAACATAATTTTCTAAATCGACAGATCTAAATAATAATGGGTTTCTTGCATCTACAATTTGAACAACTAGATCAGATCTTTCAACGACTCTCCATAATTGTTTCCAAACTTCAATATTTCTTTCGAAGGGTGTCAATAACAAATCGTCATTAGTTTCTTGTAAGAAAGCTAATTTTCTTCTCCATTCCAAAAACGCATCATTTTCTTGTCTCTCTAATTGATATTTAGTGGTTGTAGAGTCCCAAGCAGGTCTTCTTGGAACAATCAATTCACGAGCATGAGCTCTTTGTTTAGCATCCAATTTTCCTCTTTGTTCGTTAGTTAAACCAAACCCTTGTGAGGAAGCATTCTCAACACCACTATCTAAACGAATAATCTTAACGTTAGAATGTCTATCGGCAGTGAAATCTTTGTCAGCCAATTCAGCAGTACTTAAAAATTCATCCAACGCAGTCTCCTGAGTGACAGATCTTAACTTGACCCAACTAGCTTCATGTTTGTCTGTAGTGAATCTCATTTCACCATCAGGCAAATATTCGATGGAATTTTCTTTTTGACGAGCAGATTGAATAGCTCTCCCTAATCCGATAGTATTCTTATTCTTACGATGGATTGGCTTGGGGCCCTTTGGGGCTTTCCATTTCTTAACGGCTTCCTTTGGTGGCATTTTCTTCTTCTTGCTATTCTAGTTATACTGTATTTAGTATGTTTATATATCTGTTATACGATATCTAGATAGCAAGTACTACTTAAAAACTATACAAAGCTGAGTTATAAATATTTAACCTTCTCATCATCTCATCTCATCTCATCTCTATAATTTCAATTTTGCACTAAAGTGGCGCTTCTCTTGAAAAATTTTCATTTTCCACTTTGAATCTCTTAACTAAGCAAAAAAACAAAAACTTGGATAGAGCCGGCACGTGACATTTGGCTCAAAATGCAGTTTAAACTGCGGATATGATGGTCTGTCACAGTGTCTCAATACTCAGGAAACCTCTACCTCGATGGTGTGTGGTTTCCATACCCTGCCTTATTCAGAGGTTGTTTGAGTAATTGCAACGTTGATTAATCAAATTCAGCCTGGATATCCATAGAGGGTCCAAAAGAGAAAAAAAATGTTATGATCTATAGTTCATTATTTAATTATTAATATACGTAACAAGTACTACCTTTCAGTTACCTTTTTTCGTAATGCTAAATTTAGCAACAACAGCCAACAGAGAGTCATCTGATTCTATCATGCCACTTACCAAATAGCATCGAGATTAAAAATGATAAGATTATATTGATTATATGCTATTGCATTATTGCGTTTGAATTTTTAATGATGCTTGGAAGGATCTTTCAAAATATACCGAGGCCATTAAACAATATCAATCCAAACCTCTATTTAGTATTACTAAACGATATCACTTTTCTCCTTATACATCCCATATAACATGTACTTATTTTAAATTCCTTTGCAGCAAGAAAAAAAGGAAGAATAAAGAAAAGAGAGAGAGAGAGAGAGGCCAAGCAGCATAGAAAAGGAGTATTTACATTCAAACCAGCTTTACCGTATTTGTTACTCCTTGATAAACTATAAAACTGATGTAAAAAGGTTAATTGTCTAACTTATCCTCCGCTTGACTCAGAGTCTCCTTAATATCGTGGGAAGTAATTATCAAAGATATATATTTTTAAAAACAGTAGCTTCATATGGAAGTACGTAACACAAATTTACGGGAGAGCCACCCATTATTTTACTTTTCGTCTGAACCATTTTATCCAAAAGTAAAAAACATTAAAGCTTTTGAACAAATTTTATTCAGTCAATTACTCCTAGAACATAGATATATAAAAGTTTGCTAGGATATGGAGCAGAATTTCAGTTTGTATTTAGTTTCTAATGGTTCTGGTAGATCTATTTCGAAGTTAAATCCCGTTGACCAAATATGGGCAGTAAGATTCAGAGCCACACCCTCTGCGAAAATCTTCTAACAGTTTAAGAAGAACCAAAGTGGGAGGGATAAAACAAAAATAGCAATACTGGTCTTCTAAGCTGGTCATAAAGCTGCCGTAACTCCCTGTCCCATTCTATTCAGGCAGAGGAACAAACGCCTGCAAGAGGAAGATCCGCTTCCAAATATGGAATACCTCGACCCAGATTGCAGAACTGAACCCACAGGTTAATGCACTGGAACTCAAACTTTGTGATTCTCCTGAAAATGCGATCAAGTCAAGCAATTAGATTTGTCGCCCTACGGGGTTTCCTGTGGTATCTCTTATGTAAAAGGGCAAAATGTCGATCTTTTGGGATCACTTTTTTTGCCAGTAAAGAAATTATTGCTCAGAGACGGCCGCAGAACAGCTGAGAATAAAAACGGAATTTTATGAGTCTCAAAATGGATCTTCTGATGGTCACAATTTTGCTATTGATAGCAGCAAATATTGGAAAAAGAGACCGATCATCTCCTATAAAATAGTAAGGACCTAGTGAATATTCGGACATGATTGGGAATAATGTGAGGTCACCGATAGTTTACCTAATTGATTTATTATCAATTTTTGAAATTTGGTGATGAAGAAAATGTTTATATACATATATATATATATATACTTGTATTTAACGATTTAGACATGGAGATAAGCATAGTTTCTGGAACCGTAAAACACTTGCTTATATCACAAACAAGTTAAACATATAGCTAGTTAAACAACAAAAGTTAATAATGTTCTCTATAATATTACAAATATTTGTGCTGACATTGACGACGGGGTTAATTCCCAATATCAATGCAGCGGTAACTACCGCACCAATGGACACTCCAAATTTATTACCTGGGTTGGCCGTAAGAATGTATAAAACAACTTTAAATAGCTCTTCAACTTATTCGGAGAAATTGAGTTACCTTGAAGCTTCCCAATACCTTACCGATGGTGAACTAATTGCATAAAAGGCTGGTGTAACAAATTTAAATATTAACCGCATTAAATATAAAAAGGACGATGTGCTAGGTTTTTATATGGCACCTGATGATGAAAGTATACTACTTGAGTTAAGAGGATACTTTCGTCCTTCTTACACAGGTAAATTATACTTCGAAAACAATCTTTATCCAGTTTTAGGTTGTGATGGTGCATACGCATATCAGTCAATTACAAATTATTGGTCCATAAGAGAAAACGTATTTGTTAACGAGACCAGTGATGGCACATTATGTACGCATAACCTGTCCGTTCCATTTTATTCGCCTTCATCATTATTCAGAACTAGTTCAGCCACCAAAAATAGCATAGCAGGTAATACAATGTTGATGGGTGATGGTTTTTACAAAGATATATACTACTCTTTTAAGATGCTAGTCATTGTGAATGGTGACGCTTTAAACTCAAGATCCGATACGTACATTGAGGATGAAAATGGGAAGCATTATGTTCAGTTTGATAGTAATACTATCTTTTATGATCCACATGAAAATTTTGAAGCTGATGATGCGAACTATTCGCTGACGTTCCCAGGGAATTGTCCAGCTTTGGATGGTGAGGAATTTGTAGATGATATTATTGTTCCTCCTACGGAGGAGGTCCCCGATGAGTGTCCGGTATCATCATCTTCTGTGGTTAGTTCATCGGCTACTAGTAGTTTAGAATCCTCAAGCACCGTTGAATCTAGTAGTATTTTACCAAGTGCTACCGAGTCTAGTAGTTTAGAATTATCCAGTACCGCTGAATCGAGTAGTATTATTTCTAGCAGCTTCGAATCCAGTAGTGTCGTTTCTAGCACTGTTACGTCAAGTACCATTGAGCCTAGTAGCATTGTTTCCAGCACTACCGATTTAAGTAGTGTGGTTTCAAGTGAAAGTGATCCCTCGAGTAGTTCAACCATTTCAAGTAAGCCAGTTGAATCTTCAAGTGATAGCCAAAGCATTCAAACAAGTTCATTTTCTGAATCTGAATCTGAAAGAGTAACTATTTCTTCTTTACCTGTCAGTCACAGTAGTAGCTCTTATGTTAGTATTGAAACATTATCTTCTTCAGACTCAACTATTTCTGTTACTATAGACTCATCCTCCCAAATAACATCCGATATTTACTCTTCCAGTGTTGTTGATTCACAAATATCGTCTGAGGATATTGCTACCTCGACTATATCCTATACCAATATGACAGAATCTTCAAGTATTACTCATGTGTCGTCTAGTGAACAAACTGATTTCATTTCCTCTACCACTGAAGAACGCTACAGTTCTTCAAGTGATGCAATTATTGAGAAGCCGACAATAGCAACTACAACATCTAAGTCATATAATTCCAAATCTTCAACCGTCCGCAATCAGCATTTATCTAACTCGTATCTAACGGTTACAACTACTGATAGTTCAGGTATGACAATCACATATACTGAATGTCCTGTATGCAGTTCGCAATCAAATTCGTTATCCAAACAGATTACCACCCTTTCAAGCACAACAAATAACAAACAGACAAATATTGTTTCAACAATATCGGCACACACAGATGAACATGATACCATCAGAACAAAATCATCCATATCATCTTGTGAAACATGTACTATCTCACAACTACCTGTATCGGCAGAAGTAGGACAAAGTACCGAAGCTATTTTATCTGTACAACTAGGTGAAGCTAACAAGGTATCGTTTGAAGCATTTGTGACAGGCTTTATATTTGTTGTAGCATTTTTATAATAAATTTATACATATATAGGCATACTCTTTAATAATTACTGTAATACTTTTTTTTCTAAAGTGTGCTACCTTTAAGATTACAAAATTATGTAGTTCCGTGCTATTTGGTGTGTAGATAAATGTACTTGTTTGTAGCATACCATATATATAGCATGGGGTTAGCCTTATGTATATTCCTTTTGTTCAAATAGCTATTTATCATATGTAGTCACTGCTCGAGCGCGTTAAAGTTTACTGATGGGGTTTTGTGAATAGATCTTAATTCTTTTCTTTCTAAAGAATTTCCAATAGTTGAGGGTATAAATTGTAACACGAATTATGGAGACCATTTTTGTAGAGACTTGTCATAAAATGAGCATGTCGCAATGAAATCATTACCCCAGTCACCACCATAACACATCGATTTATGACCTTTAATTAAGAACTTATCAACATTAAAATATTCTTCCGAATCCTTATTTGATTCATCTAAGGTAACAATTTTTGCACCATCATACATACAACATACCATCAACCTATCAACTGAATCAGTCTTCAATGAAGTTGGAGTCTCTGAAAATCTCCATACACCACCTCCAAGATTCTTGCTCGTTAATTGACTTACAGGCGTATTCCTACCTGGGTAGATGGAATCCCCCAACATCCTCAGATCCAGATTTCTAATATGGTCATCATAAGAGCCTGTGATAATAGACGTTGGTCTGGAGTGTCTGAATGTCTTAGAACTACATTTGATTCCAACAACACCAGCCTCATGAATCCGTCCATTACTCCAGATATTTTCCTTAGATCTCAAATCATGAGCCATAATTGTAGAATCGTCACCCCCAGTAAATAATACATCCTGTAAAGGTGATAATTGTCCAAATTCTGCGGTCCAACATTCCAGACCATGCAATTCAGTAAATGTTTCCACAAGAATGTCTCTTCCGGATTCCTCCATCCCTTGAACTGAGACAGTTTTGGTGTCTATCTTAGAATATATATCCTTCACTATATTAACATTAAATGTCTGCTCGTTAGTTTCCATATCAAAAGTAGCACATTCACCAGTAGTGGTAGTCACACAAACTAGTTTAGGGTCTAATGGAGAAAAATGTAAAGATGTGATCAGTGTATCATTCTCAAATGCAAATAAATTAGATATTAATTCAATAGTTAAGTCGTTATTACCATCATCTGTGACAATCTTCCAAAGCATAACGTTGCCTGTAGAATGTGCAGTTGCCAGCAAAGTGTCATCAAACGGACTTAATTTTAAATCTAATATAGCGCCATATGTAGGGAATATGTGTAGACGTTTAAGATTAGTATCATATACATCGATTGACCCAGTTCTATTGCCTGTTGGTTTATCTAATTCATAAGTCCCAACGAGGACAAATTTGTCACGAAAAATCCGCAGACAACATGGGGGTAATTCTGTGTTAACTTGATTGGTTACTTGTGTGATTTCCATTGTGATGTGCAATGTGTCCTTTCTGTGATGGGTTTTTTATTCTTGTTGATTATATCTTTATTTGAAACTTATCTAATCTATTTAAATTGGGAGCTCATCGCAAGAAATTTTTCAGTCGCTTTACAAAGGAACCAACGCAAGATAATAGCAACAGAGCTATGAAAAGGTAGAATTGATACATAAACTCAGAGTTCTGTAGGATCTGGTGTGGATCTTACTGCTGTGTTGACACTATTAAAGTAATGCTATTGACAAACATTATGCAGAAGCCACTTATTCGGTAGCCTACTTTCGGTCATGTGGGTGTATACATCATATAAAGCGGTCCCCACATCTTAAGAAAAAGAAGTTATACCTTGTAGTTACCACCCTATACCTACAATTGAATAATGGTAACAACAAACACAAGAGTTACTTACTCATTCAGAGTCGTGAGAAGTAGATATCATCATTCCAACCGTTTAGTTTCTCTATGTTACCCTCCTGCACATATTAGTTTCGCGTTTTCTGTTTAAAGGCGGAAGAGATCGATTTCCTAATAATTTTCAGTAAATAAAACAATAATAGATAGATAAACAGATCAAAGGAAAAGCATATATATTTTGGTGGATATTTCAACTGGCAAGATATTATATCTGGTCGTTTTGTTTGGTAACTATTATCTACTTTGATTACTTTAAAAGAAGGATTGCTTTATTTTTATTGTGTGCTAGAATATGAGTATTACCGAGGACTATTGGGCGCAATTGGCCCCATATCAACAGAATGTCCAAAAGGGGGATCACGAATTGAATAAAAAGACATATCTTTTAAAGAATACTGGTGCCCAAAACTTTAATATTCAGAACACAGTCAAGAGATTTCAACATCTTTTAAAAATTAGTGGTTTGTTTAAGCATTTTATTGAGAGTAAAGCTGCAAAGGATGAAAGATTTAAGAAAGTATTAGATATCTTGAATGAAAAGGAGTTAGTACGGTCCTCAGAGGGATCGAGTCATAAGGATGCAAGACATAGAAAGAGTGAAAGAGAGGAAGATGCTGAATTGTTGAAAGAAGAAGAGGATGAAGATGAAGATGAAAACTCTCAATCTATGTCATCCAGGGAATTTCAATTTAGGGAATCACCGATATATATCGATGGTAGTTTAAGACCTTACCAAATACAAGGTTTGAATTGGTTGATCTCTTTACATAAGAGTGGACTTGCCGGTATACTGGCAGATGAAATGGGTCTTGGTAAGACACTACAGACGATATCGTTTCTTGGATATTTAAGATATATTGAAAAAATACAGGGACCCTTCTTGGTTATTGCTCCAAAATCAACTTTAAATAATTGGCTTAGAGAAATTAATAAATGGACACCAGAGGTAAATGCTTTTATTTTACAGGGTGATAAAGATGAAAGAGCTAAATTGGTTTCGAATACTTTAATGGAATGTAAATTCGATATTGTAGTTGCATCATATGAAATTATTATTAGAGAAAAGGCTGCCTTTAGAAAATTTGATTGGCAATATATTATTATTGATGAAGCACATAGAATTAAGAATGAGGAATCAATGTTATCTCAAGTATTGAGAGAATTTACCTCTCGTAACAGATTATTGATTACTGGTACACCATTACAAAATAATTTACATGAATTATGGGCTTTATTGAATTTCTTACTACCTGATATATTTGCGGATTCACAAGATTTTGATGATTGGTTTTCCTCAGAGAGTACTGAGGATGAGAAGGACAAAATTGTAAAGCAATTACATACAGTCCTACAACCATTCTTGTTAAGACGTATTAAGAATGAAGTTGAAACTTCGTTGCTTCCTAAACAAGAATTGAATCTATATGTAGGAATGTCATCAATGCAAAAAAAATGGTATAGGAAAATTTTAGAAAAGGATCTTGATGCTGTGAACGGTGCCAACGGTAATAAAGAATCAAAGACTCGATTATTAAATATCGTGATGCAATTAAGAAAATGTTGCAATCATCCTTATTTATTTGATGGTGCTGAACCTGGCCCACCTTACACCACTGATGAACATTTAGTTTTCAATTCTGCTAAATTGTTAGTATTGGATAAATTATTAAGAAGGTTAAAAGAGGATGGGTCTCGTGTTTTAATTTTCAGTCAAATGTCAAGAGTATTGGATATCCTAGAAGATTATTGTTACTTGAGAGATTATAACTATTGTAGAATCGACGGGTCCACAGCACATGAGGATAGAATCGAAGCCATCGATGACTATAACGCTCCTGATTCTGATAAATTTATCTTTTTATTAACTACACGTGCGGGTGGTCTTGGTATTAATTTAACTTCAGCGGATATTGTTGTATTGTTTGATTCAGATTGGAATCCACAAGCTGATTTGCAAGCTATGGATAGAGCACATAGAATTGGACAAAAAAAACAAGTTAAAGTGTTTAGATTTGTCACAGATAATTCTGTGGAGGAGAAAATCTTGGAAAGAGCCACTCAAAAACTAAGATTAGATCAATTGGTCATTCAACAAAATAAACCTTTATCAAAGAAAAAGGATAAAAATAATGGTAAAGATGCATTATTGTCCATGATTCAACATGGTGCTGCAGATGTATTTGAAACTGAAAGTAATGAATCTAGTAATACAGGTACGCCTGCACCAGGTACTATTAAATCGGAAGCATCAAAACAGCATGAGGTAAACCTTGATGAGTTGTTGGCAAAATCTGAGACAAAGACAGAATCCTTAAATAGTAAATACGAATCTCTTGGATTAGATGATTTACAAAAATTTAATCAAGAATCTGCATATGAGTGGAACGGTGTTGATTTTAAGAAAAAGACTCAAAACAAAGTAATCAAACCATTATGGATTAATCCAACAAAACGTGAACGTAAAGAAAATTATTCTGTGGATGGTTATTATAAGGATGTTATGAATACTGGTAGATCTAATACGCCTACTCATACTAGAATGCCTAGATTACACTATTTTGCATCACATCAATTTCAATCACCACAATTGAGAGTTCTGTATGAGAAGGATCGTATGTGGGTTGCAAAGAAAGCTGGTTATAAAGCAGTCGTTGATGATTTGAAGGCTGTCCTTGGTGATTCATACAATGGTAAAGATAGCGACGATATTAAAACTCAAAAGTTGCAATTGTTACAACTGACGATTGATAATGCAGAACCACTAACAGAAGAAGAAACTGAATTGAAAGAGCAATTGGAACAAGAAGGTTTTACAAATTGGAATAAGATTGAATTTAGAAAATTTGTATCATTGAATGGTAAATATGGTAGAAAATCTATTGAATCTATTGCATCTGAGATGATTGCTACAAAGACTTTAGAGGAAGTACGTGAATATGCAGCTGCATTTTGGTCACGTATTGAAGAAATAGATGATTATGAAAAATATTTAAATATTATTCAAACAGATGAAGAAAAAATTGAAAAATTAAAATTACAACAGGAAGCATTACGTCGTAAAATAGCACAATGTGAAAATCCAATGTTTGATCTTACTCTAGAACATACACCTTCCAAAAATTATACTGAGGAAGAGGATAGATTTCTTTTGCTTATGTTATTTAAATATGGTTTAGATCGTGAGGATTTATATGATGTGATACGTCAAGATATTAAGACACAACCATTATTTGAATTGGATTATAGTTTTAAACAAAAGACTGCAGCGGAATTGTCACGTCGTGGTACCACATTATTACAATGTCTAGAGAAAGAATTTAATTCTAAGATTGTAATGGATGAAGAACTTCAAGAGAGACTTGTTGAAGAAGATATACTTGGCAAAAGAACGAGGGAAGAGATGGTTGCTGCACGTCAACTTGAATTAGAAGAAGAAAATAAAAGGGTAAAAGTAGAGTAAGGATAAATATATGTATGGTCCAGTACTCAAAAATCATATTAAAAAAATAATTGTATTATTATACACATATAGAAATATTAAAACAATATAGATATATAGATATATCAACTGTTTTTTAAAAATAGTGAAAACGTCAAGCTTTTTTTTTATATATAATTTTTCTTTTCTTTAGCATTAATTATAAAATAGTTTAATAGCAAACATTAGCTTATTCCTTCAATAAGTTAGCAATTTTTGGATCAATAGATTCTGGTTTAGTCAAAGAAGATAATCTATCTACAACATTACCATGCTTATCAATTAAAAACTTTTCAAAGTTCCATTTGACTCTTTTCAAACCAAGAGGACCTGTCTTTTCCTTCTTTAAATATTCGTATAATGGATCAGCTTTGTCACCATTAACATCAATCTTATGCATAATAGGGAATGTAACACCGTAGTTCAGAGAACAGAATTGTACGATTTCTTCTTCGTTACCTGGTTCTTGACCAGCAAATTGGTTACATGGGAACCCTAAAATTTCTAGTCCCTGATCATTATATTTTTTGTATAGTTCTTCCAGACCTTTATATTGAGGAGTGAAACCACATTTAGAGGCAACATTGACAATTAGAATAACTTTCCCCTCAAGTTGTTTTAGAGCAAAATCTTTGCCAGCTTTATCCTTAACAATAAAATCGTAAACTTTAGACATATTTAGTTGAAATACTTTTCAATACTTATTTTTTCAGTCTGATATTATTCCTTTCGTATAAGGTTAAGACTTCATGAATCAAACGAGTATTGGTTGCTCATCTGGTCCCTTTATATAGCTGTTCTATTTTCAAGGGATTAGATGCCCTTCCTCATTGTTTTCCAAAAGGGATACCTTTCTTATTCCGCGGCTTAGTTTTCTTTCCTTTGCCAACCCTCTCGCACTTTTCTTTTCCGGGCCGGCCAAGTTCGATTTTAATTATGTAATCGATTAGGGCTCAACATTAGGGCTTTGATTGATGGAGTTAGCCCTAACTTTGCACCCTAGTCACGTGGGCGTGTTTTACCCGTTTTGGACATGTGTCCGTAACAGGTAATAGTATCCATTTTAGGAAGCAGCAGGTTGGTCACGTTTCACGACTAGCATGCATGTTCATATTTTGGTTCATTAATTTCAATTAACAGCTGACGTGGAAATTGTTCAGGTTTTAAAGATCATAAGACTCAAAATTGTGGGCATGAACATATAAAAATAAAGGGTAAATTTACTTTCTCATCATTGTTACAATTGGATTTCATCTTTAAAATAAATAGATAAAAGCAATCTCATGGAATGTTGAGAAAGTTATTATTTTTATTGGCTGGTATTCTAATTTACTACTCCAGATACAGTTCTGTTGTTGTTGCCGCGGTAGGGTTTGCCATAATTGGGTACATCGTAACAGATAACCTTATCCCTAGGGTAGGACCTTCATTCATTAAGATTGGTTTATTTGGTAAAGATTTAAGTAAAGTCGGAAAACCTGTATTACCAGAATGTATAGGTGCTGTCTCTGCAACAGTCTATTTATTTATTATGTTCTTCTATATCCCATTTATCTTTTATAGATATTTGGTGACAGTAACATCTGGAGGGGGACAACGTGACGTCGCTGTTGATCAGTGGCCTATTGATGGTCCAAGTTATTCTGTATTTCCTCATAGTAGATTATCAGAGTATTTAAGTAGTACTTTATGTTTAGAGAGTACGATATTATTAGGGATCGCCGATGATTTATTTGATATTCGTTGGAGACATAAATTTTTCCTTCCAGCTGTGGCTGCAATTCCATTATTAGCTGTTTATTATATTGATTTTGGTGTAACATCAGTATTAGTCCCGGGTTTTATGCAAAATTGGTTAAGTAAGTGTATGTTTTTTTTGCATGAAAAGGGCATTGTTGAGACTCCAATAAATATTACAAGTATTGACTTAAAGGGACTATATTATATGTACATGGCCTCAATGGCAATCTTTTGCCCGAATTCTATAAATATATTGGCTGGAATCAATGGTTTAGAAGTTGGACAGAGCATAGTATTAGGTTTACTTGCATTGATTAATGATACCCTATATATGACTTTAGGAAGTGAAACTACCAAGAATTCCCATAGATTCTCTATTGTATTGATTATTCCGTTCTTAGGTGTCTCTATGGCACTATTTAAATGGAATAAATGGCCAGCTAAAGTATTTGTAGGAGACACATATTGTTACTTTGCAGGAATGGTGTTTGCTGTGGTTGGTATTCAGGGACATTTTGCAAAGACCATGTTATTATTGTTTGTACCACAAATTATTAATTTCATTTACTCAGTACCACAATTATTCAATTTGGTATTTTGTCCCAGACATAGATTACCGAAATTTAATGAATCAGATGGGTTATTATATCCATCTAGAGCTAACCTTAAAGAAAATCCACCAAAGACGTTTTTTATTCCAATACTTAAAGTATTGGGATTTTGTCATTTAATCGATCTTGAGATTGATGACAAGACTGGACAAATCATTAGTTGTTCAAATATGACTATTATTAACTTAATGTTAGTATGGTTTGGACCAATGAGGGAGGATAAACTTTGTAACCTAATTTTAAGCTGCCAATTCATGATTGGTATTGCTGCATTGGTATTAAGACATTGTGTTGGTTCCATTATTTTCCAGCATGATAATTTATGGACTATCAAATAGATCAACTCAGTAAATAAATAAATAAATATATGATTACAATCGTTTATATATATACGTATATGTAAATATGCATTTTGTTGTTTTTTTCTTGCCTTCAAAGTGGTTCAGGGAAAGAAGACCACATGGAGTACTATATTTTTGGTAAAGAATCAAAAAATTGATTACGTAAAAGAATTAAATCATCTGCCCATTTACTTACTTCTTCAGTTTGAATCCATTCTCTGGCGATGAAAAATTCTTGAAAATTTAATTTTCCTTTATGTATCTTTTCATATTCAAAACATTGTACTAATAGTTCATATTTGTCAATATCTTTAACATAACGAGCCTCTAATGATCCAATTGTATCGTAACTAATAAAATCTTCAAGAATCTCCCTAGCACTTTCCGAACTCATTGGTTCCACTATCTCTTTACATACATACTTCATAGTTTCTAATTCACGTCTATGTTTCTCATCCTTACCGATTGGGTCCACAGGTGTAATATCACCAACTAGAGCCTCGGCCATATCATGAACTAACGCAATCCTTACACATTTGTCCCTATTGACCTTTGGGTTAGTGATCAGCATTGATAAAATACTCATACGATACATATGATCGGCGATACTTTCACATTCAGTCATCCCATAATCTAACCAGCCGGTTCTCTTTTGGATCTTTAATTGATGAACAACATTCATGAATGCAAGCAGGTAATTTGGATGTTTTTGATTGAGCAATCCATTTACTTCTTCCGGGATATGGTCTCTAGGATCCCAGATGGTAGTAGCTGCAGAAGCAGGTTGTTTAACAATTACAGCAGGTGACATCTTTTCGTTGAATATATGGATATCTATATATATTTGGATGTATGTAGAAATGTTGTTGTATAGGTTCGTATATAAGAATGTATTACTCACCAAAAGGAAAAAAAGAATCCTTTTTAAGACCATTGTGTTCTCTTTGTTGTTTATATATGGCTCCCATTGAAAATCTTTCCACTTGCATGAAATGTAAACAAAAACAAAGGCTGCATCGCTTCCGAATTCGATAATCTTTGCAGTGACCGAAAAAATGCCAAAACAGAAAACTTCACATACTCAAACAGGAAACCCAGCTAGCAAAATTAACGGTAATCAATATTAAATAATAAATGATCTGTAAAAAAAAATGCAAAATGCAAAGGATTATGTTATGATTAAATTAACCTATAAAAAAGGTATTAGTATATAAAATATATTTAAAAAGATTTTTTAAAAGATTAGTTAATTTAAGCGATTAATTCAACAACACCACCAGCAGCCTTGATCTTTTCTTCAGCAAGCTTAGAAACGAATCTGGCCTTGACAATGACTGGGACGTTTGGAATTCTACCCTTACCTAGAACCTTACCGTAACCGGCAGCTAGGGTGTCAATGACTGGAGCAGCAGAAGCAGAAGAGGACTTCATGTATTCGTCTCTCTTTTCTTCTGGGACTAGAGTCCATAACTTGTCCAAGTTTAGAGTTGGTCTCCAGAAATGACCTTGTTGCTTGTGGAAGTATCTCATACCAACCTTACCGAAGTAACCTGGATGGTATTTATCCATGTTGATTCTGTGGTGTTGTAGACCACCAGCCTTACCTCTACCACCCGGGTGCTTTCTGTGCTTACCGATACGACCTTTACCGGCTAAACAAAAAAATTATGTTGTGCTTCATACTTAGTTAAAAGTATAAGGTTAAAACATGTATATTGTTAGTAACAGAAAATTCTGAAAAATAATAACATTGTTATTAAAAATAAGTTGGGAGAAAAAACCTCTATTGGTGGTATCTCAACTTCGATGAGTTCAAATAAGAAAAATTAAACAAAAATTTGTAAATTAGTAATTAATAACAAAAGTTTTGGGTTACGACATATGTGGTTCATCTGAAACATTGTAACTGTCCATGAAGAAATGCTTGTGTCATGAAGGAAGAGATTCATAATGTAGTTGGTATCCATACCTACTACTGAAAAAAGAACTGAAAAGATCGAAATCTAAACAGTTTCATGACAAAACTTAGCATTTCCAACAGAAACAATGTGCATATATATACAATTCAGAACGTATTATTAACAGATCATATTTCATAAATTTTTCTCACTCATCAAAGCCGAGTATCACCGTCTTGGTTCTTTCATTCCCTCTTCCAAATGGAACTACATACCTGAGACGTGACCTCTGTGCTTTCTGGTTTTAGTAAATCTAGATGGCATTCTTGATTATCTTATTGCAGTACACTGTATTAGAACAACAGAAGAAAAAATTTAAAAAATACAATTTATTCAAAAATACTAATTTGGAAATCGAAATGGTTAAGAACTTCTTCATCTCTTAAATACTAGATTGCGTTTCCATCTTTCCCAAGAGAAAATGAATTTGAAAGTTTCGCTTTTCCAAAAATTGGGAAATTCATTTTTTTTTTTTGCGTTGCGGCGAAAATTTCAAATTCAAAAAAAAAGAAAAACTTTTTTTAAATTTTTAAAAATATGTTTGGATGTAAGGATGCTGTAAGTCCGTGCAGTCACGAATCCATTCGGCATCGGTTTTTATTTCCTTTAAGCCCATATAAAGGGGAACGAAGCAAACAGTCATCCACCCTTCATCAACATAAAGAATAGACAGTGAAAGGAAAAGTATAGGAATAAGTTAACGTTTAAATTATGTCTGGTTATGGTACTCAAGTGAATGTCCCACCTAAAAGACCTGCTCTTACCAGGAATCTATTATTAGCCACCGCTGTTGCTTGTCTTGGTTCCATTCAATATGGGTACCATATCGCTGAATTAAATGCCCCTGAACAATTCTTAGTGTGTCCAAATGATTCACATAGTAGTGGTATTATTAACTCATCGCCACAATGTATTACTATGACAGATCAACAGTTTGGAGCTGTGACGTCCATATTTAGTATTGGCGGATTAGTTGGTTCATTTTTCATTGGGAATTATGCTAGTAAATATGGTAGGCGTTTAACAAGTCTATATGTTAGTGTTCTTGCATTTTTAGGGTCTCTAGTGATGTTTATGGCAGGGTCTTTCAATTCTTTACTTTTGGGACGTTTTATTGTTGGTATTTCGTGTGGCTCTGCTATTGTTATTACACCTTTATTCATTAATGAAATTGCACCATCGCAATGGAAAGGTGCATTAGGTTCAATGAACCAACTTAGTATCAATTTGGGGATTTTATTAACACAAACTCTTGCATTGCCGTTAGCTAATTTGCAAGATTGGAGATGGTTACTAGCAGTTGGATGTATTCTTGCATTGTTAAATGCTTTAGGTTGGTGGTACGTGGGAGAGTCTCCTCAGTGGTTAGTATTACATGAACATGATACAATGAAAGCAAGTATAAATTTGGCTTATTTGAGAGATTGTAGCTTACAAACAGCTAAACAGGAGATGGAACAATGGGTAGAAAGTAGCAATAATAATAATAGTGAATCTCATGATGCTACTCAAGAATTAACTTTTTGGGGATATATTACAAACCCTACTTATCAAAGACCACGTCTAGCGATTACTTTATTACTTGTAGGTCAACAATTTAGTGGGATCAACTCTATTATTTTCTATGGAGTGAAGGTAGTTAGTCAAGTGGTCTCTCAATATGCAATTTTGGTCAATTTTGCTATCTCGATCCTTAATGTGATAGTCACATTCATTGCTGGTCTAATAATTGATCGCTCTGGTCGGAAACCTTTATTAATAGTATCTACACTTGTGATGAGTCTAATGTCCCTAATTATTAGTATCAGTATCATATCAGGGCATTCTATAATGTTAATTGTAAGTTTATTCGGTTTCATCATAGCCTTTGCTCTTGGTATTGGACCTATTCCATTCTTAATCATCGGAGAGTTATCATCTGCTGAGAGTATGGAACAGGCACAAAGTTACGGTACAGTATGCAATTGGTTGGCAACATTTGTCATTGGGTATACTTTCCCAATTTTAAACAATGTGATGGGTGGGTATGTCTATTTAACTTTCAGTGCAATGACCGTGTTATTACTGGTAGGGATACGCAAATATGTACCGGAGACTAAAGGTACTCTAAATGCCAACGAAGCCTGGCAAACTTTTAATTAGTCTATTAAAAGTATTTAAATTTACTTATTTATATATATATATTCGAACCAATTATTATGATTTTTTTTATTTCATTAAAAAGTTAAAAGGATATATGGAGATTTACATAGTTTTCTATAGTATCATTAATATGTAAATTACAAATGAGCTAGAACACTTTCGACAGAGGAGACAGTGACTTCAGAAGCTGGGTTTTCTTCCTTAGCAGCGTAAGTGACAATACCATCCTTGACGACAATGACCCATCTACCGGACCAGGTGACACCTTCGTCGACTTGTAGTTCGAAACCTAGAGACTTGATGAACTTACAACCTGGATCAGAACCGAACTTTACATGAGCTGTGTTCTTTAGACCTAGGTCCTTAGCCCAGGCTTGTTGAGAGAATGGAGTGTCGACAGTTAAGACGACAATTTGGTCGACATGCTTGTCATGAACCAATTCATCGGCGTAGGATAAGTAACCTGGAATGTGAGAAATAGAACAAGTTGGAGAGAAAGCAGCTGGAGCACCAGTGATAACGACAGTCTTGTTGTCCTTGATGAACTTTTCCCAGGAAACAGTTAAAGGCAATTTACATTCGTGACCCTTTTCGAAATCTTCTGGACCAACAGTAATGTATTGGAAGGAGAAGGCACCGGCTGGGAAAGGCTTGTTAATTAGAGAAGACATTGTTGAATTTGTTTGTTTGTTTGTTTGTTGTTATTGTTTGTTTGTGATGATTTATTATATATAATATATAAAGGAAAGATTAGAAGGGACTACAAATTGTCTTAACAAGAAGAAACATTGGGTCCTTTATATACAATTTTGAATTAAAATGTAAATCATCGTTAATTTTGGGGGTACCCCTTTATCCCAACCAATTTAAAAAAATAAAATTACTCAGCATACGTAATAGTGGCCAGAACACCCCTCGACATCTACAGGTTACAATTGTCATCATCCTTTCAACATTTCTGGACCTTCAATAACGCATCCTTGTTTTGCTTAGGTAAGTAGTACGAAGTGACTGGCCAGTGGAATTAATTGATTATTCAGCTTCGTTGGAAATTCCCTCGCTGCGGCATTTTCTTTGGGAAAAATGATGTAAAGCGGTTGCTGAGCTGACAAATTCGTTGAAATTTTTCAGTTTCTTGGGCCATCGCAAGGGATGTAAAGAGTGAGTGAATATATGCAAGAAGAATATTATTCTAAGCCGTTAAAATTACAAGAAATTAGAAACAGGTTTTGCAATATTAAAAGGGGTGTCAGTTTGACTTTTGATGTCTTTTGATAGTCGGCAAGTATTCTTCTTGATTGATCGTCGGCAAGTATCCTTTATTTTCTTTTGCTTTGTTCATTGTTTTGACATTTTGAGAATACTAAGGTGTTTGAACATTTTTTTGCCTTTGACTTATCTGGCATTTGTAATGAATGATAAATTGATATGTAATTAGTTATCTTGTTGTTAGTTGATATTTCGTATTATAAGATATATTTTGTTGTTATGTAAGTATATAGTAGAAAAATTATTTCGTTCTCTTGATGGAAGTATAACTTAGATATTGGTGGTCCCAAAAATTAAATAAAAATAAGTGTGTGTTTTCTTGTATATATTACATTACTAACGGACATTAGCATTCTTGATGGAAGCAACCTTGAATGATTCACCCTTAGCGTTAGTCAATTTCAAAGCAGAACCATCATCCTTCTTGAAGAAAACCTCAAGAGCATCGTTGGTGCTGAAATGTGGTTGTAAAGCTTCCCAAATCTTCTTCTTTGGGTTCAATTGTTTTAGTGGTTCTTCAGCACCGTAGCCTTCAAAGAAGACCTTGTCACCAGCAACAGAACCAGCAGGTGGTTCAACAAATTCAACATGCTCTTCATCAGAACCACATAGAACCATAGCAGTAGACTTGATACTTCTCATGTTAACAGGTTTCAAATTACATACTACAACAACATAACGTTCTTGCATGGCTTCTAATGGGAAATGTTTAACAAGACCAGAACATACGGTTCTTGGGCCTTCTTCATCACCAACATCAATGGTGGAGACATATAGAGAATCAGCATTTGGATGCTTGACAGCCTTTTGAATGAAACCAACACGGAAATCAATGACAGATGGAGCTGGTAGTTCACCTGCAGCAGCAGAGGATGTACCGTCTTTACCTTTAGCGGCTTCTTCTTGTGCTTTAGCAGCTTTCTTAGCGGCCTTCTTGGCTTTAGCTTCTTCTCTTAATTTCTTTAAAGTTTCTTCATCTGGTTTACCACGTTGTTTTTGTTCACCTTCAGCGGCCTTCTTGCCGGCTTTCTTACCTTCTTTAGCCTCAGCGTCGGTCTTACCTTCAGCAGCTTTACCATCAGTCTTCTTCTTCTTTTCAATAATCTCACGTGGAAGTTCCAAATCATGGTTCAAAGTTAATTGTTCACCAGATGGAACAGCAAGTAAATTTTGTAAATAGTCTACCCATCTAAAGACATGTCTATATTTGGCATAAACGTCCTTGACATCCTTGGTAGCAGAGACCAATTGTTTCGATAGTGGTAATACGGCTTCAAAGACTTCGACATCAGTCTCAGTAGGTTGTAAAGTGCTAACCAAGAAAGTGTTATCTCTTAGAAACAAATTCATTTGATCCAATTGTTGTTCAACTTGGCCGGATTTAAGAACAGATTGCCATTGTGTGTTGAATGCATTTTGCTCTCTGGATAGAGCTGGACTGGCAATTGACAGGGTCTTGAATTTAGTGATTAGGTCGGACATCCTTGCTTTCATAAGTGAATCAGAGTTAATAGTCTCTTTGTGTCTGTGCTTTCTCCCACTGAAAAAAAAAAAACTGGCTCCCTATTGTACTCTTAAATACCATCTCACTAATTTTTTTTTAATGTGGTTATTCCAGTTTTCATCTTTATCTCTTGTGATCTTATCAGCAAAGAGACGGGAAGCGAAAACCCAAAGAAAAAAAAAAAATTTTCAGTGTAGATCGGGTTTTTGCAACAATCTGCCACCTCGTGCGTCGTGATGTTGGGATTAAATCATCGTGTAAGCTTATAAATATATACAAAGAGGGGTGATGTTAGTTTAAAAGCAGACTTTCTAATGAAGTTAAACCGTTTGTGGATTGCCTTGTTATATGTTAGGTTTAAACAGCGCTTTGATTATGTGTCATCCCTGCGAGCCTCCGGCAATGAAAGTAATCGACACTGAAAAAAAAAAATATTATATAAAACAGAAGTGATGATAATACCTGTCAAGGGAAAAAAAACCACAAGTAGTGGAATATTATCCCGTTAGTTGTTAGTTGTTTTAGCTATTGAATTTATATATATATATATATATACGGGAACGTTTGTCAATAGGGATGCAAAGATCGATGAGGATATAGTAAAATGAGTGAAAGTATACCGAATGAGAAGTCCACCAAAGGCAGAAGACGTAGACATACCAGTATTGCATGTGTGAATTGTTCCAAATGGCATGTTTCCTGTGACAGTAGTCGACCTTGTAAACGATGTAGTCAGAAAGGTTTAATGGCTTCATGTGTAGACGCCCCCAGAAAGAAATCTAAATATTTGATCGGGATCCCTAATAACGCATTACCGGAACTCTTCAGAGATGATCGGACACAATCGCTGAATAACATTAGTACATCGATGAGTTTCTTATCGGATGCTGCGAACTCTGAATATTCGATGTTGGAGACGATTACACAGCCGGGGATACAATCGACAAGGCAACCGACTTTACAAAGTTTATTAAGTGATCAACAGCACGATAGAGTGATCCATGGCAACAGACCGGCAATGGCGATGTCGATGGTCATGTCACAAGGATCATCATCAGCACCTGGATCTACCACCTCTTTACCTTTGCTATCTGGTGGAATTAATAATTTACATTCAATAGCGAGGCCCGCAACGTCTATTTCCGAGACCACATTGAAGAGTTATGAAAGTTCTGGTACAACCAGTCCCGAGCATAGTGTTGGTGTGGATCGTCTCGTATCATCGAATTCAAGTTCGGCGGTCCAAATAACTCCTTCTCAAGGAAGAAATGCATACACGATGATTTTAGGGCCTAAGTCGCAAGAAATTGTCAGTTCACAAATTGATCTTATGACAAACTATTTTCCTTTAATACCTGTGAAATTGTCAAATGATGCCAGTTCACTTAATTTCAAGAGACTTGTTCCGATGGATCCTGCAGTGAAAGGAACAGATATGCAACGAAATGTTAAGATCAACCAATATTATTTAAATAACAAGACTGTGACGTATCCCGAAGTGCAACGCAATTGTGAATCGGTAGTGAACGGTAGAGATATATCGTTTGCGTTAGAATGTGTCTCCCCAGAGGTGATTCAAATTTTTGCTAATCCCGAATGGACTCATTCTTTAAGATACGCTACACCAATGGAAATTTACACACAAATAAACATGCCATTTTCCCATACATCCGGGTTCCATCATTTATTAGTCTATTTGAAGGGCCGGTTCAATCAAGACGATGTTGTTGAAATGTGTCGATCCCTGGCAGAATTCCGTCCAATATTTATTGCTTGCTCTGTGACTTTAACCGAAGAGGATATGATATTCATGGAGCAAGTGTATCAAAGAACGTTATTAGAATATGCCAAGTTTATTGAATTGAGTGGCACACCGACGTGTGTTTGGAGACGTAATGGGCAAATCTCGTATGTGAATGAGGAATTTGAAATATTAACCGGTTGGAAACGAGAAGAATTATTAAATAAGTTGACGTTTGTTGTTGAAATTCTTGATGATGACAGTGTTCGTGACTATTTCAAGACTTTTTCAAGTGTTGCGTATAAGGATTTTAAAGGCTGCGAACAAATGAAGATTTGCAGAATCCTGACGCCAATCGAAGGACAAGTTATTCATTGTTCATGTCTTTGGACTTTAAAGAGAGACATTTCTGGTCTTCCACTAATGATTCTGGGCAATTTCATGCCGATCCTCAACGAATAAGAGAAAAAAACAATTAAATAAATAGTTAAATTAAATTAAATTAAAAAAAAACAGGAAGTTCAAGCAAATCGTCCGAACGTAGAGAATAGAAGCAGTGTGCCATCTGACGTGTAACCACAGAGACAGAAGGAAACGTTGATCTACGAATACTGTTACGTTGAGTGATGAGATGAGCTAAACAAAGAAAAAAAAAGATTTGTTTATTTTACTTCCTTTGCATGTTTTTTCGAAGTAAATGCGTACGTCGATTTCCACCCGAGAGTGTACGTCCGTGGAATAAAGAATCCGAAAATAGCCACTGAGACGGCCATCGTTCTTCTTTCTGAGCAAAAGATCTGGAAGATTTAAGATTATTTTTCTTTTCTCCTCGGCCAGCAAAGACAAAGGCGTCTGTCTGTCAACCCCCCGCAGAAACGCGAGTTGTCCAGGAAAGCGAACGAGACGGGACTTCGTGGAGGGGAGGGGAGGCCCGGGCACGTGATATCGGCGGTTGCAGGGCTCCTCCACGAGAGAGAATGAAATATGTAGTCTGCGAAAGCCCTCGCTTTATATACAAGTTGTAAATACCAGGCATTTCCACGCTGTTCTATATATTATTTGACGTTTGGCACCGGTTGGCCCCCGCGAGTCAATGTTGGTCCGCGTCAACAAATCATAAAAAAATATTACTGGATAATTTTTCTTAAAGTATAAGATCGATAAGATGGATTACTCTCTACAAGACAGAGGTTTGAAATACATAATCTGTATATTAAATAATTCCTTCCGAAAGAAAGTAGGAAGAATTATCTGTAACGATAAGCGTTTGCATTACTGCTTATGTTATCTTGTAGAGCGCAATCCATTTTGTCAATTTTATTTTTATTAAAAGTCATTTAGTAATATTATACAATTTATTCTTCGTAGTTCTCTTTCAAACCCGAAATTTAATGTACATAAGATTTAGGACATAGATATTTTTTACTTCCATAATCCATGCTCTTTATATATGTTTGGTATTGTGTTATTTCCTTGTTCATACAAGAATCCCTTCATCTCAGACCAAGTCGGATAAGCCTATTTTATTATCTTTGATTACTGACTTTCGTCGTATCACTTATTATTTCTTTGCTCTTAATACGCTTATGCTATTGCTCTGTGGAGAAGTAGGATTCATCCGTCTAATATGCCTATGCCATGTGCTATCTAATCAACGCTAATTATCGTGCTCACCCGAATACCTTCAGCGCAGCATGCCCCATGCACCCGCCCTTCCGTTTGTTGCCAGGACAGGCCACCAATTAGCCGCCGAAGGGCCTGGCGCAACCGTGGCCCGCGGGCCCCAGCGCTGCTCCCCGTCCCCCCCAAACGGAAATAAACTCCAAAAAACCGGACGCCGTCAGCCAGGAAAAAGAAACGCGCCGCCTTGCTGCTGCTTTCTTTTTCTTTTTCTTTTTCTGGCCGATGCGCCCCAGAAACAGCTGCACAGTGCCGCCGCCGTCGCGTGCCTCGAAGGCGCCCGTCTGAGGATTTTCTTTTTTTCGTTCGTTTTTCTGGTTTCAGGAAAATTTTCCCTGTGCCCTCCCCCCGCCAGAGAACAGCCCGCAGAAGCAGCGTTCTCAGCACATCATCGTCTCGTTGGGATTTCGGTTTGGTAAGAACGTCTTCCTGGTGTTTTTGAGGAACCTGCCCTGTGTTCTGCGCGGGTTTCACACCGCGGCATCGCTGGGAAAAAGAAAGGAATACGCACCGCTGTTTCACTCTCTGCCCGTCGTGGCACCAAGAAGCTGCGCACGGATTGCTTGCTGAGTGGTTTTTTCTCGTCGTTGGTTTCCTTCAACTTTTCGTTACTCATGTGATCGGGTTGGGTTGGTGAAATTCGCATTTACTGCCAAGTATAGATCATCATCACCATCCTCTTCTCTTCACGACCGAAGATTTTTCACTCTTTCTTTTGCAATCCAACACACCCAAACCGATCCGCTCTTCTGCTCTCTTGTTGTGTTCCATTTTCACTGAAAAAGCTTTGGCTTTTCTTCCTCTTTTTGATTTTTTATTATAAATACAACTCAGTGTGAACTGGCAAACTAATATAAATTTGGGCATCAACACATACCAAAGAAAGGAAAGAGCTGTGCTTATTGAAAAAAATATTTTAATTTGAAACAAAGTCGTGATTTTTTATGCTGATATTAAACTAATAATAGTACCGTTATTTCATTTTTTCTGCTTTTATTTTTTATTTATAGACCATCGCAAGAAACGAAAATAACCACTATTTCTATATTCTAACTTTTGCAATACTATTCCACACAGATTATTACTAGTTTTCATTCCTCCCCTTCCCCCCAGCATTTTCAAACAACTATCTTTTTTGCATATTCTCCCTTCTCCAAAAAAATCCAGCCAAAATTTTACCCATCGACCAGAACATGTTTAGATTTGCCCAACAATCTCAGCCATTGAAGGGCAAACTTCCAAACCAATTCATTCCAAACACGGGAAAACATTCGTATAACCCACATATGGTTAGATTCAACTCGCCAATGTCTATGGAGGCCCAACAAAATGTCGTGCCACCTCCCCAACAACAATATTCAATGAATATGAACCATAACGATTCGGAAGAAATGCAATTCCAGATGAATCAAATGACCAATATGAACATGGGCAGAATCCAAATGAGTAACCAACAACAACAGCAACATCAACATCGTGAACCTATGCATTATAATAATAATAATAATAATAATCGCAATGGGAATTCACAAGCTTCAAATAGAAACAGTTACGGCGGTCCTCAGAAGAATGGGGGCAGAAATAACCGTCCTTACACTAATGGAAGTAACAACAACAGTAGCAGCAGCATTCAAAGCAATTCCTCCTACAACTCAATGAACAATGGTAAGCAGAGACAATATAACAAGGGTAACAACAATAACAAAGGTAATAACAAGAACAACACAATCAGTCCAGATTCCCCATGGTACCAAAAAGTTACCGCGTTTGAAGAATGTGTCTCCCAAACTTTATACATGTCTCAAACACCAAGACGTAAGAATATCAAGCATCGTTCCGAACATCCAAACTCAAACGCAAACCCAATGTTTTGGGATTCTATCGGTAGAGCCATGGGCTTGTACCATGATTTAATTGATACGCCTGAGTTGAACTCGGATAGAGTCTCCAAGTTGGTCCATTTGCTACATAATGGACTAAGAGCCAATAGAAACCAATTGACTAGAATGAACAAGAAGCCTGATTACGATTCTCAATCCTTCCATAAAGAAATGACTAACTATTTGTGTAAGTCTCTGAGAGAAATCTCCGAAGACGTTCTGAATAGTAAGGTCGAATTGAATGAATATGGTGCAATGCATCTAATCACTGCATTCAAAGAACTGTTATTATTCGAAGAAGCAGTCGAGATCTGGAAAAGTGCCATTAATGGAATTAATAGTTACACTTCCAACATCTTCTTAAACCCAAGAGTCGTCGGTGTTATCTTACCAATCTTATACGATAATGGTGTCTCATACCCTGAAATTCAACAACTGTATGAAAAATCTTCATCAATGATTAATTATTTCCATCCAAACTTATCCGTTGGTATGATCAGAGCATCTCTATCTGCCAATGAAAATGAAATGGCTTTGAAATTGTTCCAAAAGTTATGTCAAGAATCCACAGAGATGAAGTATGGTTATTTAATCGAAACTCATTTGTCCTTTATTGGTGAATGTAAAGATTTGAACGTCGCTCAAACTTTCTTTGATAAAGCTTTGAATGATGAAATGCCATACAAGATTGATTTACAAGTATCATACGTTAAATCATTTTTAAGAAACATTTGGACTCAAACTCATGATTTCAACCATATTTATCAAATTTGGTATAAATCTTCTTTACATTATGGTAGACACGTTAACCACGGTATTTCATCATCTTTAAATGACACTTTCTTCGATATCTTCTTCGAAAATTTTGCTCACAATAAACAACAAGGGTTCATGACTTTACAAAACTTAATTGATACCTACAAGAACATTAAGAACATTGATGAACCATTCTTCAATATCATTTTAGCTAAGTGCACCATCTGGCACGATAGAGAAATCTTGGAATATATCGATAAGAGTTACGAATTATTCAATATTCCAAAGACAATCGTTGCTTACAGAATCCTATTAAAATCCATGGGTTCCGTTGATGATACTTCCAATGAAGAAATCTTACAAAGATGGATTGATTTAATCAAGAAGTCCGATGAAATTGGTCAAAAATTTATTGCCAATGCTGATTGGGCTGCCTTGAGAGATGCTACTGTCACATGGACTCAATCTCATAGAGATAACGGTGTTCCTTTAACTCAAAACTCCATCAATGAATCTAAGGCAAGTTCTGTCGCTCCCACCCGTTCTGGTACACCAACTCCAAAGAATAACATGGAGTCGGTTAACGTTGGTGATGTTGACTTTTACTCCCATCCGGCTTTCCAAGCATTGAATGCTTCTGGTGCCTTTGATGAATTTACAAACTATAATGCTTCAACTCCATCTACTACCGTGGCTTCCAGTCCAGGTGCAACTCATGAAGAACCTTTATTAAAGACCGTTTCTCATGAGGAGGAAGGTGCTGCTGTTGACAGCAGAATGATCCTTTACCTGAAGATTGTTAAACGTTACTCTCCTTATTGTCGTGATTCAAGACAATTAGCAAGACTAACTACAGGTACTGCTGTGAAGTATTCGGTCCTACAAGAAGTATTAAACCAATTCCAATCATTGGATGCCGATAGTATCACTGTTCCAAAATTGGCCAATTTAAAACCATCATGTGCCTGAGGCAATGTATGGTAACTACATTTTTTTTATGCATCATCCTTCTTTATACATTTTAGCATGTTAAGAACTGGTATTCTTTTATCTTTATTGTGATAACACTCATTTTTTTCTCTCTCGTTCTCATCAATTATCACAATCAATCTATTCATATATCAAAAATTTATTATATTCAACGTATTTCAATAATAATATTATTCTAATAACAACATTGACATTTATAAAAACATAATTACTAAATTTACAATATAATCATTTAAAAATATAAAAAAAAAATTATAACACTTAATTAATTTGTACATCAATTCATAGATAAATATATATATGCACAACCTATCCCTTTTTTTATAAGTATTGAAGAAACATTCAGTTTGTCCCAAATATGATGACCGAAATGTCGGTTAGAACTTATGACTTTTAATTGTTTGATATTCAACTTTTTTCATCCCTTCCTTCAGCTTCTCCTCTAGTAAATTAATACCTAAAATGATATCTTTCTCTTCCTTCCCTTCAATTAACAGGTAAAGTTTCGGTGGATCTTTCTCTGTCACAGGACCTTGCCCTGGAGGATAGTATCTACCTTTATTTGTTATACTACAACCAGTTTCGTTCTTCACAAAAGACAGAGTAGTATTTTTGGAGGTTTCCCATCTTACTAATTGAGGAAGGTCATTAATATTAACGTTTGCACTATATATGATAGACCCATCGGGATTCTCCTCTTTAATTATGGTGTACTCTAACTTTGGTATTATTATTTCCTCGTCAGATGCATCGTTTGTATTGTTATCAACATCTTTAATTTGTTCTTTCTTGGTGACATTTTCTCCAGATACATTTTCATATTGTTTTCTTTCTTTTAACTCCTTTTGTTCCCTCTTCGAATCTAAATTGTCAAGGCCTTTACCACCAAATCCTGTAGATAACATATATTTTCCATTTTTCATACCATCTTCAAACTCTTTACTCATCGCTCTTAATTTAGTTACCTGTTGTATAGGTTGGGTATCTAATTGCTTATGCATTGCCTTAGTCAATATATATGCAGCGGCGATCTCATCTGGTTCTAAAATAGAAATTGCCTTACCGTGATTTACACCTCGAGCTGTCCTACCTGTAGTGTGAACGTATTGAGCAAATGTCTTAATAGCATTATAAATAATCACCAATGAAACCTCAGGGACATTAAGACCTCTAGACATGACTTCTGTACACAGAAGAATACTATTCTTGATCTTTTTAAAGGATTCAAGATTAGAAATTCTCTCTTGATATTGTTTACCAGCATGTATCGAGAAGATCTCAAACCCGTTGCGTACTAATTGTTTTTCAACAAAATCACAAATTTGTTGACTAGCAACGAAAATAATCGTCTTCTCATCCGATTGCTCATCTGTACTTTCATCATTTTGAGCATTACTGGTTACATTATTTGTTTGATTAGATAGAATTGACAGCAACACACCAAATTTCTCCGTAGAGGAATCACATACTACAAATGATTGCTCAATATTTTCATTAACCATATTACTTGAATTAACAGTAATACTTAAAGGTTTATGCAAGACTCTGACTGCAAAACTCCGTAATTTATTAGGAAATGTAGCGCTAAATAAAACACATTGTTTATCAGGTCTAATTGATTTCATAATCTGGGTAATTTGAGGTTCAAAACCCATATCGAACAATCTATCAGCCTCATCAATCACAACGAATGTTACACGTCTAGTATTAACCAGTTTTCCCATATTTAATGTCAATAAATCAATGAAACGTCCCGGTGTCGCCACCAATATCTTAACACCCCTCTTTAGAATTCTGATTTGTTCCTTTAACTCCGAACCACCTGTACAACAAACACATGAAAGATCTTTATCTTTCCCAATAAACTTAATAGTTTCCTCATATATTTGTTGTGCCAACTCTCTTGTTGGAGCCAAGATTAAACCCAATGGTCCTGTTTCACCAGGAGCTAGATTTCTTTGCGCTTTAATATGTCTGATTAAAGGTAATAAGTAAGATATTGTCTTACCGGAGCCAGTCTTAGAGATCCCAATTACATCCCTTCCAGACATAATTGCTGGAAGAGCTTGTGACTGAATAGGTGTCAATTGCTTAAAGTTTAAACTGTTTGTAATCATATTCATTAAGGACGTGCTTAACCCTAATTGCGACCATCTTGTGACAGGATTTGGACAATCTTTACCTTTAATAATGAGGTTATCAAGATCCAGTCTTAATTCTTCAACTTGTTCTGTTGTCATTTTACGTACATCTTCTTGTTCAACATAAAATTGTTTTTGGAAAGGTTCTAACTCCGATATATTATATTTTACCTCTGTAACCTTTTTCAGTTGTTTCATCTTCGCAATTTTCTTATAATGAGCAGCCTGCTTCTCATCTATATCATCCGTCAACGAAACATCTTCACCATTATTTTCCTCATTTCCATCAAGTATATCTGAAGTGCTTAGTTGATTAGATTTAGGGTCATTCTTTTCCTCTTGTTGGTTCAATTTAGACATAAAGTCATCAAGGGCATCGGCTTCGGTACGCATTACGGTATCAGGTAAAGCACTTTTATCCTCATTTTCTATTTCATTATTATTAGAAACTGGTGGTCTAAATAATGGAATGGTATTATTATTTGGTTCTTGATAATCAATGTCGAAGCTAAGTTTCTTTTTTTTATTCTTTTTAACCTTCTTAGGCTTAATTAATACCTGCTCTGGTTCTTCACTCGTGGTTTCTTTCCTTTTCTTCAACTTCCAGGCCTGTAACTTATCCCTTCTATTTGCAAGAACTTCCTCCTCAGTTTTCTCAACATTGGAATTTTGTTCCTTTATGGTAGTTGCAACTGTTTTGGCTTTAATAGCATCTTGTTTAGCTTTCTGACTTTTCCACCTTAACAGCTTCTCTCTTCTGGCCTCTAAAAGCTTATTCTTTTTGGCTATCTCATCCCCATTACTCATAATCAATATCAGTACCTTAATCACTTTAAAATACTGTCTTTGTTGGTATCCTTTCACCAAAGTTTTTTCTTTTCTCTTTATATTGCACCTCAACATCTCAAATCATCGATTTTTCAAATATGAAATTTTTTGCTTTGCAAAGGGAAACCCTCGAATTCACTTTAAAGAGAGGCAATAGAGGTTTAAAGCACTTGATTACAAAGCATAATAACTGAAAGGTTTCGATATATACATAACTGCAAGTTGATATTAGAGCTACAATACACCAAATAACATACGAATAAGTAATGAATTCAAGACCTGAAAAGCCGGCATGGATGTCACAAGAGGACTACGATCGTCAATACGGTATTGAATCAAAGGATAGCCCAATTATCACGACAACTGTTGAACCAATCACTGAAAATGTGCAACCAGTGGTACCAAATGATACCACCGGATCTGTAAATCCACCTAATAGCAAGGTCGAGAAACGTAAGCATAGCAGATACGATCAGGATGAAAGGAAAAGGAGAGTTGAACAACAAAGAATCAGGGATGAACAGTTTAAGCAACATGAAATAGAATTGACAGCAAACAAGACACTAAATGTTAATCAGATCGTGAGAGAGCATTATAACGAAAGAACTGTAATTGCTAATAGGTCCAAGAGAAACTTGTCTCCTATTATCAAGCTTCGTAATTTTAATAATGCAATCAAGTACATGCTTATCGATAAATACACAAAACGTGGGGATGTTGTACTGGAATTAGGTTGTGGTAAAGGTGGTGATCTGAGAAAGTACGGTAATGCAGGTATTTCACAATTTATTGGTATTGACATATCCAATGCATCTATTCAAGAGGCTCATAAGAGATACAGATCAATGCGAAACCTGGAGTATCAAGTAATTCTAACCACCGGCGACTGTTTCGGTGAATCTCTAGGAATAGCAGTGGAACCATTCCCACAATGTAGATTTCCGTGTGATGTTGTCTCAACACAATTTTGTTTGCATTATGCCTTCGAAACAGAAGAAAAAGCAAGAAGGGCGTTATTAAATGTTTCCAAATCTTTGAAGGTTGGAGGTTATTTCTTTGGGACCATTCCTGATTCTGAATTTATTCGTTATAAATTAAACAAAGTTAGTAAAGAAGTAGAAAAACCGAGCTGGGGTAATTCTATTTACAAAGTTACATTTGAAAATAATGAATATTCTAAAAACGGTAACGAATTCCCATCACCATATGGACAAATGTATACGTTCTGGCTAGAAGATGCGATTGATAATGTCCCTGAATATGTGGTTCCATTTGAAACGTTAAGAAGTTTAGCTGATGAGTATGGTATGACTCTTGAATTGCAAATGCCTTTTAACAAATTTTTTGCTCAGGAAATCCCTCAATGGTTCCATAAATTCTCACCAAAAATGAAAGAAGGTCTTCAAAGATCAGATGGAAGGTTTGGTATTGAAGGTTCTGAAAAGGAAGCAGCTGCATACTTCTACACAATGTTTTGTTTCCGTAAAGTTAAAGACATTTCAAGCTAGTAAAATCTAGGAACCCTAATTAGGCCACTTGTCTATATACATACACTATTACTTTTTTTTTTGTTTCATCTATTCTAAAAATTGATAACAATGAAGTACCTAAATTACTCATGGCTTGATTTATACAAATATAAGATTGATGTATATATTATTCTATAATGCTGTAGTGACCGTCATAGTTTGTGAATTAATCAACATCGTGGGTGGAAGATCCCTTAACCAGATGTCAATGTCTTCTACATATCCAATACTTTCGTCCAAATCCTCATGGGTACCCAACGCTGGTATTGGTAAAGTAGAAAATATTAGATTCGATTTCTTAGAGAGTTGAATCATCATATCATTTAATACAAGATACTGTGCACGACTTGGTAGATCACCAAAACCTAGGTTTTCCATTGCCTCTACCAAACTACTATCTGAGCAACACGGAGATATCTCAGGTAAAATTGATCTACCGGATAAACTTTCTCGAGGTGATTTTATTGTGTCTACTTCATCCTCAATAGGAACAATCGATGGTTTATCACCTGTGCTATCTTCTATCACTTTAGTATTTGGTAGGGCCTTACTTGAGAAAACAGGTTTTAAATTTTGAGAGGAAGATTGCTTTTGAAATTGACTAATGGAAGATGCTAATCTTTTGACATGTTGATGCTTCATTTCCCTTGCAACTTCTGCTATAGATAGATGAGAATCTTTCATTGAGTCAGTTTCATTTCCTGAATCATCACTCATTATTGGTGTCTGTATAACACCTTTTGGCATATTTGATTCCATCTTTAATGAAACCCCTAATTTTTGAATTTTCGATGTGCTATATTTTCTAGTCTTTTTAACATTTATACCACTTGTAAATTGGTTGTCTTGACCTTGACTTGGCATTGTAGTCGAAAAACGTCTTTTTGGCTGTAATGTTTCTCTTGCTTCGATAAGATCCTTCCACCAGGTATTATCCTTTAATTCTTCATTAACATACTTCATTGCTATCGGATTACCCTTCACAATTGTGTTATACACTCTAAATTGATCCAATGATACAACCAGAACTGTCGCCTCTATTCTCAAGACCTGTAGTAATTTTACCATTCTTTCATTCTCAGATATTCTTTCATAATCGTTCTCAACAAATAATATTACACGAAGTTCATGAGTATCTCTCCATTCAGGCACAGTAATTAGAATTGCGCCGAGTTGTAAGATTAACGTATATGTATCAAAATTAGAAGTTATAATAGATGGTTTACCTGGGTCTGTATTCATTGTGGCTGACATCTGAATTGGATAAAGATCAATTACTTGTTTTTTGCCAATAAAAGTTTTACCCTTCTCCGGAAGTTCTAATTTTCTGAAACCATATGCTACAGCTATATTTGATTGCATTAATGATAAATCTTCAATAACTTCAACCCATTGAGTTATTCTCACCTTTTCCTCATTTTTAAACATGTCGGTGGGTAAAGGAAGTGCTCCCATTGGAATATTAACACAAACTGCCTGTTTAGTGACATCTTTAGTAGCAGTTAATTGCGGTTCTTCACGTAGAGCATCATGATGACGGAAGGATTCCAAATCGAAGAACCCAATGACTGATATATTTGGTTTCATACCACCCAAACCAGAACCGAGATAAACGTTTCTGATCCCCCATAATAAACTTGGACCTGTAGCTACTTGAACAAATGCTTTGATTTTTGACATATCTCTTATCTTTTCCCAAGCATGTTTCTGTTTCTTCAATTCAGTATATTGAGTTTGAAAATCGTTTGTAACTGTTACATGACCCAAGACATAAAGTCCACCTTTCTTTAAACTGTTACAAAATCTGATCAGATTCCAACTAGTTCTTGGGTTATCAACAAATAATAGGACTTGAGGTCTCCAATATTTGATATTGTCTTGACGTAACCTCAGTAAGTATTTTCTCACTTGATGATATATTAAACTTTGTGAGACATCTCCCCACGGTTTTGGAGGACAAAAATAATGAATAATTAAAAATAAAAGACTCATAGATAAAAGTATGGCTGATGCAGTTACACCATCAACAACAATCATAGCCACAGTGGACAGAACTGCACCACTTAAAGCAGTATAACGGTCAAAATATTTGAAGGATGGTCTAAAATTTGGTGCAGCTGCAACCTCTAGTAAGAAACATGCAAGATTCATAACAATAAAGGTTATTAGGAATGTTAATGTGATGAACGAAGCTATCTTATTGACATCAGATAATAAACATAATTGAGTCAATATCCATGTAAATATTAACGAATAGACAGGTCTTCTACAAAATATAGAAAGACCAGGCAGGACATTATCCATTGAAATAGCCTCAAGTACATAAGCTGCCCCAACCATACCAACAATAATAGAAAATAAAGATGTCGACAACTCCCCTAAGAAAATAATCCATTGGACACCACTAACAGATTGAATCACCTGAACCTCAGCATATAATGTTTCTCTTGGAATTGAACAACTCATTGCTAGGACAACAACCGTGTAACATAGAAAAGTAAATATTAACCCCCATAAAGTACCTTTAGGGATAGATTTTGATGGTTTACGCAATTCACTGGACATACCAGCACCAGCAAAAATACCAGCTGTAGCTGGGAAAAATACACCAAATAAATTACTAAAAGTTTCCTTTTTCTTTAAAAGGGATCCTGCTGCACCCTTCGTGAAATGAGGCATCAAATTCCCATAAAATGTTTCCCAAGAGGGACCACTATAGATGATTTTACCTTCGTTGAATGGTGCTTTGAATATCACTGATATAGGGATGGATATTATTGAAACTGCAAGAATAATAAATAGAACATTACCAGCTCTTGATACGGTTTGAGATCCAACAAATGCAACACCAAAACAAATGAAGAGAATAATAGTAGCATACATGAATACATATAGTTCGCCCCTTGGTAATAATGCAAATAATGCTGCCGATGGTTCATCTTTAATATCTTGTCCTAAGTTATATAATATTGGTTCAACAATACCGATTGCGTTCATACCACTATTGAAAACTTGCCCTAAAAAGAAAACCAATCCGATTGATCCACCAAATTCTGGCCCTAAACATCTTGAAATCATGTAATAAGCACCACCACCTCTAACTGTACCATTTGTAGAAATAGCCGATATACTGAGAGTAGTTAATAAATTGATTAAATAACTTAGTAACAGTAAACCAATTGTACAAATGATACCCAATTGACCAAGGATAAACCCAAATCTTAAAAACATCAGAATCGAAAGCACATTCAATGCTGTCGGCACAAATACACCATCGTAAGTTCCTAATTTATTCTTATTTGGATTATTTGGATCATATCGCGACGATATTTTTTGTCCTAAAGGGGTAGCTCTATAACTAAAATATGTTTCATTATCCCTACTTCCGGATAATAACGAAGACGATTCATCTATTGTTGATGACGGCCTATGACTTCCTGGTATTCTGTAGAACTTACTACTCATATGTATAAATTAACGATGTAAGTGGTCTTATTCAATGCAAATTTTTATTTAGAAATGAAGGATTTTAATTCTTTAAAGAAGATCCGTTTGACCAATTATCAAATTTAAAGAATAGAATGCTTAATTGAATAAATATATTAGTCCGGTTGCAGTGCACCTTCGATATTCACTCAACCAATACTTGTATGTGTTACTTTCCTTTCATTCTTCTTATCTTTTGCAACCGCTGAAAAGTATTAAAAGTTGTCATTTAAAGCCTTTATTTTTTTATAAATGATCCCGTAACGAAAATGAGACATGTGTTGCACTTTACGATAATACATAAAGTTGCAAACACGTTAAGGAACAAAAGAACCATCTAACTTCCAGCGCCTATTGGTATATCGTCTATGCCTAATGGTTATTATATTGTACAAACTTTGTATTTATATATTGGTATAAATCTGTGCAAATGAGAGGAACTGTTCTAGTCTTATTTCTTGGCCTTCTTTGAAGTATTGTTTTCTTCAAGATGATCCCAAAGCTCTTCAACATCTTGTTCAGTTTCATTTTCTGGTTGATGTCTCTTTTTCTGTGATTGTTTACCCTTTGGTTGAAGTTGTGGGATCTCCACATCTTCATCATCTAATAACAATATATTGTTACATTTACCAGTGACATATACTTTAGCTATTCTTCTTGCGGATTCCAAATCAAATACGCGGACATATCTATCTAGACCACCTTGTAACACATATTTGCCATTTACCGTTTTCACGAAATAAGGAGAACCAACAATATCATCTTTACCAAACTTGGTAATCAATCGACCTTTGTTATTAAATCTCATAACGTTTTTCTTTAAATCGGTAGTAATTAAACTGAAATTATTAATATCTGAACTCTTTAAATTACCAGTTGGAGTTAGGTCACCGACCATCTCTAGACGAGCCAATGGTTCACGTTTCGGTAGAAGATCGATATATTGTAATGGTTTACGACCATGTTGTGTTTGATATATTCCTAAATGGGACCAATGTGTCACTACGACAAACTGATAATTTAATTTATCAGAATCAATTTTATCAGAATCCTGAGGATTTAAGAATTTTAATCCAGTTGGCCAAACTGGTACTCTCATATCAAGTCTATCATTAGCAACATTTTTAGCTTCCCATATTTTAGTTAATTCCTTAAAATTGTTACTTAATTGAACTAATTTCACAAGATTTTCTTCACCACCATATGCAAACACAATTGATTTACTCTTTGTATTATCATAAATTTGTGCAAAATCCAATGGTGCAATAACTTTGTGGGTCTTAATTAATTTCAAATTTTTTCTTTTTTTAATTTCAATAATATGGATTAATCCTGATTTAGTAGCTAATAGTAATATATCCTTATTATTTGGTAATTGATGCATATTGACAAATGTATCATAGATCTTAGTTCTCATTGATGATTTCTTCGATATACTCTCTAAGATAGTATCATCTAGTAAGTCCTTCACTGTAGACAACGATTCAAACTCTGTAATGTCAAACTCAGGCTTTAAATCAATAGATTCTCCCTCAGTCGTACTAGTAACATCCTCAGAAACTACAGTATGTGGAACTCTCTTTGAGTGGTATAACTCGACAGTACCATTATCTCTAGCCACTACCAATGTGTCTTCAATGTTCAGTAGCTGACTAATCTTAGCGTTTGCATTTTCAATCATATGAGACTTCACGGATAAAGGTTGTGTAGCGGTCTGTATCGATGTATCTGTACCTGGATTACAGACTATTTCCTTCAAGGAACCATTATGTGTGCAACTCACTAGCAATCTCATCTCTCTGGGTGGGAACGGTCTGTCTGTACAATATATATATATATAAACGTGTGTTTACAGTTATCTATAGAGTCTACGCCAACCAATACACTCTCTCAAAACCAGACTTCTTTCTGTACTGTTTGTAAATACTTCTTCATTGCTGATAGAAGAAATTGAAATTTCTGCGATGAGCCAAAAGTGAAAATTTTCGCTGAGCTGAAAAAGTTTACTGAGAGGCGATGGAGAACCGTTTGGGTTTAAGGCAAGCTAATACAAGAAGGCTCACGAATCAAGACGTGTGTGTGTGTGTGTGTGTGTGTGTAGGGTATGGGGTGGCAGTTGAATCACAGTAGTCAAGAAGGTGTTTGCAAACTCCCGTTTATATATGGATAGATATATACGAAAGTAGTGTCTGCGTGCCAGGCTATTCTTAATAACAACAACTTAGCGTTGTTGACTCTCACAGAAAACATAATAATTCCTCTTGATCAAACTATATATTCGTAGTAAGCCTCTATCTAGTGAACGGGTACCCACACCCACTGTATAATAACTACTCTGTCTGTCTGTCTGTCTCCCCTCCCCTGCATGTTTCTGTCTCAGTTGAAAGCATTGAAATAGCTTTTATTTTGTTGACAAAACAAACTGGAAAAGGCGATAAACCTTAAAATAATATAAGAAGACTTACAAGTTGAACAGAGAGACAGAGAGAAAGAGACCAACGTTCTACTAGTTTAGTTAACTATATAGATACAGGAAACAGCAGGGCAAATAGTATTTGGGACGTAATATGACAGAATTAGACATCAAGAAGAAAGAAGCGGACGTCTCCTCTGAGGAGGAGTACAATGAGGAAGAGGATGAGGATTTCGATCCAACGAAAATAGATAAAGATAATGATATTGATACTGATTCAGAAGTTGAGACGGAAACTAATGAAACTATGATCAACAACAATAATGTTAAAATACCGACGAAAAGTATGGATTATTCACGTATAGAGAGTGAATCGGGGGGATTAGTTAAGACAAGAAGGGCACGTTTAGAAGAAGAAGAAGCAAACAAGAGATATAAATATGAAAATATTCAAAATACACCAATTTCTGATACTGTGAAAAGTATATGGGATGAAATGCAATTACAGAGTAAAAAACGTCTCTCTAGGCATCAAGGTAGTAATACCTCAATAATATCGGATATAGTGGAAGATATTACAGCAAGTTCTACAGAAAATCACATAAACGGGGAACAAATCACAATAGAGAGAACTTATAAATTTGCCGGTGAAGTGATACATGAAAAGAAAATTGTACCCAGGTTTAGTGCAGAAGGCCAAGAATATTTAAAGAATTCAAAATTTAACACGTCGGAAACTCAACCCAGAGAACCCTTAGAACATACTTCGAAGATCGATACCGTAACACAAGAAGAACGATCGAAACTTAGAAGACCTCTCAAGAGAGAACCGATACTAGAAAAGATTATTGCAGGTTCTATTAAACCAAAACTAACCACATTAGAAAAATCCAAACTTGATTGGGTCAACTACGTCGATAAAGAAGGTATTACCGACGATCTTGCCATACACAACAGAGATGGTTACCTGGCAAAACAGGACTTCCTTGACCGTGTAGAGACACACAAGGACAAGAAGTACAAGGAATTCAGAAAGACTCAGTTGGCTATGCAACTTCAAAACCAACAGAAGTAAGTTTGTAATAAATAAATATATAGTCGTGAATAATGATCTGGGCATGCAAATTTTTTTTCTTTTCCTTCGCGGAGGGAAAACCAAAAAATGTATAAAAGGAGAGAGAATTTTCCAGAATTTGAAGTTTTCCAGTTCTTCTTACTCTTTGTTTTCTAATGGATGGTTTTTTTTCTTTGAAGTTTTTTTTAAAGACCCCAAATCTCTTTGCCTTTTGGCTTAGATCAAGTGTAGTATCTGTTCTTTTCAGTGTAACAACTGAAATGACCTCTATGAGGCTCATTACCTTTATTTTTGTTACAAACACATTTTTTGAAAACAAACTTTTATTTGTTCTCTTGTTGCAGCCCTTAGCAGCAATGTTTAGGTGTTCTGCACTGGAGAGCAGGGTGTGAAGAAACTATGTGGATTCGTGTATTGTCCTTATTTTGAGACCTCCGTGTTTCTTTCTAAGGAGTGATTGTTTTAAATTTCGATCTGAGGACTAAATGGTTGTATGGGTATTAAAGTTTATGCTTAATCTAATTTTGCGATCATCGAGTTGATATTTTTTTATACGTTTAATTTTGTTGTGAGTTTTGTTAGGAAGTGTTTTTTACCTGTTGAATTTTTATTTGATTGAATCCACTATTTGAGGAAGTATTTACAGAGGTAAGCTGTGATTTTTAAGGTGAGTTACAGATAGAATAAGCAGTATATGGATTTCTTTTTGTTGGAGAAGGAATAAATATTTTATTGAAGTGTCCTTGACTAAGTTTGTCGTGGCAAATATTTATATTTGCCACGAATGTAATAGGGTAAGCTTGCTTATCTCCCTTAGTTAAACTTTGTGGCGTGGAAATATTGTGTTTCTCCTTCTCTAATGAGGATTTTTGTTTGTTTGTTTTTGTTTGGAATTTATTGCTTTTTCTTTTATGGTTTATTTTAGTGGTACTACTGTTTGAGAATTTTCGGATGATATTATATATTTGTTTGATTGCAAGAAATTTTTTTGACTGATGAATAATAGATTTAGACCTTTATTGATGGGGACGTAAAAAATTCCCTGTATGAAGAGATGTCATATGACTCTTTGGTTTTTATAGATTTTGATACTTAGAACCATGAGGTCCTCGTGAAGGGTTGTTATTTGATAATCATTGATATTTCGTTGAATCATATGTTAGGTTGGTCGCAGTCCCGCTTTTAAACACGCATGTCATTAGTTGTTAGATGGTTAGGGTAGAAGAAATTGGATTCATTTTCTTTTTTTTTAGTTCTTCCCATTTAACAATGTTGATCTGATTGCTTGATTGGCCTTTTTAATCTTCTCACCTCCCCTCTTTTTTTTTCTAAGATTACTGTTGCAATGAGGTCATTCAACAATTTTAGAAAGAAAATCGAAATTTTATTTTATTTTATTATATTATACATGATCTATATTTATTTATTAGAGATTCTGCTAGGAGTCTTTGTTTCCTTTTAAGGAGGAATTTTTTAAATAGGTCACTTTCAATGATACTGTTACGATGATCAATACCGTTGATATTATTTGAAAAGATTTTAATCTTTGTCAATAAAAATTCTTTATAACCGGATGAACGAATCATTAAATCAATATACCATTGTTTATTAAAGGAAATAAAGCTTTTAATTGATGATACAAATTTTGTTTCGTTAAGATTTTTTTCATTATCCATATGATTTATTAAATTATGAAACATTTGATATGAATCAAAGAAATTTTTGAAAAAATGGAAACATTGTTTAATTGTCAATTCAAGTGATTGCAACATATTATTATTCAATTGATCAATCGTTTCAAGGAATTTAACAATTAATGCATAAGTATTCAAAACTTTCTTCCTTTGAGATCCCCATGTTTCCATTGTTTCTCTAATATTAAGTAAAAAATTGATCAATGCATGATGACGGGTATGGTTTGTATAAATCATAGACTCTAACAAGATATCGATCAGTTCACTCAATGGCTTGGCCAATGAGTCCACAAGACATCGAGTCAATCTATGAATAAAATTTTGTTTGGTTGTAGGGTAATTCATGGTGTGACATTTTGGGCAATAGTGCAAGGGCGTGGTGGTAACAAATTCTAAAAAAACATTCTATTAAACTCTCTATATGCACTTCATTGTTCTTGGTGAGGGGACCAGGGTAGAGGAAACCAAATCGAACAACTTTTCACAATTGTATCTGCTCTTTATATACCTCATCGATGAGTAATACGGTTTGCCTGAAATTTAGTATGACACACACCCAGAATTTTGTTTAGCGGCGGGCGCGGTTCTCACAGACAAATTTTTCAGTGTTTGATTGTAGATGAGTCACTGTGACCACAGAACAATGGGAGCTTTTAGGGATTTATAATCGATCTGTAGCTGTCGATGTATTGCTGTCTGGCACGTAGTGTATCTTTGTATTTATTGCATTGTTAAAGAGCATGTGTGGTGAGGGAAGGGGGAGGGAGCTACCTGTACTATATCACAGTGGTGAGACACATTTGTATACGTTTCTGTAGTAATTTCTTGAATTTCAACCCCAATGCAAGTGATGGCATAAAGGTAAACTATCACAAATCGTATATATGTCTTCTTGTTTCTTGCACCTCGATATGAATTACTTAGTGGACAGAACAGCCTACTGGAAATAAATAAGTAAAGTAAAAAAAAAAATTAATGTTATTGAAAAAATAAGACAGCTTAGCTAAATCAATGGCCACAAACACACAACCCAAGAAACAAGCACAAGATGTCTAAATCATTTGGATCTGCCTCTATTAATGATGCTCCCAATGTCCCCATTGAAGCTCCACAATTTGTTGTGTCTCCCAACGCAAATGAACCAGCTGCAATCCATACCAATTTGATCAAGGATTGGCAAATGATCAAGCATAGAGAAGGTGGTTATTTCAAAGAAACTGACAGGTCTCCATTCACGATGACCGTTGGTGAACAATCCATGGCAGTGGATCGTTCTAAGGACTCGCAAACAGAGAATACAGTTATTAGAAATTATTCTACCTTGATCTATTACTTGTTAACTACGGATTCCCCAGTGGGTAAATTACATAAGAATAAGAATAGAATTATCCATATCTTGCAGAGAGGGAAAGGGCAATACGTATTAATCCATCCCGATGGTACAATCAAATCATTCCGTGTTGGATTTGATTATGCTAATGGTGAAGTCTCTCAATGGGTGGTCCCCGGGGGTGTCTACAAAGCAAGTTTCCTGCTACCTAATGAAGAATTCTCTGATGGTCTATTAATCAGTGAGGTTGTCGTCCCAGGGTTTGATTTCGATGACCACATGTTCATGCCAAATTACGAAACTTTAGTCCAATTAGTAGGAGACACTCAAACAGCACAAAAATTGAAATTCTTACTGTAATAACGAGGCAACTCACACTATATACCGGTAAATACAACAGTCTATGTAAGTTATTGTTCAATAAAAGCTGCACGTATATCACGAGGCACGAGGTGCCAGCCCTTCCCTTATCGAATCACAAAAGAAAATTCGGCCAGCTTTAATTTATTTTTCAGTTAAAAGAATTTGGGGGGAGAGGACCTTAACTCATACAAACTACTAGATCACTACTAGATCAAGAAAGAAAGTATACAAACCATCGCGTACCGTTGTCCCTACTTCCCATTAAAATGTTCAAATCTACAGTACTTAAACAATCTCGTCTATTCTCTACTTCCACTGCTCAATTTGGTAAGAAAGTGTTTTTTGAACCTGCTGTTAATGGTAAGAAATTAGGTAGAATTGAATTCGAGTTATATGATGAAGTAGTACCAAAGACTGCAGAAAATTTCCGTGCTTTATGTACAGGTGAGAAGGGGTTTGGTTATAAAGGTGTCCCATTTCATCGTATTATTCCAAATTTTATGATCCAAGGTGGTGATACAGATTTAACTAATGGATTCGGTGGTAAATCAATCTATGGATCAAAATTTGCCGATGAAAATTTTATCAAGACTCATGAAAAGGCTGGTCTATTGTCAATGGCCAACGCAGGTCCAAACACTAATGGTTCCCAATTCTTTATTACTACAGTTCCATGTCCTTGGTTAGATGGGAAACATGTTGTCTTTGGTGAAGTGACTAAAGGGATGGATATTGTAAAGACTATTGAATCCTACGGTACTCAATCTGGTAAACCAAAAGCTGAGGTTGTCGTTGAAGATTCAGGTGAAATCGTCAACTAGATTCGCCAGTTCAATCCATATCTGTAAATAAATAAGAAAAATATCACTGCTCTTCTATATATTTGTTAGTTTTGTATGTAGGAAATAAAAAAAGTGGCATTGCCAAAGCCAAAAGAAAAAAATTGAATTTGAATTTTAAAAGAAAATTGATTTAAAGACTACACACATACAGCCAAACTGAAAGAAACAAAAGAGGTTAGACGTAGTATAGGTGGGTAAGATGAGTTTAGAAGATACATTAGCCAATATGTCACTGTATGACGCCAAGAAATATTTCCGTAAAGCTCAAAATGTTATGTATAATTACACAGACATGGAAGGTAAAGTGCGTGAAGCTACAAATAATGAACCCTGGGGTGCATCATCAACCTTAATGGAACAAATTGCACAGGGGACATATAACCTGTTGGAGCGTCAAGAGATTTTAGGGATGGTGTTTAGACGGTTCACAGAAAAATCAGGTAGTGAATGGAGACAAATATATAAAGCGTTACAATTATTGGACTATTTGATTCGTCACGGTTCAGAAAGGTTTATTGATGATGTACGCAGTAGTATTAGATTGATTGAATTATTAGAATCCTTCCATTATATTGATTCCGAAGGTAGAGATCAAGGGATTAATGTTAGAAATCGTGCACAAGAGATTACTTCATTATTACAAGATGATTCAAGAATCAGATCGGAGAGAAAGAAAGCTCGTGATACAACAAAGAAATATAAAGGTGTTGCAGGTGGTGTTATCACTGGGGGTACTGGTTCTATGGATACGAGTATGAATACATCTGCTGGATTTAATAAATCTCATGGTAATGGTATTAGTGTGAGTGCAGATTTTGATCACCACAGTGATGATGAAGGTACTGGATATAATAAATCATCAAGTTACTCACAGGAACAATTTTCATTTGGAGGTACAAATGAAAATCCAATATTACAAGAAGAACAAGATGAAGAAGAAGAAGAAGATGATGATGATGAATTTTCGGAATTTCAATCTGCTACACCAATTACAACCACTAATAAACCAACTGTATCCTTACTTGATTTTACTAATGATATTCCTAGTACAAGCAGTCATCCCACCGAGGTTGTTATTCCTGCTATTACTACTGCTAATGAAACCAAGAAATCTGACCCATTCAGTTCATTGTTCAACACAGCAAAGGTTGAAAAACCAAGACAAGTACCCACAGAGACAACAAAAACTACAGAAAAAGACGATGAGGACGACGACATATTTGGAGAAATGACATCTGCACCAACGCAACCTGCATCAACCAACGAAGATCTATTAGACTTAATCTAACATCTATGTATAAATGTGTGTTTTATGTTGTTTTATTTAAAAAAGACTTAAATTAATTTATTGTGTTTTAAATATAGTATTTACTTGTTTATGGGAATATCTACATATTTTGAATAAGACAAAGAAGGTCCTGCCTTTCTCTCTATCCATTTTTTATCATTTCTTACTCTCTTGCAAGACTTGTTCATCTATCACGGTCCTCATGTTCTTCTTCTTATTATTATTACTATTCGACATCTCTTCTGGGGTATCTGAACTTACTGTATGTGCGGGACATGGCAATACCGACGCCAACGCTACCGAGCCAAACGCTATCAGAAACGTCGACAGATACAGGTTGTTGATCACTTTGTTCCTAGTCACTGCCTTCATGTACATTGCTGGATATGTATGTGTGTATGTGTGTATGTATTCAGTTGGTTGTTCTTCTTCTATGTGTTTCTCGATCCTCTCCTTGTCCCCTTCAAGATCTGTTGCCATTTATAGCTTTCGAAGAGAAAAGATCTCGGCGATTCCGGAGCTTCGTCGGCGGTGATGTGGGCGTCACGTGCGTCAGTTATGGTGTTTACGGCTGTTGATGCTATATCTTGAACAGTCGTGCAAGCAAGAACATGTTGTGTCGACACGGTGGTGACCGATACTTCACTGCAAGCATTGGCTTGATAGTAGTATTGAAAGAGATGCTCTCTGCCATAACGTCAGCGACATCACTTCGCACGTAGTCGCGCGGAGCTCCACAAGCCTCAATTCGTGTGGGAAGACAAACAGACAGAGAGAACAGCTTTTGGGCTGAAATTCCCAATACAAGAAGAACCAACAACTACGAGACATGAATTAAAAGTAGTCAGTGTGAGAGAGGTATACTTGGAAATATATGAACCCAGAGTAAATATGTCTGCTCAATTGAAGTGTGGGTTGGCCTATCTCAAATACTGTTTTTCAGTAGAGGCAATCGATTCTCGTGTTCAACCAGATATCGATTACCTTAGACGACAGAAGGCTGCAGCTTTAGATAATGATTCTGAAGTTAAAGAAATTAACAAGAGTTCTCGTCCCTTGTGGCATACTACCGAATTTAAATTTTATTATTTGGCTTTTGTTATTGTAGTACCATGGATGATTAAGACTGCAATGGATGCTAGTAATGAAACTAATTTAACAAATTATTACAAATTTGAAAATTTATTATCTTCTGGTTGGTTATTTGGTAGAAAAGTTGATAATAGTGATTCCCAATACAGATTCTTTCGTGATAATTTATTTTTATTAATTCAATTAATGACCGCACATTTAGTAATTAAACGTATCATATTATACGTGACAAAGATTAACGTATTAAGATTTGATTTTATCTTTGGTTTAATTTTCTTATTTGCTGCTCATGGTGTTAATTCTATTAGAATCTTGACTCATATGATCGTCATGTTTTCATTAGTACATCTTTTGAAGAGACACAGAAATTGGGCAATTGCTTTAACTTGGATCTATGGTATTGGATCATTGTTTTTAAATGATAAATATAGATCTGTACCATTTAGTTCATTTTGCTCGATTCTAAAACCTTTAGATACTGCTTTTAAAGGAATTATTCCAAGATGGGATGTATTCTTTAATTTTACTTTATTGAGAATAATTAGTTATAATTTAGATTATTTGGAAAGATTAAATAATCAATTACAATTTAGAAATTCTCATGAAGAATCTTCAGAAGATTATGAAGAATTTACAAGATCACATACAGATGAGAATAATAATAATAATGATGATAACGACATTCAAATTAACAAACCTTCAATTAAAAAATCAGGGTCTGTTTCAAGATTACAAACTATTGATGAATCAGGTAAAGCCGAAGTATTAAATGAAAGAGCAAGATTAATTGCGCCACATCATATTCAAGAATACAGTTTTGTCAATTTTATCGCTTATGTGACATATACTCCATTATTTATTGCAGGTCCAATTATTACATTCAATGATTATATATATCAATCACAACATAAATTACCTTCCATTACTCTCGAGAGAATTACAATTTATTCATCTGTTTTAGCGTTTACTATCCTTGCCATGGAATTTATTTTACATTTTACTTACGTTGTGGCAGTATCAAAGGCAAAAGCTTGGGAGAATGACTCACCATTTCAAATATCAATGATTGGTTTATTCAATTTAAATATTATTTGGTTAAAACTATTAATTCCATGGAGATTTTTCAGATTATGGGCAATGTTAGATGGAATTGATACTCCAGAAAATATGATAAGATTAGTCGATAATAATTATAGTGCGTTGGCATTTTGGAGAGGTTGGCATCGTTCTTTTAATAAATGGGTGGTTCGTTATATCTATATCCCATTAGGTGGTTCACGTAATAGAATCTTAACATCTTTAGCCGTATTTTCATTTGTTGCAGTATGGCATGATATAGAGTTACGTTTGTTACTATGGGGTTGGTTAATTGTCATATTCCTATTACCTGAAATTTTCCTTTCACAATATTTCCAAATGTATCGTAATAAATGGTGGTATAGACATGTCTGTGCCCTTGGTGGTACAGTTAACATCTATATGATGATGATAGCTAATCTATTTGGATTCTGTCTTGGATCAGATGGCACTAAGATGTTATTACATGATATGTTCATGACTTCGGCAGGTTTTACATTCTTCATTATTTCTACTGTATGTTTATTTATTGCTGTGCAGATAATGTTTGAAATTAGAGAGGATGAAAAGAGACATGGAATCAATCTTAAATGTTAGAAAGACTATAAATATATAACCGGATCTGTAATTAAATACTGCTCTTATTTTTTAAAATGTGACATTTTTTTCCTTCCATGGAATGATGAGATGACTCAAGAATTTTTCAATTTTCAACTTTTTTTTTTTGGGCTGAGAAAAACCGGAAAAGTTCTTAAGATGACCCTCTTTGGAACCCACAAGATTTATTAAAACAAAAAAGATTTGAATACTTTCTCTAGCCATCTATCTCTTTTGGTCTACTTCTAAGGCAAACCAATAGCCACATTGAAAGTACTTTGTTGTCCTTTTTACAATAGGGAATTTAATTTTAATTAACATTACATAAGGGGGTTGGAACCATGCAGAGACTGGGTTTTAGGAGATGGTTCGGTTTATCGCTCCAATATAATATTCGTCAATTTCAACGAAGTTATCATAATATTGAATACCCACATCTTAAGAGACTGAATAATTCTCCATATGTACGCTTAAAGCCCGTAACAAATTTGAGAGCAGGTAATAATGCAGAATTTGTTACATCAGCAAATTCAAAATTACAATCTTTAATATGGCATACTCCAGTACAGAACGTATTTGTTACGAAGAAACCGTGGACTCCCTCGACTAGAGAAGCAATGGTTGAATTTATTGAATATTTACATGATAAATACCCCTCGATTAATGTGATTGTGCAACCTGATGTTGCAGAAGAAATTTCGCAAGATTTTAAAGCACCAATGAACAATGATCCAAATAGACCTCATGTGTTGTATACAGGTACACCTGGAAATATTGTAAATAAGACAGATTTATTAGTTACATTAGGTGGTGATGGTACCATTTTACATGGTGTTTCAATGTTTGGAAATGAACAAGTACCACCTGTATTAGCCTTTTCATTAGGAACATTAGGTTTTTTATTACCCTTTGATTTTAAAGAATATAAGGAAGTATTTGAAAGAGTAACATCTTCGAGAGCTAAATGTCTTCATAGAACAAGATTAGAATGTTGTGTAATTAGAAAAGGTCAAGAAGATACTCCAAAAGTTTTACATGCAATGAATGATATTTTTTTACATAGAGGGAATTCACCACATTTAGCTAATTTAGATATTTTCATTGATGGTAACTATTTAACAAGAACAATAGCTGATGGTGTCGCATTAGCTACCCCCACAGGTTCTACAGCATATTCATTATCTGCAGGTGGTTCAATTGTTTCACCTTTAGTTCCATCAATCTTATTGACTCCAATTTGTCCTAGATCATTATCATTTAGACCATTAATTTTACCACATTCTTCACATATTGTTATTAAAGTTAGTTCTAAGATTAATCAACGTGTAACAAATAATGTGGTAAATTTATCTGTTGATGGGATCCCTCAAGAAGATTTACATGTTGGTGATGAAATACATGTTGTAAATGAAGTTGGTACAATATATATGGATGGTACGAAATTACCTAGTATGAAGAGAGGTACAAAGACAAATGAAAAAGATACACAAACTTTCCAAAATACAAAGGATTCAAAACAGAAAAAGGATCAATCGGGGATTTATTGTGTTGCAAAATCTGAAAATGATTGGACTAAAGGTATTAATGAATTATTAGGTTTCAATTCAAGTTTTAGATTTACTCGTAGACAAAAAGACAATTGAAACAAATATTTTTTTGTTACCTTGAGTGTATATATTCCTTTAATAAAAGAAACAATATTATATATGTAATAAGAGAAAAAAAAAATTTAATTTTTATGTAAAAAGGGATGTTCTATTGATCCTTGCAACCGTCCCCATACAGGCGCACGAAGGCAGTCCTTTAGATCTGCCACGAGAGCAGACAACTGATGGACCGTTGCACCCAAGATCAATAGATGTGACGTTTAGTCTCCAGTCCAAGCTTTAAAAAAAACATAAAATGTTGCAATACACATCCACATATGTCATGGGTCAAGAACGCCCCGAAGGGGTTCAACCTCAATGGGATACTGTATGTACTGCGATTGGCTGTGAATTTGCGTTACCCTTTTTCCCAAAAACTAAAATAGGAAAAGAACAATACCAAGAGTAATACGTTGAGAAACTAAAGGAGTTCAGTTTGGGTCTGCCCTTTTATACGTTTTGTTGGAAAGTGTTTCGATTTTTTTTTTTTCACTGAAAAAATTTTTCAGCTCTGGAAATATGTATGCGGTGTGTGGGTGTGTGACAGCGATGAGCTAAAACTTGAAATATTAGGGTTTATACCCGCATTGATACTGGAGCTCATGATGAACTTCGATCAAGAGATGGATGAGAGATTGGTGATCTGTGCTCGTTGTAAGTTACGTCCGTTGGTTTTGTTCTTGATTTCAAATTGAAATTCAGGGTTGACTTGCTGGTTTATAAATGGAATATGAAGAGACCTAAGCAATTATACGAACTATCTGTATTTGTAGAAACAACTCTTTGCTTTACTAAAATGCAACCTTTAACTTATCTTGGCAACACTACTACCCTTGCTGCGTCTTAGTAAAAAAAGTTTTGTATGTTTCAAAGAACTTATAAATTTCCCTTTTAACACATCTATTACGTTTATTTAGCATGAATTTCTTGGGGGGTGCAGCTAATAGTTGTATTTTGTTCTTTTTTGCATCTGATTTATTGAGTTAAGGTACAGTTCAAAAACACTTCAATATTACCACATTAATGAACAAAAAATACCCTAACCATCCACGGAACCATAGCTGCAACAGCAGTGTATTATCTCGGTATGCATTAAGTGCATGCTAACATTGCAGTTTGGTTCGTTAATTGGTGTGTGTGTTTTTTCTTTTTTTGGGGAAAGTGTCGCATCGGTCGAGTCAGATATGTCAGAGTTTCCTTTTTAGTCGATCAATGAACGTTTTAAGATGGGTTGATGTAAAAATTAACATAAAGCAAAATATCAATTTTAATGACGGACTTTTAATCGACTAATTAGAGAGTGAAATTGAGGTTTTACCTTTAATATCGATAACTTGAAACGTACGGTTGTTAATATTTAATCAACTTCAAAGAATACTAAAATTTGTAATTCAGATGACATATAAAAGGATGGATTAAATAACTTCAAACTGATCAATTTAACCTCTCTCTCTCTCTCTTTCCTCATCTACTTCTTGTCAATACTAAAGATACCACACAACAACAATTACAATTATGCAATTTTCTACTATTCTATCCACTCTAGCTTTATCTGTCGCTACTGTCCTTGCTGAAGAGACTAACACTACTTCAATTCCAGCCGAAGCCATCATCGGTTACATGGCTTTAGGCTCCGATAAAGATGTTGGTATCATTCCATTTGGTAACGCTACTTCCAATGGTTTGATGTTCATTAATACTACAATTGCTAAGGAAGCTGCTTTATCTAAGGATTCTGATTTAGCTAAGAGAGAAGCCGTTGCTGACGCTGACGCTTGGCATTGGTTAGAACTGGATTGGGGTCAACCTCTATACAAGAGAGATGCCAATGCAGTTGCTGATGCTGATGCTTGGCATTGGTTGGAACTTGACTGGGGTCAACCATTATATAAGAGAGAAGCCGAGGCTGAAGCTGATGCTTCTGCTTGGCATTGGTTGGAATTAGACTGGGGTCAACCATTATACTAAGTTAATTTCCTTTTTTTTCACGAAAAAAAAACAACAACAACAACCATTAACTTTTTAACCTTATTCTAATTTTCTTCAAGAGACACTTTTCTAATTCTTTACATAAACTATTTAAAAAACTTTTAAAAATACAATATTTTCTACCTTTTTTTAAAAAATATTACTTAGCAAGTTTGTTTTATTAACCACTTTTGAAATATAAAAATATTTAGTTTTAGTAATTAAAACTACATCTATATACATAAATTAATGTTCTGGAAATGGACATATGAATGACATAAATGGTAGGGAAGGAATTATACAAGTCTATGAGTTGTGCAAAAAAGGAAGGAATAAGGGGGGTATTTATTATTCTTTATTACTTCCAGTGAAAAAATGGAACCATGAACCAAAAAATGCCGAAAGAAAATCAATTAATCTTTTTAATATACCTTTATAAGTTTCAGGATCCTTTGTTTCACGAATTTCTTTATTAACAGGACAATCAATTTCATTAGTTTTTAATTTATCAACCATTTCTCTTTCTCCAGCAGGTGTTTCAGGTTCATCTTCATCTTCTGTCACATCTAAACCCTTTGGAATATTTACACCTGGTGAAAAAAACACAGTTTCATCACCAATTGGAGATTCTCTACCTGATTTTTTTGGTGTATTAGGTATAACCAATGGATCTACTTTTTCTTGTTGTTCTTCGCTTATTGTATCCAATGCAGTATCATCATCCTCTTCTTCTTCTTCTTCCAATTCACCAACATTCCTACTATCAAGATCCTTAGTCTGTTTTAAAATTGAAACATTTTCTAAAGTCGGATCAGGAGTAAGATCCTGTAATACAGATTCTATATTATCTTCAATATTATTATTATTTTCTTCCATTAATTTCCCATCTTCAAATTTTAATAGTATACCATTATTGATATTATTATGTTCATCAGGTATCAAATCGAAATTATCAGATGTAAACCAATTATTATTATCATCAATAAATTTAAAATGAATCATTATCTCTTCAGTGGATTCCTTTGAACAGTAATCTTTAACCATATCATCCGTAATATTAAATTTCCATGCAGGAACATGTTCTAAAGAATCATCATTCGAGATTGCAACCATTGGTTGAATTTTCCAATTAGTGAAATCGCCTGCGATCTTCAATGATTTGAAAGTTTGCTTTTCATCAGGAATCAGAATTTCTACCATCTTTTTCTGTTTTTTTTTTCTTTTCTTGATTTAAGTTTAATCTATTTAAAAAAAGTATGAATAAAAGTATAATTTGTGAAAAGAATTGAAATTAAAATCGGTTTAATGAAAGAAGAAAGGGAGTCAATTTAGGCAACTTACTCTTTGTATATATATAAAACTTATTTAAAAAAAAAAATTATTTGTTTTTTTAAGGGGCGAAAAAGGAACTCACGTCAAAAAGGAAACAAAAAGAAATTTTTTTGTGATTTCCCGTTTCGGAAGCGAAGCCCTAGGGCGCGAAGTTAGGGTGTGCGGTTGTTAACTATGGGAGCAGTGGCAGCAACCCTAACTTTCACACTGTGGAGGTGAAGGGCTCCAACGTGGGAATTTAGGGCTTTGCGCACTATGAAGGTGAACCTCCTTGCCAAACCCTAAGTTGAAGAATAAATTAATTAATAATATAAGAGAAGTTGATTTCTTTTGATCAATGCAATTAAAAACAAAACGAAAAAAAGAACAGATTACTTTTTCTTTTTGTTTTTAGATCTTGTGATTATTAACGTGGTTGATGTGGAACGTTACCACATCTATCTTTACCGAAATTTATCTTTAAATTTTCAAATGTTGGAACAGATTTAATTTTATCTAAACATAAGATTGCATTATTAATATTTGTAAAATTAACAAAACAACATCTTTTATCTGGTAAGAAATTAATTTGTTCAACTTCACCGTATTGTTTAAAGATATTTCTTAAATTATGTTCATTGAAAAATTCAATATTATTCATGTCAATATTACCAATATAAACATTTCTTGATGCACCATGGCCAACAGCTAGAGCAAGAGCATTTGGTAAAGGACCTGAATGTTTCCCCCAACCAACTTTGCAACGTTTCTTTTGAATAGTAAGACCATGTAATGAACTCATTGCATAAAATTGTGCAGCAGCTGTTGGATCAATGAATGTTACAAAACAAACAAATCTATCAGATAAAAGTTTTATACTTTGTAAAATACCACCACGAACAACATTACAAATTTCTTCAACTCTAACATCTTTTGGTAAATTACCTAAATAAATTGTACGATTACCTAAATTATTTGGACCACCCGCAGATGTTGCAATTGCTGCTGCTGCAGCGGATTGTTGTAATAATGCATTTGAAATAAATTCTCTATCATTAAACTGTGCTAATTTATCAACACCTGATTGGATACCTAAAAATTGAGCTGCATTATGTTGTTGTGTCTTTGTAATAAATGCGCATCTATCCTTACCATAAAAGACTCTCTTTTGTGAATAAGTTGGATTAATATTAGATAAATTTGTTACAACAGAAATAGCTGTTGCAATTGAATCAAAATGAATAAATGCAATACCTTTCTCTTTAACAAATTTTATCGTATCAATTTCACCAAATTGTAATAAATCATTTCTTAAAATTTCTTCATCATTAATAATTGGTTCATCATTTAAATGACCAATATAAACATTTCTTGTTGCACCATCTGTTTGAATCTTAGCTAATACTAAAGGATCCATTCTTGCAGATTTACCCCAGCCAATCTTAATATCACGACCATCGATATTTAATCTTTTCAAGATAGCATCAGAATGAAATAATAATGCAGCATTTTCATCGACAAATGAAATAAATGCACACATTTTTTCACGTAAAATTTTAATTTCATCAACAACACCGCTACGAACATGATCTAATAATTCTTTAATTGTGGCATTTGGTGGAATATTACCTAAATATACTGTCCTGCTTGGTGCTGAAGTAAAATTTAATGGATTTGTTATTTGTAAAGTTGATTGAGTTGAAAATGATGTATTAGCATTTGCAACAGCGGTTGCTGTAGCAACAACACCATATGTATCTTGTGGTTCAGGAATTCCCGAATAATTTAAATGAATATTTGACATTTGTTGAGTAATTAAATCATCTTCAGTCATTGTATATCCGACATTATCAAATTCACTAGAATTTGAACTTATTCTTAAATTTGAATTACCATTCATATATGGAACAGAGGATGCCATAAAGGAATCATCTACTATACCAGTATTATTATTATTATTATTCATACTGAATGGTGGTACACTATGTTCTGGTGATTGATAAAGGAACCCATCTGTATTAGCATTATTCATTGAACCATCTTGATTCATTGAATAATTCACATCAGGATATTGTTTATAGTTGTTTTCATCATTTGTTAATGCATAGTTATCAATAATTTGATTGTCCATTGTTTATTTGTGTAGAAATAGAGGGATGAAATAGGGTTGTAATGAATGTAAAATAATTGTAGTAATAATATAGTGTAGTAATAATATATTTCGAAGAAGTGAAAGAGAAAATAGAAATGTAGGCTAGGTAATTATTAAAAAAAAATCTTTTTTAACTTAATAGCTGGAATAAATAAAATAGTATAGTCCTTGAAATGAAACAGTTTTGGAAAGAAAGAAAAAAAGTGTATAATGCAGAGAATGTACAAATTGCTATACTCTAATGAATATATATATATATATGAAAGTTCTGATCTTTTTTTTCTGTGATTCTTTTACAGTAAAGGTTAGCTATCCAAAAAAAAAACAGAGGTAACGAGGAGAAAGGATAAAATAGATTCAAACTGACGTCTGAGAAATGCTTTCGTTCAACCAAAATGTCAGTTCTTCTTCTTCTTCTTTAGTAAAAGGTATATTGTTCTTTTAATATGTTCCCCATTGTTCAAGTGGCAATTGAATCATCAAATGTGGTTTTTAACCGCCGCTGGGCCAAAAAACCAAAAAAATTTCAAAAAAAAATTTTCGAAAAAAAAAATTGGTTGCCGGGAGGTGAGGGTAATGGTCACCCTGTACGACTAGCGAGGGTTTCTGATTGACTTTTCTTTAAACCTTTAAAGAAACTGGAAATTTCAAGTAATTAAAAAGGGAAGGGGAGAAAGGACATTACAAGGATAAAAGTGAGTTAAAAGGAGAGTTTAGACCGTATTTCTGTGATTGGGTCGACAAATATAAGTATATATATATATATATACTAGGAATTTTTTTTCTTTTTTGGTTATGTCTGGTGTTTTATTGCGGTCAAGTTTGAGTAACGTGCTGAAGACACGTATTGGAATCACGACAATAGTACGTAATGTATTAACTAGATCATTTAGTCTGAGTACGTTTAATACGATAAATAGAGCCACGCTAAGGTCTCCATTGAATTTGGTTGTTGCTACTCGTGGATTTAAAGTGAAATCTTCTTTGAAAAAATTTTGTAAAGATTGTTACATTGTAAGGCGTAAAGGAAGAGTTTATGTGTATTGTAAATCGAATCATAAACATAAACAACGTTCAGGTTAAAGAAAAGGTTGCATATAAGTGGTTTTTTCTTCTCTTCTTTTGATGAATTTTTTCGCTATCTACGATAAAAAACGTTACTGTACACTCAATTTTATATTCATAATTTAAGCCCTTACGTACATACATATATATATATTATTGAAAATATACAATTCATGTAAATACACATACATACATATTGGAAGTAATCTTTTTTTTTTTTAGTATTTAATATTTCCATACAGATAAACCAACACCTCCTAATAATATAGATTGTGAATTATCATCATCTGCCACCACGTCACAGGATCCTGTATCGGCAATTGTTGTATATTTGGTATCCTTCAATATTAATTTATTATCAGATGAAATTATCCATACACGTACTCTTTGATCTACAGATGTAGTTATTAAATTAGTAGCGTTATTAAATAATTGGCATGATGTAACAGTAGAAGAGGCTGCATTTTCTATCATAGAGGTTGTTTTACCATTAAAATTATTTTTCTTGTCATCGGATTGTTTAAAGATCGTCATCCCTATGGAATTATCATCACCACCGGTAAATACTTGTAATATATTATCTGATGTAACATTCACATCCATAGTCTTGATACCAGATTTATGCACAGATAATGATAATTGTGGTTTCTTATTGGATTGTACCAATTTAATTTGATCTTCATTTAATTCAATACTATTGTTGAGATTCTTGATAAAGGATAACTCATTTGTTAAATTATAAAGTGATAAAAATCCATCAGTAGCAGCAATTAATAAGAATAATTGATCTTCTAATTGAACAAATGATGTGTTTAAAATACAACAAGTTTGATATCTATTTTCCCAAATCTTTTGATATTGGTTAGAATCATAGTTGTAGTACCACATTTTAATTGAAGAATCAGAATAAACAGTACTAATGATGAAATTATTACTCGATCCATTAAATAATACATCAAAATCCATAATTCTTAAATCTGGATGTGTAGTCAAAGTTGGTAATGATTGTCGTATAGTCATATATGGGTTTGATTTAAATTCGGTATTCAATTCCCATAGAAATAATTCTTCTCTAGCTGAACATGATACCATCAATTTATCATTGATAAAACTTAAACGTTGTAAACCGGATACATGTTTTCTTTCAGTCCAATAGTTAGTTATGGCCCCATCCTTTGGATCATATTTACATAACTTAATGGTAGTATCTTCAGACCCAGTTACAAATAAATATCCATTTTGAGGATCATACTTATCAGTGATCCTACGGGGTAAGATGCTGATGTCTCTAATCTCTCTACCATGGATAGCATCTTCTAAAGTCTCTGGAATATCTGATGTATAAATTTTTCTTAAGAATAATTCAGAAGCTTTGATGTAGACTAACATAAACCCAACATTTTCACCCAAGGAACATAATTTCCATTGTCTATGAGCGCCACCACAAACTTGACTTGCAATTTCATATCCATTCTTTTCATTAAACATGTAAAAAAGACTAGATTTAAATCCATATGTGATATAGTCACCTTTACTATTGTAGAATGCCCCTTCTAAAAACCCTTTAATGACTTTATTGGAATGAATAATTCCATGTAGGCATATAGAGTCATTACGATCATCGCTTAAGTTTTTCAATGCAAAGGTATCGATTTTAATAAAATTATAAAATCCATCTCTATTTGTTACAGAGAATAAAGCTTGTCCATTTATTGTCTCAACATGTTTAATAGATGTTGTAGTATCACCGGAAGTGATTCTGCGGATTAAGTACGGTTTTTGGGAATCATCTTCAAGGTTAAAAATGGCCACAGTACTAAATCTTGACCCAATTAATAAGGAATTCTCAAAGACTTCGAGGCATGAAGACACAAACCCTTCTGGTTTCAAGAAATTAAATCTCTTTACGACTTCTAATGTTGTAATCTTGACTTGTAATACAACAAATTTATCACGGGGATTAGGTGATTCGACTGCCACTAAACAATGTTCTGGACCATACGCAATGACCATAGAGTTACAAGTCTTTGAGAGTGATTCGATATGTAACAAATTTTTACAACTGACAACTTGTCCATCCTTAGAGAAATTCAACATCAATATATCACATTTATTATTTGAAAATACAATGACATTATTTTCATGAGTAGCATCAGAAACACCATTTGTTATCGAATAAGAAGCTAATCTTTCATCAGATGTGATCAGCTCCCATATCATTTCCCTTTCAGAATATTTTAAAACATTGCCTAGAGATGTAATAGCAACAAGACCAAAATCAAACCAATGAAATCCCTTGAATATTTCACCCTTCTGAAGGTTCAATTCGCCTTTACTAGGTAAGGATGTAATGTTAAAACAACGTTCTTCATCACCAAATCTTGTAGTTTGTTTCAAATCAATTAATTTGATACGACCATCGTTACCAGACGTAGCAGCAATGCCTTCAGTTTCTAGAACGTCAACACTCCATACATTCTTAATAAGATGTGTCTCATAAATATTTGCCATAACTAGTTCAACTTTATCTTGATTCTTAATTATATTCCAAACACGACATGTACAATCTTCGGAGACACTTATTAATTGGGTGTCATTATTGAAAAATTTTAAATTCCAAATTCTAGCAGTGTGACCCCATCCAATGGATAATTCTCTACCACTAGTTAAATCCCACAGTCTAATCGATCTATCATCGGAACAACTTGCGACATATTGACCTTCATTGCTCACTACAACATAAAAGATAGAACCGTCATGACCAGTTAGGTTATGCATCTTTTCCTCTTTATAAAGATCCCAAATTAGAATACCACCAAGAACGGTACCCGCATTTATTATTACTCTTTCGTCAGATAATACTTTGATAGTACCTGAATATAAAATCGATCTTTCATTTAATAGATTCTTTCTCTCAACGATATTCCCTTGCAAGTCAACCACCAGGACTAAATTATAACATGTGAGAATATATAATTGTTTACTATCATAACTGAATGTTGAATCAATTATCCATTCTGTGTACATATTTTCAGAAGAGCTAATGTCATTTGAACTTAGTAACTCTCTTATGGAGCATATTGAAATTGATTTTGATCCAAAGAGAACGCAGTTCTCCCCATCATTTGAAAAATTGAAACCATGAACTTTGTTGGCTTTAAAAATACGTAATCTATTTATTAGTTCGCCTGTATCATATCTGTATATTTGAATGAATGGACCAACAGCAACGAAGATATAATCTGTATAAGTCTTGTTAAATTTTACACATAATGAAGGCCCATAATGGGATAAATCCTGTAACTGGCCAGTCATAATAGCGGTCTTCAGTCACGTATATATGTAAGTCAAAATCAATTGAGACGAACTTTTAATGAACCTATTTTATTGTTACCATTTAAATCATGTTCCTCTTTGAAGTCATCGGCATCGCTGATTGTTGGTTTGCGTTTTTATATATAGAAGAACGATCTCGAAAATTTTCGCTTCAAATAATTTTTTTTCATTTCACAGTGACAGTCACATAAAGAAAGAGATGTAACCAGCATAATGTTGAAGTAAGGTGGTCTTTGAAATATATATGGACAGATATTTTACTATAGCTTAATCATCTATAGTACTGTAGTATACTATCATGGTTAAACTACTTCAAAATAGACACATTCCAGCCTAATTGTTGTGTACAATGTTTATCATCTATATACGACAAAATCACCTAGCAGTGTTTTTCTCAGGGAAAAGTATCTATATACATGAAAATAAATTATGTATGTCTTGATGTAATTTATAACCATAATTCAATTGTTAAAAATAATATATATTACTTGAATCTTTTCTCTCTCTCTTTCTCTCTCTCTCTTTCTCTGCGTGGTTGGCCATGGGAGGTAAATTTTGTTGAAGGTTCATTAATTGATTTATTTTAATGTAGTATTATGACTTGCCGGAATATATGCAATGTGTGAATTCTTGTATTATGACCTTAATTATTATTACAATAAGATGCTATAAGGTTAGTGAACTATTTTAAAAACGTTGGATGTGTTGAGAACTTGACTCATTCCGTCTTATGACTGCTCGGGTGGTAGGTTGTAATGAATTCATCATCCTAGATTGACTCCCGTAATTATTATTAATCGGTGCGTTTCTCAAAGATTGCCTATTATTACCACTTTGGTTTATACCACTATTGAGGTAACTATTGTTATAAATTGACCTTGATCCCGCGTTTCCTGCTTGTGATAATCTATGTTGAGACCCATCACTCAATTCTCTTTGGTGATAACTCTTATTACCTTTGTTCAATTGATTCATTTCATTGTTGAAAGCCATACTCTCCTCTTTCCATATTGATGATAAAACTCTTTGTAATTTTGAATTTTGCACAGTAGGTTGAAATTCCTCCATATTAACAGTGTTAGATTGACTAGACCCGTAGTTAGCAAAAAACTCAGTATTATTACTCTCTGTCGATCTTAAAGAGAGATGACCAGATAATTTATTATTGGTTGATTTAGATTTAGATTTAGTCTTTGAATTCACTTCATTGACTCGATTCGTATCCTCTTGTTGTTTTTTATAAGTTTCAAATCTTTTCAATGCTGCATCCAGTGGATTATAAAACCTTTTTGAATTGGTATACTCGTGTGATATCCTTTCGAATTCTCTCTTAACATCTACGTTTGTAACCATAAAAACAGAATCGACAGATCCATTCTGAATATTTAAATCCATTATGGAGTTTTCTCTTTGTAACCAAAGTTTTCTCTGTGTTCTAGAGTCACCCTCAGTCATATCAGATTTTAAGAACTGAGAAAAGTTATTGAGTTTCTTCCCATCTCCACCTTTTGTAGTTTCGCCTCCTTCTTTCTTAGCGTCGTTTGATCCAGAAAGTTCATATTGATTACCTTTTTTTCTAAAGAGACTACTTAATGGGGTGGAACCTGTCTGTGAATTTGTTCCAGTATTTGGTCTATGTGGACTCTGTGGTACTCTTGCACTTGCTGTCTTGCCTAATACTGCGGCAGCATTTGCTCTTTGTAAATTGTTAGTTAAACTGGAATATGAATTGGAAAAATTTGATATTTTTGAATTCTGAACATTTCCAGAAATATCAGAATTGTTATTGTGATGAATAGTGTCTTCATTAGTATTAAATCCATTAATTTTATTTGCCAATTCTTTGGGTACTTGATGTATGGAAGATTTAGGTTCTCTACTATTTAATAATTGCGATGTCTTGAAGGTTTCCTGGTCTATATTATGATTGTTAGAAATTGAATAACCAGAATTGCGATTAGCATGTATCTCATTAGCGAGTGAATTTTGAATTGATGGTGGGTCATCAAAATGCCTTACAACTCCAGTGGACTGAGATAGGATCATATTAGGTATATATTGATCATTCAATTCACTATTCTTTTGACCATTCCTAATATCAGCATTGCCATTGTTCTGTACAGGTATGCTTTGTTTTGTATCTATGTTTGTTTCATGTTCTTTACTTTTTGTCTGCCTAGTTAGTTGGTTTCTATAAAGATCATAGCCTTCGTTATTATCAGATATATCCGCTGGTTCAATATGGTCATTACTAATGGATAATTCTGCATTTTTTTTTAGAACATCGTCCTCATTATTATTAGTAGTAGTAACATTATTATTTTTTGACATCCCATTTACAGTTTTATCTACATTACTGAACCCACTCGCTTTTATTTCTAGTTCTAATGATGTATCGTTTTGAGATGAATCGTTCAGTTTGTCCTGGCTTACGCCAGTATTTCCATGATTTATATAATCAGAAGGTGGTTTATAACTCAATGGTTTGACAACATGTTCCTTATCTGCTAGAAGATCCTCCGTTCTTGAATCCATTTGAGCTTCTTCTATAATGCTATCAATAGATATAAGCTTTTCTCTAGAATTATCGCGGATCATACCACTCCCATTGTTGCTGTTTTTACTTTGTTTATTATCCCTACGTAGATCCTTCACAACTGTATCGGATTCACTGTCTGTCACCAATTCTTCTTCACTGTTTGAACAACTATCGCTGTTATCCTTCATACTAATCACAGAATGTGTACTTTTCGTTCTCCTTGGTTTGATACCTGGTATACCCATCCACATTCCAGTACCATGACCATGACTTCCAGAACCCCCATGTACGTTTGGATTAGACCTAACCCTAGCCAATGCAGTCATGTTCAACCCACTTATAGCACGTTTTCTAAAAAGGGCATCGCTAGATTTCGTAGGTTTCATGGAATCCCTATCAATGGTAGTACCATCATGGGTCAGTACTTTCCTTAACCCCTTAAAACTGGCAGTACTCTTAGCACGGGATCTTGTAGTAAATTGTCTTGTCGGGGGTTTATTGTTTTGACCATGAATAAATTGTGAAGGTCCCAGTTGGATTCCCGTTGGTGAAGCTAACTGCGTAGGTTCTATTTTTATCTTACGACCCATAATAATATAATATTCTTAGCCCTAATATATATAGATAGATATATATGTATATATAATCGTTATCCTCGATATCTTGGATAAAATATGTGTCTGTTCCTTGTAGCTTTCTAGACGTTTATTCTTGTTTTAAGTTTTTATCTTTCTTCTATCAGAGTTGGAAGGTCCGAATTTCGTTGTCTTTTCATACAAAAATGAAAGGTTGAATAAATTTACAAGTATAAAAAAGGAAAACAGTTGAAGAACAAGATACTTCATTAAAAGAGGTTAAGAGCTCATATATTAGGTATATCTATTAAGCCACGTTATACAGAACCACAAGTTGTTGTTTTTTCACTTTCTGGGATAATGGATTTGTTTAAAGTAGGTGATTTCTACACACAAAGAATATTCAATTCTCAAGGGAGGGCCAGCGGTGGATTTGGTGAAATATCTGGTCCTAAGAATGGTACCGCCATCCTGAATGAGTCTAGGATCAAAATTTTGTTACTAGATAGAGATACTACACCAATCATATCTATGTGTGCCACCCAGAGTGACTTGTTGAAACATGAAATATACCTTGTTGAAACGGTTGAAAATAATGAACGTGACATTATGCGTCATTTGAAATGTTTAGTATACGTGAAGCCAACTGATAAGACAATAGATTATTTGGTTAAAGAATTGGAGAGTCCTCGCTATGGTGAATATCATATCTTTTTTAATAACATGGTCTCTAAATCCCAATTGGAACGCTTGGCAGAGGCTGATAATTTGAGTGTTGTGGTTAAGGTAGAAGAGATCTTTCAAGATTATCAAGTTCTAAATGAGTATTTGTTTTCATTTGATATGGCTAACAGATCACTATTTACCCAACAAGGAATTTGGAGTGAAGGTAGTTTGGAATCAACTACCTCCTCTTTGACATCGTTACTGTTATCATTAAAGGTAAAGCCAGATATAAGATACGATTCTATGAGTAAATTATGCCAGAGATTAGCCCAAAGTGTGGATAAAACAATATCTACCAATGAAAAGTCGTTATTTGATTTCCCAAAGATGGATTCCACACCATGTTTAATTATTCTAGACCGAAATGCTGACCCCTACACACCTTTGTTACAACCTTGGACATACCAATCCATGATTAATGAATATATTGGTATCAAGAGAAATATAGTAGATCTTAAAGATATTCCACATATTGATAAATCGTTAGCCAAAGTGACGTTATCATCAAAAGAGGATCAATTTTTTAAAGAGACCAGATATTTAAATTTTGGTGAACTTGGTGATAAAGTTTCCTCGTATGTGAATAAATACAAGGATAGTAGTCAGATTAATGCGCAATTGGATTCGATTGCAGACATTAAGAAATTTATTGAAAAATACCCCGAATTTAAGAAACTCTCAGGAAATGTATCTAAACATATGGCAATTGTTGGGGAACTCGATAGACAATTAGCTGATCAAAACATTTGGGAAGTTAGCGAAGTTGAACAAAATCTTGTTGTCCACAAGGAGTATCAGGGTGATTATGAGGCGCTTTTGAAGCTTCTGAAGGACCCTAAGATTAATAAGGATTATAAATTGAAACTTGGGTGTATTTATTTCCTGAGACATGACGAATTGGACAGTGATGGTAAAATAGAAAGGATCAACGAAATCCTAGAAGTATTGAAACAATCGCTGCCAGCTGAAGACATTAATTACATACACAAGTTTCGCAAACAATTTCAAGATTATAACAAGAAAGGTAGTTCGAACGGGGATATATACTCAATTAGCGGGAGTGGTGGTGCAAAGGATGATCTTTTGAGTGAATTGACAAAAAGATTCAATAGTAAAATGGACCTACATCGTCGTATCCATGATAATTCTACTGATAATGTTTATATGCAATATATTCCGAATGTGTCACGTATACTGAGTGATTTATCGAGTAATAAATTAAGTGAATCGAAGTATATGACGTTAAACGCCACTTCTCAAGGTAAAGAAAATTTAGTAAAGACAGGCCCTCCGCCACAGGATGTTATATTGTTCATTGTGGGTGGGGTCACCTTCGAAGAATCCCGATTAGTGTATGAATTCAATGAGACCATGAAAGATAAACAAGCAGGTCGCATGCGCGTTGTTCTTGGTGGGACCTCAGTTGTCAATACTGAGAACTATATAAATTTTCTAAGGTAAAAATTAAATATATACACCCTTTGAAACTTTTGTGTTTATATATTTCTGTATGTCTATATCATATTAGTCACCCAAGGAGTGATTTTCTATTTCACTGGTGGGTACTCTGTAAGGATAAACAACATGTTGCGACTCAGAAATGGTCTTTCTTGAAGTTGAATAATAGTTTTCGTTAGTAACCACTGTTCGCTGAACGCCAGAAGAAGATAGGAAACGGTACCAATTGAAGGTAGAGTGAAGTACTTAGAATACAGATGTCTGGGCTACAACACAAGAGAAAATAGACCGTCTATGACATAAATAAATTCCTCCTAGTGACATATATGAAACATTCAAGCTCTTCACAAAGTTAGAATAAGAATCGCTTTCAGTTTATCTTAAGAGTCTGACATTATATAAAATTATAAATATTACATTATAAATACTTCGGTCTTGAAGGAGAGGGGTGGATAGAGAAGTATACCTGCCCCAGTAAGGTTGATCTAATCAAAAATGAACAGCTTGTTTAAAATACTGAACTGTTTGAAATGTAGAACCCTGTTATATCTATAGACTACATTTAATTCAAAGAATTTTATGAATATTTTTTTCAACAGTACTCCCTATGTAAACTACTTCTACTTTAACCATTAGGAATGATTATCATCTGAAAAGGATTACATTTTTCCAGCGACCTAGTAATCCAGAACATCGTAGCCAGCATAATGCAATCAAAAAGATACATGTGCCGGTAACAGCCCACAAGTACCCGCAATTGGGCAACTAGTAGGTATTGCAATTCCAAAATGGCAATCCTCTCTCTCTCTTATTCTTTCCGAAATGTGTCACTTGCACAGTTTGATTTACCCTTTTGCCTGTGAAATGACGTAATCGCGCATTTGAAAGTCCGTACTGGCTCGCATGTCAAAATGTACATCACTTCTAACTGAAACACTTAGCACTCCTTCCCATGTGTACCTCCGTTGGGAAAGATAGTTCCTACCCAATGATATGCGTCACCTGTTATTTAATTATGTATGCATTTGGGTAACATCAGATGGTGTTCCCCCCCCCCTACACAATACACTATATGTACCGGTTATATAGTAGGTAAAATCATCAACTTGTAGATAGAAGGAAGGTTCGTAATGTTCACCTATTTTAATCCAAACTCCCTTAGTTCTATCCTATTCTAACTACGGTCTACACAAAATCTTATATAAATATCAACGCAATAA